ACGGGTCGTATATCAGGAAGGGTACGAGGCAAGCCTCTTACACCTGCAGGCTACTTCCTGGGTATCAACATCCATAGGGACAGAGCTCAGAGAAGGCTCTATTTCTCACAGGAGCACTACATGGAATCTTTGCTTGAACGCTTTGGCATGGCAAGGTGCAACCCAGCCAAGAACCCTCTCCCATCAGGCTTCAAACCAGTCCCAGCAACTGATTCTGAGCATGAGCAAGCACAGGATCGGCCATATCCCAAGCTAGTTGGCTCCATCCTGTATGCTGCTACAGTGACACAGCCAGACCTTGATCATGCAGCTGGACTACTGTCTCGCTACATCAGCAAGTGGAATGAAGCACACTGGCTGGCTGCCAAACACTGTCTGAGGTACATCAGAGGTACATCAGACCTGGAGTTGATGTTTGATGCACACTCTAGCAAAAGAATTGCACTGGGATATGGGGATGCTGATTGGGGAGGGGACATGGACAAAAGAAGATCCACCACAGGATACATCTTCAAGGTGTATGGAGGGACTGTGGCATGGAAATCAAGGAGACAGCCCACTGTGGCACTGTGAACTACAGAAGCAGAATACATGGCATCTGCTGATGCTGCCAAGCAGGCAGTATGGCTAAGGCTTCTTCTGGAAGATGTGGGAATAGGATTGGGAGACAAACCACTGGAGCTTTTCAATGACAATGCTGGAGCAATACACCGCCGGTCAAACGAAACATCAGAATGACATTCACAGCCAAAACTGTGGAAATGTTCCTGCAACATCAGAGATTTTCTTTTTGGGATGTCATTCTGACATTGTTCCCCAATTTTCAAAAACATCTCACAGACATTCCGCGACCAGAATATCCCACGGACGTCTGCAGGGGCCCAAATGTCCTTGTGATATTTCTCCAATGAGGATGAAATGTCCCTGTGATATTCTTCGGACGGCCAGATCGAGTCGTTGTATAGACAGGGAACCCTTCTCTCCTGGCTAAGGGCGGTGCCGCGGAAGGCCTGCTCTCCATGACAGTATCCTGAGTTGTTGCTTGTAACTCCTCATGGCTTTGACCTCTCCCATGGCCACCTTCTTGCCTACGCCCTCGTCCTCGCCCTCGTCCTCTGATGGTGCCACAGCCACCTTGGCCTCCACGGACATTCCTTCCCCCATCTCTGAAAGACCCATCTCCTTCCTCTGAATCTCCATCTTTATCCTCTTCCTCCCCATCTCCCAAGGCATTAGGATTCTCGAGTGCTTCCCTCCTGGCGTAGCGCACAGCCCATGGGTCTTCGAGCAAGCGGCGAGGTCGGCAGAGGTCGCGCGGAAGGGCAGACCGAAGAACATCAACATTGTGAAAGGCGGATAAGTTGATAACAAAGCAGTTGTTGTTGAAGGATTTCACATCGTCTGAATTGGTGTAAGTATTTTGTACCAGTCAAGCAAAGTGGATGCTTACCAATGCAACGCTCTCACAGGGATCAATGATACAGAAGTTGTCGTCGTTTGATGTCTTCTCATGGTACACTGGATGGACCGGCATCCTTGTGTCCGAGGTCCTTGAGGAGTTGGAAAATATCCTCCCACTGACTTCTAGTAAACCCGATCCGAGGAAATATGTCGAGTGCGTGCAGAAGACACATCTTCAAAGACGATTAGAGTGATGATATGAGACAATCTGGTCCAGAACTCACCATCTTAGATTTCCAAGGCGCCCATTGGCTCTTTCTATCATGACTGGCCGATGGGAGTTGCGATCAGCTGTGTTTGTTCCATCTTGCAGCTACACAAGGTCAGCTCGAGTCCCAGAAACAGGAAAGACACTAGTATGTTTCAAATATCAAAAAATCGCTGCGGGTGATTTTTCATCTCGGACGATATTTGCTTCCGTCGGGGGGAGTCTTTGGCTGGGGATTTTCATCTCGAACGATTTTAAATTTGAAACCATTTTTTGTGAGATGCGGGATCAAAATGATGTTTTTTGAGACGACGTTTTTGTGTCCCTGCTGGCGTCCTTATCCTTGTTTCTACTTGCTCATCTTTCACTTGCCATGTATCTTTGACCACCCACGCAACTTGTCCCCTCAGCAGCAAGCTCCCTCCCCTCCCATCTTACCAACAGTCCCCCACCATTCTCTCGACTACCTTGATACTCCCCTACCGACATGTCGGATATAGGTCAGAGGAGAGCGGAGGCTGAGACAATCGTGAACATCCTGCTGGTTGTGGCTACGCTTCAACAGACGCTCGATCTTCCTGATGACTTCGACTCATGCGACCCGGATTTCACCGAATATTTCTTGCAGCTGATCATCCTCCTTAGGGCGTCCGGTCTGCCCAATTGGCAGTCACACATAGGCTGGCTTGGCCTATTCAGCCCCAAGATGACACTGCTTGCTATGGACACTTTCAGCGACTATCTGCAATACCTTCAACAGACTCGATCGGTGGCGCGCCCTCTTACATACAACCGGTGCCAGAGATTAGGGGAGAATGTATGGTTTGTCATATTTGACCACCAGAGTGACAAGGATTTCAAGCGAAATGTGAGTCAGCCTTCTGGATGACTGATAGAGGTGGTGCTGACGATGCTAGGCAAGGATGTTCAAGAAAACCTTCCACAGTCTTTGGGAAGCCATTCGAGACGACAAAGCTTTCCACAACAATTCAAGGAATCCTCAGGAGCACTCGGCATACCAGTTGTACACCACCTTGGTTCGCTTGGGACGACGAGGGAATGGCATGTCCCATGGAGAGGTTGCCGAGAAGATAGGGATCCAAGGTGAGTCATAGTGGTGCAAATAGGGGACACACAACTGATGATGCGCCTCAGCTGGTACATCATTCCTATGGACTATGAGAACTCTGGAGGCTATCCACAGGTCGCTCGGCAGCAAGAATTGTATTTCTTGGCCTGATCCCGACGAGAGAAAGAGGATTCACAGGGAGTTTGGCTTGAGATCTCCTTTCAGGAAGTGCGTGGGCCTTATTGACAGCACTCTAATTGAAATGGAGTATGTCCCTGGGCGCGAGGATAAGCGCCTGTGGTATGGGAGGAAGGACACCTATGGGTTCAACGTCTTTGTAGTTGCCGACCACGAGTGTCGTATCTGTCTTATACAATCGGGTTTCCTGGCGTCAAGCCATGATCAGCGAGTCTATCACAACACTCGAGTGAGTTCAAATCTTTGCAAGCTGATATGTGGCAGTGCTCATACAACCCCGTTAGATGTTCCAGGAACCCCAGGACTTCTTTTCTGATGGTGAATACCTCCTTGCGGACAGTGGCTTCACACCCAACCCAAACTGCCTTCCAAACTACAAGAACAATGCTGGAGGTCGAAACAGGCTTGCAGGTGCAGCCAGAGACCACAAAGTCTTCAACGACCACGTCAAGAAGGTCAGAGTGCGCATAGAACACACTATTGGCTACTGGAAGGCGCGCTTTCAGAGTAACAAGCTGCTGTCACCGCAATTGAAGTCTTCTGATCACCATGTCCTCAATATGAGCGTCTGGATTGTGGTATGTGCAGGTTGGAAATATGGCGTTTTGAAGAGCAGTCGCTGACACTCATTCCTCAGGTCACTGCGCTACTTCACAACTGGGTCATTGACCATGAAAATCTTGAAGATGAGGAAATAATCGACCCCAATGATTTGGAAGAGATCATGCGAGAGGAGGCAGTAGCTAGTGACAGACTGGACCAAGAAGCTGTCCAGGAGCTCACTGAGGCCGAGCGGCGGGATAATGGGTGGAGGCGTGAGGCTGTGCGAAAGCAGATTGAGGACATGCAAGCGCGGGGACAGAACGTTGCGTATGTGGATCCAGAGTTACCCCTTTTTGCATGATGCACCTCAAAAATATGTACAGCTGGTCAATCATATGTAAAGCGCCTTTTCGTGTCTTTAATTGCCTTCCTCTTTGCCTCCTCTCTTGTATCGCCATCAGCCACTTACTCCTTTATAAGCTCGCGCTCAAACTCCCACTTCTTTGCAGCCATCTCATCCTTAGCCCGGAGTTCCTCCCTTTGCGCCTTCACATTCCTCCAATTGGCATCGTCTTCATCCCTCTTCCTCTTCAACTTACGCTCATCTTGTTCGATCTGGAGCTTCGCTTCATACCTTGTATCCTCTACCTTCAACCTTTTGTTCTTCATTGCCAGTTCTCCCTCAAATCTTCTCGCTTGCTCAGCGACCTTGTACTTCTCAAGCGCCAGCGCCGCCTGGGATTGCTGCTCCGCTATCTCCTTACGCCCCTTGATATTGGCCGTGGAATGGTCCTTAAAAAGACCTTGAAGTTGCTCATTCAGGTTGGCGTTGCCGCGCCTGCCCTTGTCAGAGGTTGGGGTGTCTTGGGCATTAAGGGACGCCCGTGCCCTTGATCTGTTGGAGAGAGAGCCGGCACCCCTCGCCCCAGAAGTCGGCTCATCAGCAACCCCGTGATTGCTGGTAATGTCGGTAGACAGAGAATTGGCTCTGGTCCCCCTGACGCTGAAGACGTCGTCATCCCCGACGTCCTCAGCCTCCATTCCAACGGGTTGCTCCTCCATGTCGGAGCGCGAAGACACATGGCGGGCCATAGAAGGGGTGATTGAGACTTCTCGGTTGCCCATCTGATGGACACTGCTTTGCTCCGTTATGTTGGCGTTTCTGTCCTTTAGAGAAGGGAGGGGGGTGAAAAAGAAAGGGCAATTTTCTTTGATCTTTGCTATAGACAGAGTCAGCACCTGATGTCACACGTAGTAATTCCCTGAAGTGGCATGAGCGCGGAGTTGTGTGATTGGTCGAAGGACTTGCGGCGTACATAGTCAATTCTTATCCTACTGTCCTACTCTTTCTCTATGCGATAATACCGAAAAGGTCTTTTCCCCTCCAAAAACACCTTTTCCAGTCCTCTCCCCTGCTGCGTCCCAGCAGGCCGTGACACCTGACTATATTGGTTGTGGCACCTACCCTCCCACGTTTCGATGCCTCTCGCCAGATCATCCTCCGTGACCCCTTGGCCAGTGGGCTTCTGGATGGCCAAAGCTTCATCAAATGCCTTCTTGATTTTTTGAATCTGTAGATGCAGATCAGCGTCATGCCACATCTTGGCTGGTCTCAGCTCACCCGATCCTGGACCCCAGAGGCCTTAGCCTTGTCGAAATTCTTGATCTTTTTCTTGAGGAGCCATTTGTAGATCACCGTAGCGGCGAACTTGGCTCTATTGTTGGAGTCCGAGTAGGCAGCCCAGTTCTCGGGCACGGACATCCAGTCGATAAGGTAATCTTCACCAGTACGCCCATCCGGTCCAACACAAATGGTGGAGTTCTTCTTGTTGTGTTTCCACCTCCAGCCGGATGCATCATCACCGTCTGTCTTCTTGTTCGATCTTTTGGCTGTGGCGGGGGTGGAAGGAGGAGCAGGCATGGCGAGAGGAGCAAACAGAGTTATGGGGCTTCTGGATGTAGATTTGACGAAACTACGGATGAAGTGCAAAAGCACATGTACACATGGGGGCAATGACAGAAAGGGTGACCACGTGGTAGACATGTGGTATGCATGTGGTATGCATGTGGTGTTCCTGGCAAAACCCATCTCAGGTGATTTTTCAAAAATCACTTTGGCCTGAAACCCGCAAAACGTTTTTTTTGTCCGCGATGTTTTTGCTGCCAGCCAAAAACTGACGGCGTTGGTCCACCCCACAATTGTTTACGATTACGTAACATTGAACGGTCAAAAGCATGCATAAAAACATGCATTTCATTCGTCTACGGTTAGATGGGTAAACGGGCGATGGTTAGAAGGGTGAACTGTTGCATGGTAATTTGTATAGAATTTATCAGGATTATGTAATGAAGAATATCGACGACGAGGGCAGTTGGGGCCTAGGGGGAAAGTAACCTACTGACTACAACATTAAGACTTATGTTGTAGTGGTAGAAGTAGCCAGGACAGCTACTTTCACACACTAGGACATTAATAATGGTATATTAAGGTGTTGCTCTAATTAGGCACCTCAACCCACACGGATCGCCATGGATAAGCTTCGGGCTAAATTAATAACCGGTCGCATCCTTTTCCGGCTAGGGACCCATGTTATCCACCCAGACCGGATTGACCGTGAACTGTAATGGGAGCCATAAACCTTGTTATTAATGCCATGATGCCCCAGATTACCTGTTAAGGATGAAAGAGCTAGCGGGGGTTGAAGAGGGTTACATAGATCTTGTAAAGCTCATCAGTGCTATGTACTTAGGCTGTACGTAAGACGATGTCGATATGAGGGAAAAAGACAGGACGGCCATACTCGCCAAGTCTCAAAAAACCCTCTCGCCTCTATCTACTCCTCCTCCTCTCCCTACATCCACAGTGTCCTCGCTCTCGCCTTCACCAACTCGATCCCCACCCTACTCTGCATCCCCTGCCACACCTCTTTCTCCATTCCCTTCCTCCAACTCCTAAGTTCCACCGCCGTCGCCTCGCTCATCAGACCACCCGCAGAAAGAACAAGGGGGCGGAACTTAGCGGGGTTACCGGCAGGTTAGTAGGGAGGGAATAGAACTCTTGTTGCACGCTATACGCTGGTTAGAGTTAGCGGGCAAGTTAGAAAATCGTTACGTAAACACATACAATTGTGGGGTGGAGTACCGCCGTGTGCCAAAAACGCCTGACGGAAGCAAATATCGTCTGAGATGAAAAATCACCCGCGGTGATTTTTTGATATTTGAAACATACTACTCACAAAATGTCTGCTATCTTCCACGGGATCGAAGCCCTCCATAATCTCTCGCTCAATATCTTCATCTTCACATTGTTGCCGCAAGTTTGTGACATGGGCTTCATGCTCCTCGATTGTTGTTGTTAAGAGAGTCTCTTCGAATACCAGTTCATCGTCCGTATATGGGACAGGCTCCTGGGAGTTGTACGCAGGCTGCCCAGGGCTCAGGTCTTGAGAGAACAATGGAAGATGTGTCGTGTCGCGTTGAAACACTCCCTGCCTCAACCGTGATTGTCTTTCGGTCTTTTGGCCTTTTGTGTGTGTGCCTTCGCCTCCTCCTCATCGATCTGTTGTTATTCTTGGTGTTGTTGTCCCTTTTGCTCCCTGTCAGGTCCTACCCACAGTGTCCCTATATATCTGCCCAGCAGTATAACGGAATCTCTTATCGGAAATAAAGGTAGGGAGGTCTTCGTATATGTTAACAACAATATACGGGTACGTGCGGGACCTTATGCAACTCTATCATGGTCTCGATAGCGGTTTGCAACTAACCTAAGGCTTAAGACTCCTTGTCGGCTTAGCTAGTATGGTTTGAATAGGCCTGTTCACTTGTTCCTTAGTTCATAGACAAGTCAGATGTATTCGAGGTCGCTGGGATCCTTGAATTTATGTAAAACTATCGACTTATATAGACATCCAGAGCCCTAGTGGCTTACTCAGCTTTCCCATATTCGCCACCCAACTGACTAAGCTGTTCTCTTGGCTTGCAGCGCTTTCTCATGAGTTGCTATGCAAATAAGTTCTAGAATTGCTATGGCTCACGATATCTTGGAAGCAGACTAGCACGTTTCAAATATAGCCGCTTATTTTTCTTATCCTTATTCCGGGATCAGATATTTGGCTGGGAAATTTGAAAGGGTATTTTCGTTACCTCGCGTCTCCCCTTATTCACTATTTCTTGGTGTTTACGTAAATGGCGCGTCGCGTCTGCTCTCAACGTGACTTCAAGACTTCAAGCCACACATCATGCGCCTATAGTCTACTTATACATCCACACCCCTGCCGCATGCTCACCTGCTCAACTCTCCACTTACAACACACACCCCCACGATGTCTGAGCTCGCGCACATCAAAGAAGATCATCACGAAATCCTTGTGATACTTCGAGCCCTTGTTCTCTTCTTCGCCGCGTGGAATCTCGACGATGACTGGGGCTCTCACGCTAATAACTTTGCTGAAGTGATGCTGTCTTGCACATTTTTCCTCAAGATAGATGGGATCAGGTGAGCTGGCCATAGCATGACGCGGAAAACAAATATTTTTCCATCGATTTAAATGACTTTGTACAAGTGAGCAAAATAAGAATAAGAAATAAGATAAGAAAGACCTAAATAGGTCTCTCTTATCTTATCCCTTCTCTTACTTATTTTCCCATACAAAATGGGGAAAATGAGACGCGGCTCGGCTTAAAATAAGAAATTGCCGAAAATAAGATAAGTAAGCGGCTATATTTGAAACGTGCTACTCTATGTAAAGAAATTCCAATGCTATGTTTAATTGCTTCGATACATACTTATGCTCGATAGGTGACCCTGTTGGCCAGCTCGTCGGCCACCATCCTTCTGGTACACACATATGTCTCTCAAAATGATGTCTACTAACCAAAGCGTAGTGGATCCACAAGCTTCCTTGCCGGCATCCTCACAGCCCTCTCAACCGGTGTCCTCTTTACGACTCACCCGACCAGCATCCGGTCCCTCTCTTGTGAGTGCTCCGCCTTCTGTGTCAACAGGTGCCAAGTGGAAGGCAGACGAGATGCGGGCTTCTCAAAGGGCCAGTAGCACAAGGGACGAAGAAGAGTCAGGCTCTGAGGAGGAGGCTGCAGAGGGTCCAGTTGCCAAGAGGGCTCGAAGCAGCCAAGGAGGGAGGAGCGGGCAGGCCGGCAGGGGCGGGCGGGGAGGGCGCGCAGAGAGGGCAAGCAGGGAGAGTAGTGAATGGAATAAATGTTCTGTAGATGTCTGATGTAGCTTGTCTGAGTGTCATTTTGATATTTGTAACAGCTGCATACAATGTCCACCAGACATTCTAACATACCCTTGAGAATATTGATATAATGTTCTTGGTACCCCAGGAAAATATCAAGGCGATGTTGGCAACAGCTGTATACAACGTCCACCAGACATTCTGACATACCCTTGAAAATATACATATGATGTTTTTGGAAACTGCACAAAAATATCCGCGCGACATCTTGAAGGACGCACATCAAAATGTCTGTGACATTTGGACGCCAAAATGTCCACGCGACATCAGAATGGACCTATTTATATGTCTACCTAAGGATCTTGCTTACTCAGCCACTACTACACTATTGCCAATTGCCACTCTGATATTACCAATCTTAGTAGTACTAGATCTAGGTACACAGCACTGACGTCGACAGCCACAGCACAGCCACAGATCTCCACAGATCTCTTCTTCCAAGATCCAGATTGGATCATTCTTTCAACACTCCCCCTCGATCCAATCTCATCATGCCCAGCATCTGGCAAAGCTTGTCAAAGGCCTCAGCTGGCAAAGCCTTTGTCAGCAGGTCTGCCAAGTTCTCCAATGAGGGCACATGGGTCAGAGACACAGTTTTGTCTTCATTGCGGATGAAGTGGTGCCTCATGTCAATACACTTGGACTTTTCATGGTTGACTGGATTCTTACAAGCTTTGCCAGATGCTGGGCATGATGAGATTGGATCGAGGGGGAGTGTTGAAAGAATGATCCAATCTGGATCTTGGAAGAAGAGATCTGTGGAGATCTTTGGCTGTGCTGTGGCTGTCGACGTCAGTGCCGTGTACCTAGATCTAGTACTACTAAGATTGGTAATATCAGAGTGACAATTGGCAATAGTGTAGTAGTGGCTGAGTAAGCAAGATCCTTAGGTAGACATATAAATAGGTCCATAGAGACATAGTCTGCCAACCATGCAACTTCAGCATTCTTGGCCACCCAACACAGCTTGCTCAAGCTTCAACTCGACAAAACCTTCTGACAGTGTTTGCCTCCCATTTTTATGCCTGCTGCCTCACCTCGCCAAACCCCAGCACCATGACAAGCTCCAGCACCACAACCAGCCCAGCTGGCAGTCAACGCCATCTCTGCCGCGCCTGTTCCCCCCTCAGAGGCCGAAGCTCATGTCTGGCTTGACCACACATTCCACCTCCCGCCTGGTCCAGAGGGGACAAAAGCCCGCTCTTACCTCATGCAGCGAGGCCTCTGTTTCCGGTGCCGCCAACACGGGCACATGTCACAGAGCTGCCCCATCTACCCTCCCCTGTAAGGACTGGGCATGCAGTCCTTCACTGTGTCGATGATGGACTTGTCTTGAGAAGCAAGCAAGACCCCTTGTGCATGTAAACCTGGACAATGTCTGTCAATATATGTACGAGAAAGCACACCAAGGAGAAGAAGAGGACAAGGAACAGAGATGGAAAGGGCAAGTGGAGAATAAGAATGGATAAAGACAAGAAGGGACAAAGCTCACCTGGACAATAGGGGTGTACAATTTTACCGTTAGGATTGTGGTGTTAGCCACCCCAAGTCCAGACTCTTCCCCGTGAATTCAGGGTATCCCTCGGGGTTGTGCCTGACTGGCCACGTGGCTTAGTTTTCACAAGAGCCTGTCCGGCAACTTTTTGCATCTTTGCAACATTTCGCGGCGACATTTTATTTTCGACATTTTGTTTCTACAGTTTGGAGCCTGACATTTTGTGAATTGCCGGACACCGATTGAACGGCCGTTTCGACATTTCGATTCAACATTTTGTTGGCCACGTGCTCAGGGTACATCATGCGGACCCGGATCCACTTTCCTTGTCCTGTTGTCAACAAGTGGGTGGTGACGTAACTAGATTTCAGGGAAAACCACATGAAAAAAGGCGACATTTTGGAAAACAAAATGTCGTCTCAAAATGGTTCGAAAAATCCATGCAATTTCGCGGCGACATTTTGTCTTGAAATGTCAACATTTCGTGGCTGAGTTGCCGGACACACATTTTTGCAGCGAAATGTCGCGACGAAATGTAAAATGTAAAATGTTGTGACGGAAGCAATTTTGTATGGGAAAAATCGACATTTTGGAGCGAAATGTTGTTGCCGGACAGGCTCCAAGAGCTGAAAGATGCAAGAATTCTAACACGAATACCGCGCGGCCCGGTTCAATTTTGCATCAAAAATCATTTTCGCCTTTTGACAATGCGATTTGTGTCTTTGCAACTCCCAGGGTTTTGCATTTTGGTGCATGGCAATTTCAGAAATCAGTTTTGGGGATTAATAATAATTAATAATTTTGTAAAATGTAAGTAGGGGACCCTGAGGCACGACAGCAGCCCTGAGGCACGTGATGGCTCCCATCACCGAGGCTGGGCCCCAGGCACAGCAGTACCCCCACAGTACATAGTGACCCGTGCGCTTTGGTCAGGCACAGTAGTGACCTCGTTGCGCTTTTGCTTCTCTTCTTGCTTTTGTCCTCGCCATCAGCACCCCAGGAATGATAGGAATCCGAGGGGGGAATCTGAGGGGGGGGGTCTCCGTGGGCCTGGGATCGCCCAGGGAAGCCAAATTTTCATGGATAAGTAGCCCGACATTTCATCCCCTTCCTTGCTGCCCCCGCAACTTCAACTGAACTCCAACTTGACATCACGCTCAACCACCACAATGCCCTCGTCCACTGAATCAGATCTCCCATTCACCATCCGCTTCTGCGGGGGTATCGGCTGCACCGTACGCGGGTATCTTCGAGGTGACCTGTGTGTCGCGTGTCAGTGGGCGTCAGATCCCGCCCGAGCCGATTACCTGAAAAATGTATGTCTCTAGGTGCCCGTCCTGGCTAGTAACATCCGCTGACGCTTTTGCTTGACGCATAGGGCGAGTATATCTCTTGCAAGTGGTGCTTTGGGCATGCAGTGAAAGCCAGTACTGGAAGAAAATTGTGCGAACACTGCGCACAAGCCTTGGGCACTGGGCGTAAGTTTTCAACTATCTCACCTTGCATATGTAGATGTGGACCCCTGATATACCTCTTCAGCCCTCCCGAATACCGCGTATCCTGCTGGGCCTTTCGTCTCCTCTGCTGCCCGTCCGTCTACTCCATCTTCCAGCTCCTCTTCGGCCCGTCCGTCTGCCTCCTCCTATAGGCCCTCTTATGCCCGTCCGCTCGCCTCTTTCGGCTCCTCTTCTGCCCGCCCGTCTGCCTCTTCCTCTTCTGCCCCTATGCTCGCCTCCTCCTCTGCCTCCACTTCCGCTTCGTCTGCACTTGCCTTCTCTGACCCATCCAGTGGCGCTGGTTCAACCATGTCGGCCATCAGGCCATCAACGGTGGAAGCCTTTGATCTGGCTCGCCAGTGCCTGTCGGAGAGGCACGGCCTGGCCCACACCTCCAGCGAATCCAGGCGGGCCCCCCAGCTAGGAAAAGGGAAGGGGAAGGCGAAGGGAAAGGGGAGGAGCGATGGGCTAATCGCTCGAGGGGGCCCGGGGGGGAGCAGGGCCGCAGTTGACCACTTCAATGGGCAGATTGAAGTTGTCCACTGTTATACCGTCCAGAGTAAGTGATCATATATTCCATGGGCTGTGACGGTGTGAAACAATCTTACCACAGCTGACACATGTTTGATTTTACCAGAGAGAGTCACCACTAGGAGAGGTGATCGAGTGTGGCAGCCCCCCCCCCAAGATACCGAGTACTGTCCAGGGCCTCCCGGCTACTTCTCTGAGGCTCGCGATGCCGGCCCAAAGCGGCCTCGAGCAAGCTTTTTTGAGCTTCAGGAATATGTGGGAGAGTGGGGAGTTTGAGGTCAACCACAAGCACCGAATCTCTCTGGCCGGGTGAGTATAAGGGGCAGGCAGATGGCAATGACTCGGTCCGCTGATATTGAGATGCAGCATCGACTTTTCCTCCCTCGACCAGTTGAGGATCCTCCTGCTCCGGCGCGGGTCTACCAAGCAGTGGGAACAGATCCGACCCTCCTCTCTTGCGCAGTACACCAACCTGTCCCATTGGTTCAATGCCAACTACGAGGTGGAGGATGCTCGTTTCGGGTCTGCCGCCGACACCAGGAATGGTAAGGTCAAGATCTGTTGGGCTTTAAAAGAACGCCCAGTGAGTGGACTTGTGATCACTGGGGAATGCATCAGACTGACCTTAATTTCAGGGGGAGGACAGCGACGACGAGAGCGACGACGACGACGAGAGCGGCGACGAGAGCGGCGACGACGTCGATCCTCCACCCCCCGCTCGGCCTCGCGATCCCACCCCGCCACGCCAGTCCCCCTCGCCTCCCCAGACCACCCGGTCTCCCACGATTTCACCGCGGACGGCTGCCTTCCTCGAGTCTCTCCAGGGCCCGGCTCCCTCGCCCTCTCCGCTTTCCCCTCCTCGCCAGTCGCCCTCTCCGCTTTCCCCTCCTCGCCAGTCGCCTCCCCCGCCTTCCCCTCCTCGCCGGGCGCCCACGGTGATTGATCTTTCATCTCCGCCTCCCCGCCGCTCCGCCAGCCCCCTCGCCGATGTCCCGCCTGCCCAGCGACGTCGGTTAAACCCACCCCGCAGCGAGGGTGGTTCCAACCTCTCCAGGAGTGAGTGTCAACATTACTGTTTGTGTTTTTTTGTTTGTTTCTGACAACACATTATAGGAATCGACCAGCGGTATGGCATGTATGGCTTCACCCTTGAACAGGCCAACGCCCAGATGGACGCCACGGGCATGTCGGCTGCCCAGCTCGACCTCCCTCGCCAGTTCCATCGGGAACACTCGCCTTCGTCTTTTGGGTACCAACCCTTGGGTACTCCGCCCCCGCTCTACCGGCGGGAGCGATCCGTGAATGTCGAGGCGGGTGCCGTTGCCGTAGCAGGTGGCGAGGTTGTGGCTGGCGAGGTTGTGGCTGGCGAGGTTGTGGCTGGCGAGGTCGTGGCTGGCGAGGAGGATGTGGCCGGCGAGGAGGATGTGGCCGGTGAGGAGGATGTGGCCGGTGAGGAGGATGTGGCCGTCCGAGAGATGGACGCAGAGCGGGTTCGAGCCGCCAGGCTGGCGAGGTTCATGTAAAATAACTGTAGAACTTTGTTTTTGGGTTTCTAGCTTCTCGACCTTTCTATTGTATTTTTGTAGACTTGGATGTATGGGATTGGATCGGTACACAAGAGAATACCAGGCAGGCGCATCGGGCACTTCCACCATACAAGGCTTTACAAGATACAGCCTCGTATGTGCGCCAGGCCACAGCAATGAACTTGGGATGCTTCCGCTAATCATGCAACTTGCGCTGAGTGCCTGCTCCTGCCTTACGTCACATCACAGGTTCACCTTGTTGCTTGGTACAGTATGTAACTTGATGCATAGAAACTCTAATCCGTGTCTACTTCCTCAGACTGCCTCTGCAGCTCCAGATACAAGTCGTCAATCACCACGGCGATCAGCCTCGAGAATAAGGCCCACACATCTTCATAGCTCCAGCGCTCTGTCCACCCCAAGGTCTCCAGCCCAGCAGTGCAGATGTTGTACTCGGCCGGTGTCAGCCACTGCATCTGCCCCTCACGGTAGGCATCTGCGCTCCAGACCTCAAGAATACCGCGGGCCTCATCAGTGAGGGGGATGAGGTGCTGCTCACCGCCAAAGTCTTCTGGTCGTTTCCACACGTCTATCCGCCTGCACCCTGATGGGTTGTGTTTCTCCCGCTGATATCGGACCTTGTAATGATTGTGGAGGATGATGAACTTGTTGAGGGAGTCGGTGACCAGTGGTATAAACAGAAACCAAAATACTCGTCTGAAAGTAGTTAGCTCGCTGAGGCTGATTAGGGTTTTGAACAAAGTAACTCACATGTGAGCATCATTCGTGCTCACAAAACCTCCCTCTTCCCTTCCTTGCGCAATCACCTCCCCGACAGGCTCGATCACATGCTTGATTAAGCCACGCCAGCACCGCTCAATCGTTATATTGTGAGTGGACTTGAGGTACCGGTGGACCGGGATCAAGGGCGATACCTCCTGGCCATAATTCTGTCTGGACATTGTGAAGTCAAAATATCAGCACCGCCTATAGTGGACGCTGACCTCGAACTTACCTTAACCACGCGTGCGTCCCCGAGAACTGATCGGTTTCGGAGCCGCGATCAGTCGCGATCTGGCGAGGGAAGCCTGGACAGAGTAGCAAGGAAAGATCAGCCTCGTCGGATCACGAGCAGGGAGGAGGAAATGACTTGCCGCCAACTGTCAGAACTGCCTGTATATATACCCAGAGGGTATTTTGAGGATCGCGATTGCTGGGGAGCAGGGACATGATGATGATTTGGCCAGAGTAAACATCTCGCCAGCCATAGAAGCAAAAGCCCCAATCTCTGAGCTTGTCATGCCCATCGCCAGACCACTGCTCGTTGGCCCCGTTGAAAAGGCCGATGGGGCGACGCGGTATGTTCCTCTTGCCGAATATCCGACCTGCCGCCCTGTCCGGGTACAGCTCCTTGATGATAGGGCGAAGTCGTTTCCTATGTCGTCGAATCAACGGTGCTTCTGAAGAGAAGAGGGCCACGATATATAGATTGACTCACTCGCCAACGACCATACCTTCCAGTGACAAGGCGGCCTTTATGACACGTGAGCCGGATGATTGAAACCCCCTCCCAAGGGCCACGATCTTTTCAGCTATGGCGTGGTCAGATGGATAAGGGAGCGGTTGAAGATAGTGGGGCCCGGGGCGAGACACCCCATGCTTGTCGCGCCAACGACGGAATGTGGATTTCGACCTTGTGGCACAGTCAGCATCAGATCATGTTACGTGCGAGAGAACTGCACCCAAACGTCCAAGGAGATTCATCCTGCTCGAGCCGGGTATTGACGTCACGCCAATTGGTTATGCCTTGGTCGTACAGGTCCTGGACGAAAGCGAGGAGGTCTGGATGGGGAGGGGCTATGGGAGGAGGAAGGTCAGCAATGGGGCAGGATGACAGGAGATGTACTCACGAGCTTCTTGGTAGCGGCTGCGGTCTGCCATTGTTGGTGGTAGGAGAGCCGGTGGCGCTGGAAGAGTTGAAGACAAGTTGATATCCAAGTTGCATGCTCAGCTGGAACCAAAGCGTAAAAGCGGACGGGGCAAGGACGGGGTCACTACTGTGCCTGACCAAAGCGCGAGGGTCACAACACTGTGGGGGTCACTCCTGTGCCTGGGGGTCATCCGGTGATGGGGTGATGGGTAATGATCGTGCCTCAGGGGTACTGTCGTGCCTCAGGGTAGCTTATTTACATTTTACAAAATTATTAATTTTTATTAATAGCCAAAACTGATTTCCGAAATTGCCATGCACCGGAATGCGAAAACGCATCTGGCCAAAAGGAGTTTCGGGAGTTGCGAAAATGAAAAATCGATTTTTGATGCAAAATTGAACCGGGCCGCGCGGTACACGAAAGAGCGTGTTAGAATCTAACAGTTGCTCTGGACCTACTTTTAGATTTTGGTGTTAGACGGACCGTGTTAGACCCCAAATTACCCAAAAAGGCAATTCCGAGGGACCTGAGGCCTTCAGGTGGTGTTAGAGCAAATAAGGGTCCCGGAGGTTTTCTGCAGGGTCTCAGGCACTAAATCCCCAAACCCTGAGGCCTGAAACCGCAACAGAAAGCGTGTTAGAAAATTTAACGGTAAAATTGTACACCCCTAATAGTATGTTTCGAATATCAAAAAATCACCACAAATGATTTTTCATCTTGGATGATATTTGCTTCCGTCAGGTGTTTTTGGCTGGCTGCAAAAATGTCCCGGATGAAAAAAATGTTTTGCGGGTTTCAGGCCAAAGTGATTTTTGAAAAATCACCGGAGATGGTTTTTGCCAGGAACAGCACATGCATACCACGTGGTCACCCTTTCTGTCATTGACTTCTCGCCCCCATGTGTAAGGGTGCTGCGCCAGCCTATGCAACTTTTGCACTTCATCCGTAGTTTTGAGCGTCTGCTGAAGCGTAGCCACAACCAGCGGGATGTTCACGATTGTCTCAACCTCCGCTCTCCTCTGACCTGTATCCGACTTGTCGGTAGGGGAGTATCAAGGTAGTTGAGAGGATGGTGTGGGACTGTTGGTAAGATGGGAGGGGAGGGAGTGTGCTGCTGAGGGGACAAGTTGTGTGGGTGGTCAAAGATACATGGCAAGTGAAAGATGAGCGAGTAGAAACAAGGATGAGGACGCCAGCAGGGACACAAAACCATTGTTTCGAAAAACATAATTTTGATATGCATCTCACAAAAATGGTTTCAAATTTAAAATCATTCGAGATAAAAATGCCCAGCCAAAGACTCCCCTCAATGGAAGCAAATATTGTCCGAGATGAAAAATCATCTGCAGTGATTTTTTGATATTTGAAACATACTAATGTCCGTCAATATATGTGTCACAACCGCGCTCCAGCTTCCACATCATTACACATCTCATTATGTATTCCTTATTGAGCTGGATGTGTCGCGACACTCATCACTCAACACTCGTCATCACTTCCTCGTTTGTGGCACCCCTCTTGCTTATCCTGTTACCTCACAACCATCATATAGATCCAGGAGCTACGCATCTCAAGGGACATTGCTATCACAACACCTACACAGCAATTCATCTCCGAGACCCAACCAACTCCAACTTGACCCGATACCTATCTCCAACCAAGACCTAGACACCCAAGCACCCTCATTCCTCTCCACCCCAATTATGATTCAAAGACACACCCAATCACCCCTGTAACTTAGAGACACTTTCTATACATAGAAACCCTTTTCTTTACATAGAGTCTGCTTCCAAGATATCGCGAGCCGTAGCAATTCTAGAACTTATTTCCATAGCAACTCATGAGAAAGCGCAGCAAGCCAAGGGAACGGCTTAGTCAGTTGGGTGGTGAATATGGGAAAGCTGAGTAACTCGGTAGGGCTCTGGATGTCTATATAAGTAGATAGTTTTACATAGATTTGAGGATCCCAGCGACCTTGAATTCATCTGACTTGTCTGTGGAATAACGATCAAGTGAACAGGCCTATTCAAATCATACTAGCTAAGCCGACAAGGAGTCTTAAGCCTTAGGTTAGTGCAAACCCCTATCGAGCCCAAGATAGACTTGCATAAGGTCCCGCACGTACCTGTATATTGTTGATTGGCATTAACATATAAATAGATTGCCTCTACCTTTATTCCGATAAGAGATTTCGTTATACTGCTGGACAGATATAGGGACACTGTGGGTAGGACCTGACATGATGCTCTTCCATCCCAACCCTCTTCCATCCCAACCCTCTTCCATCCCAACCCTCTTCCATCCCAACCCTCTTCCATCCCAACCCTCTTCCATCCTCTCATATCCTTCAACATTGTAACGGAGCTATGGAGCCACCGTTCCATTGTACATAAGCTGCAAATACTGTTCCAGCTGGGCTGGAATGGTGACCTTTTGTAGCGGTCAAGATGTAAAGAATGCAACTGCAAAGGAACACTCAATCACTTGGAACTCTTAACCGCTGCAAAAGGTCACCATTCCAGCCCAACTGGAACAGTATTTGCAGCTTATGTATAATGCAACGGTGGCTCCATAGCTCCGTTACACAAGAGGTCCAAGTGATTGAATGTTCCTTTGCAGTTGCATTCTTTACAAACATGCAGCACACACTTCTTCAACACAGTGAGTATGCTCTCTGCTACCTCCTCTACCTCCTTTGCTAATCCTACCTAGCTGCTGATCCTACCTACCATGAGTGTCCATGAATTGTCTGTCTTCTACAAACAACCACTGGCCCAGATTCTGTTCTCTGCCCAGTCTGTTTTGGTTTAGTACTCCTCCCAATATGCTCTGTCACTTCTGTACGCCATATATTTGGGAGAACATAATGTACAGCCATGAAGTTATCTTGCATTGTCTATCACCAGATTTGACTTGTCACTTCCGCTTGCTAAAATCTGTAGTATGTGACCCCTGCCGGAATGGGGTGTGGGTACATTGCTAGTGCTATTATCTATACAGTGCTTGGCAGTTGATGACAGTGGGCAACGTGTTGCACATGTGGGTTGTGCAATGACTGTGGCTTCTGGACTTGGAGTTGGGTGACCCATTGTGTCCTTTTTGGTAGCCCTCATTGTTTTGTGCTGGTCAAATGGGGCAGTGATAGTACAGTTTCAGTGTAACACCACCTCTGTTCAGCAGATCCTGCATGAGCTTCTTGGCAAGCACTATCTATATATGGAACAAGTTGGATTTGCCAACAGATGTGGTATGTGTACACATGAATCAAATAGATGCACACCCTCTAGAATACTGGGGCATCCTTCAAGAATATTTGATTCTCATCTGACAATACCCATCTTGCAACCTTGTTTGCTGTAGCCACCAACACTGAGTTGGAGAGCTGAGGTGACACTGTCATGTAGAGCTCAAAAGGTTTTGTGGCCTGTTTCCCTCTGGTAAGTGCGTGACAAAAGTACAAGAATGGCACACACCCATGCAAGACACTTCTCATGATCTGATTGGATGCAGGCTAACTTGACAGGCATGTCTTGACCAGAGCGAGAATGTATAGTGTCATGAAGGGTCTGGTACATTGTCACAAGTCTTTGCAGCAGAATCAGCTTTTGGGGTTGTCAAATCAAGTCTCTCTTACCGCTTATGATCTATTGAGTCATTGTTATATGGTGCCTCCCATGTGGGCTGAGTGATCTGTATATGCTGGCGAGACTTGTATACAAAATGCAGCAACCCAGGGCAACCAAGAGTGGCTTAGAGATGTGAGTCAGAAACCCATTTGTCATTTGGAGTGTGGTCCAAAACATACAGATGGTGTATGGGTGGGAAGGGATAGCATCCTGAATTTGGGCAAGAAGTCCATTGTGTTGTAGTTTCTATGATATGGTAAGCCACATGCAGAATAAGCTGTTCAAATAATAAGCTCACTTCCACCACAAGGTCTTTCCACTTTTGTAGATCCTCAAAGGCCTCTTGGTCTGCACTAACAAAGACCAGACCAATATCATCTGTCATGAAGTTGATGTAGGAATGAACAAATCCTGCTGGGTTGAATTTTGGAAAACACATTGGGAACCATGTCTCCGTGCTTCGCAGAGTAGATGAGGATGCAAGTGTGTTGAGCAGCAAATGCAGATCTATGCAATGCAGTTGGTAAGATGGCCATAGTAGTAAAATAGAAGAAACAGACACACCAGATGGATGTATTGAATGTTTTCGAGGCCGCAAGACAGTCACAACATGGTTATTTGCGATGAGAAGAACATATAGTAGGTCCTGTTTTTGAAAGAATCAGCTTTGCTTGTGGAATTGAATTGTCACCTACTTTAAACTTGGAGGGTGGCATCAGAGCTGCAGCACAGGTGTCTCGGATTGCAGGTGGCATCCTGAGCGGTTGAAGAGTGGATGTCAAGTAAGTGAAATCATCTTGCGCAGCTGTGATTAGGTTTGTGAGGAAGTGGCTGGTTCCTATAGATGTGTTATTGTCTAAACATGTACTCTCAACAAGATTGCATTACCATCCAGTAATTTGGAAAGGTCAAAGTTGCTCCTGCGTTGAAACGCTCGAGTCAATTGAGTTGAGGTGACAACAGACAAGATGTGTAGGTGGATATATTCAAGGTGAGATCGCAACTACGCCATGTCAGTAGCTGCCTACGTCAACCAACAAGTGAAACTCACAACATGCTCCGGCTCTCCCCAATCGCTAACACAAAACAAATACAGAGGTGATTTCAACAGGAATGCAATTTGATGACGCCCTTTCAGTATGCACCTGTACACCAACCATCAGTAATGTACTCGATGAGACCAATGACTGACCTCATGCGGTCACCATCTTCCGCGACAATTGAGATGAGTGCTTGGGCAACGCCCATCAAGTTGATCACAGCATCGTTTGAGACTTCTCCCTCGCTGATATCGGTGTTAGCATTGGCTCAACTTCCTTGCACTTGTCTGTCCAGCTTACGAATAGTAGACGGGCTTGCCAGCATTGGTCAAGACATAGTACTGTCGCGGCTGATAACATGCAGCTAAAGACCAGTCAGCTCCGGCACCACGGTCTCGCCAGTATGCGGCTTACCCGTCGGTCCCTGTACGGAAATATAGTTCCCTGCTTTGACACCTGAAATCAGCAAGACTCTAGATTAGCAGATTGGCAACAGGAATTAGCACACCTTTATTGGGTCTGATGGGCCTCGACAGACTTTTGTCGTCTTTCGCGCCCTCTCCAAGAGCATCTCTCCTGACTATCTCCATCAATCCTTTTCGGGCGTCCCCCGACGGTACATTCACATCTCCTCTAACATCTTTTATATCCATCACAGGAATCCCGTTATTCTCATGCCTGGAGGAGGAGCGGCTGGATATATTGACCGCGCTGGTGTCGATGCCGCCATCAAGAGATCCCTGTGAGCCGGAATGGAAGTCGACCGTATCATCTGAATGACCGATCAGCGAAGACATGCGACCGGACGGGTCTTTAGCGTGAGTTGTCGGGTTTCGGACGGCGGGATTGGGAATATCGAAAGCGTCATGGGCGTCGTGACCGAATTGCGAAGGCGCCCTGGACTGGGCTGCGACCGATATGGTGGAGACTTGGGACGTCGAGCGAGCCGATTTTGGGCGAGCCGGACTATATGCGTGTAGTGCGCTGCCATCCGGAGGCATTCTTGATCATTACAATATATAGAGGAATGTGGACAGACCTGCGACAGACTGTAGACAAGGCGAGACGCGCGGCCGCGTTTGACGACTTCGGGGCACCGCGACTCGACTATACAACTTGTATTTCTGTGCGGCATCATCGCCAGCATGCTTCTTCCCTGCCTTCTAGGCTTTATTATCCTGCAGAGTTTGTCCTGCGCACAGTACCAAACACAGCATCGCGTGGGGAGATATATCAACGTCTCAAATACGTAGATGGATCATAGTTGTCTTCGAGCTCCTGCACTTGCGTCTAATGTTGGGGAGAATGAGGAAAGGGAAAACCGTATTATGCATAGGGACAAAGACATATGGCCATTTACTTGTGTGTACGAATGAGGACAGCAAGCACCGAGAGCCGTTGCATTGCCCTGACTTAGCGGCACGATGGCGAGACATTCCCAACGGACATGACAGAGATTGCATAAGATGAACTCACAAGTGAAGGTGCACGAGAACCGCTCCCCAGGTGGGCACACAGAGTCGCCGATACTCATAAAGCTTGAAGATTCGCCAAAGGGACAAGCTATAACCATTGGTCAGCATCTTGTCTAGACGATATCACTGAAGGTCATAGATCAGATAACGATGGAATCACCATGGCCCTTTCCCCGCCTACTTTTGTACACGAGGCGTTTAGCGCAGAGCGCAAGGGAGCAGGATCTGTCCGCCCATCGAATTGTTTCATCACAGAAATGACGCCCCTGACTCGGCAGACTGGAGAATGTACTTACGAGGGGCAATTGGCATAAACGCGTTGGCGGACGCCATTCATATCCAAAGCAATCGAGGTCGCGTCCAATCAAGAAACTAACAAGCGAAAAGCGTTAGCTCACGTTGACTACACAAATCAACGGGTCTAGGGATGGAACGCTCAGTCAAGGCTGAAATGTCACGCTAATCGCGATTTATCGCCAGCGAATGAGGTAAAGTATGTATGATATGTGTTTTATCTTCATAGCGTTCCATAGAAGAGTGTGAATTGAGAGGGGTACTCACGTTATGAAAAGAGAAGTCTTGAAAACCGTATGAAGTATATGCTAATTTCGACTGCATCTGAGTAAGGTCAGCGTACGTCCATCCAGTGAAAGGTATCTCGAGCGTGCGAATCAGATCATGTGTAATTGAGTCCGCAAGCAACCCGGTCCTGCCGGGGCTACCTGCCTCACCCAAGACCTTGCTAGAGGTTCTGAGTGGGGACAAGATTAGGGCAATGAATGCTCATCCCAGCTGACAGAGACAAGACACGACTGAAGAAACGACTCACGAGAGGGCTTGTACGCGCAGGCTGAAGAGGGCAAGGAGAACATAGAAGAAGAAGAAAATGCACAAGACCCGATCCTTTTGTACAATTTCTTCTTGTTGCTCGGTTGGGTACACGTGGCATAAATGACTGTGATACGCATACCCCCGTGGGCGGCCTTTTCCGGCGACCGCCGAAGACAAGAGCAGAAGGGCACGCGCTCAGCGTCACTGCTTGAATTTGCGCTTTGCTCTTCCAATATTTCTCGGCTCACCCAGCGGATCAACCAAAGTCTCGAACATGTCCAGAAGTCAACCTCTCTTCAGTGGAGGCATGTTCCAGGTCCTCGGCTCCGATGCCGACCATCATGAAGAAGAAGAAGAAGAAGAGCCCGAGCTCATTGAGACGTTCGTATACCCGTCAGCTCAAGCCTCCCCGTTCATCGCTGATCAGCCCGAATAGGTCGCCAAAAGACTCTCAACAGACAACTACCTCAGCAACCCTGTCCAAGTCCGCTCGAAAGCGTCTGGCCAGGCTTGCTGCAAAGACTCCCGGCCGTACCCCGAGCAACAGTCAGAAAGGCGACGACTCGGTGACCACTTCCGACGAGAGCGATCCTTCTTCACCCAATGAGAAGGCTGGCTTTTTGGAAGCTCCTCAGCCTGTTGCCAAGCTGGCTCGGGATGCCTCGGCAGTCGAGCCTGTTCAGAGTGGTTCCATCGAGGCTCCCTATAAGGGGTCGGCTGCCGATACCCTCGGTGAAGCTTCCACGAAGCTCGAAGGTAACCGCAAGGCTACCAGCTCCAGTGGAAGGTCTACCAAGAGCGACGAAAAGGAGTCTGGATTGGCTGCTTCGCCGGTTGCTCCTGCTCCCGTGCCCATGGCATCTAGCCCTCCTTCGTCTGAGTTCTCTCCCTCGCTTCCTGAATCATTACCTCAGCCCACCGGGCAAGCCCTTCCTGCGAACCGTAAGAGGAAAACCCCCCAGGATTTCACGCCTGCGGGCCCTGGCAATCTCATGAGCCCCGCGAGTTCCAACAAAATTGCTGTCAAGTTCGAGGATGGACTTTCGCCCGGTGAGGGCAAAGAAGGAGAGAAAATCATTGCACCCAAGAAGGACAGGAATGCCATGGAGAGGACTGTGTGGACTTTTATCATGGTTGGCGGATTCATCAGTATGTTGAACTAATTATATACCCGCCGGTCCTGACCTGTAATCGCAGCTCTTCTTTGTCTTGGTCATCCATACATGATCCTTTTGGTCATGCTTTGCCAGGCTCTTGTTTACAAAGAGATCACTGCTCTCTTTGACTTGCGCGATCGTAAGATGACACACTGAATATATGACAATCGTCGCTGACTGCCTGGTAGATGGAGGTGATGTGACTACGAGTGAGAAAGATGAGAGCTGGAGCAAGACCCTCAACTGGTGAGTCAAGACATTTACAGACATGCACGAACATTATGGCTGACTACGCAAAGGTACTTCTTCGTGGTCACAAACTATTTCCTCTACGGCGAATCGATCATCTATTACTTCAAGCACATTGTGTTTGTCGATGCTTACTTTATTCCATTCGCTCGAAACCACAGATTCATCAGCTTCATGCTCTATGTTGTTGGTATGTGTCTCACAATCTTATAGCTGTGTTTTATACTGATCACAAGCAGGATTCGTTGGATTCGTCGGCAACCTTCAGAAGCAACACTTGCGCCAACAGTTTGCGTTGTTCTGCTGGGTCCATATGACACTTCTCTTGATCGTAGTCTCCAGGTAGGTGTCAGCGTTCTCGTCGTTCTTCAAAACTGACAGTGGATTTCGCAGCCATTTCATTGTCAACAACATTCTGGAAGGGCTTATTTGGTTTTTTGTTCCGGCTTCATTGGTCATCTGCAATGATATCATGGCCTATGTATGTGGTACGTGACATCGCGGGAATAAAAGAAATCACACGACTGACTTGTCTCGCAGGCAAAATGTTTGGCAAAACTCCTCTCATCAAATTGAGTCCCAAGAAGACTGTGGAAGGATTCGTGGGAGCCTTCATTTGTACACTGTTATTTGGATTCTTCGTGCGTATATTGCCAAATCATACAATACAAAACTAATTGTGCTTCAGTGGGGAACGTTCTGGATGAAGTTCCCGTACATGATTTGCCCTGCGCGAGACCTGGGAACAAATGTTTTCTCCCAGTTATCCTGCAGGCCCAACCCTGTTTTTGTCTGGCGGCAATTCGAGTTCACTGGTGCTGCGGGTAAAGTTCTGGAGACCATCGTAAGTGGATTGCCCAATATCCTCTTCCAAGTGTCTGACGCTTTCGCCCAGCTTGGCCACCCTGCGCCTTCTTTTCCCTATGCCCCTTTCCAGATTCATGCTCTCGTGATGGCCACTTTCGCCTCCCTCGTCGCTCCTTTTGGAGGCTTCTTCGCGTCAGGCTTCAAGAGAGCCTTTAATATCAAGGACTTTGGCCACTCTATCCCCGGACACGGCGGTATGACTGACAGAATGGACTGCCAGTAAGTTGCATAGCCAATGATCCGCGACAGTCGCTGACTCGCATCATCAGATTCATGATGGGACTCTTCTCCTACGTCTACTATAGCTCCCTCATCCGAGTAGGTATTGGTCAATGTGTGATAGCTCTGCTGACCCACAACAGATCCAATATGTCACCCCAGGGTCCATCATGCAGACGGTGGTGACGTCGCTGTCTCCCAATGAGCAGGTGGAACTCCTTGCAGACTTGGGTAAATTCCTCAAGGGGCAAGGCCTTCTCTAAACCAATTCTTCATTGGAACTAGGCGCAGTATCTCGAGTCACCAAAAAATGGATAGTATATATGCATAACATAGACAATGCAAAGGAGTCTCTGTGATGCTTCCGTTGAATGTGCACATGCATTGTCGGGGCCGCCAAATGTCCGACTGAGCGAGAGGAGCCAGCATCTCATCAAGGCCGTCTCAGAGCACCCATTGCTTTACCTAATGCCCCACCCTTTACAACACGCAGAGCACGTCTAAAAGTCAGACTGGTACGAGTCCCTCGTGCTCGTATCCACGTATGCCCTTGTTCCAGGTGATTTACGATATTGGCCTCTCCTAATAGGGCGGCGTTGGCGATTACCACCTCGTTCTCGCTCGCAGTACCTCTTCCTTTTACTGCATCCTCGTTCTTCTCGCCTATGGCGTGCAGATGGGACACATACAGAGATGCGGAAATGATGAGAAGGGAGCGAGGGAGTAAGAGCAGATGTGCCAATGGGACTGCGGCGACAGGGCGAGCTTCGTCACCCTCAGGGGGTGGTATAGCTACCATAGGTGGAGAAGGAGAGGTCGTTGAGATGTAATGATGGATGTCCAAAACCGTATGAGAGCCGAGAGAGATGGTAGCAACAAGAGGCTCAAATGCCGGGCCATCCTCGTGGGGCTACTCACCTTCGTCTCAGTATGTCCAGCGTGAGCCCTCGTGATATATGGACTCACGGATATTCCTTGTCCGCTCTGGTACTCATTGACTAGAACCTGATAGTCGCACAGCCATCAGCCACATGGCACATGATCAGTTCAGACCACTCACTTGATTAGGTTCCATTGTCAATCCATCTGCCCCAGCTTTCTGCAACGTCTGCTTGAGCCGGCCTATGAGATCTGGGCTGATATAATATATTGGGTCAGTCATGATCATTGGAACGTCCCAATGATCAGTGGAAAATTGTGTACCCACAACGTAGTAAAGAACTCCGGAATCTCTTCGGGTAGAAGGATGCCACCTTTGGACATTGTCCCGCCTACCAGCAATCAGCTTAGCTTCGGAGACGCACCGAGAAACTTAGCTTACCCCAGTATTGAAGTCTGAACGACGTATATGTCAGCCGCGGCCGGGGATCGGGAGCCTTACCTTCTACCGCTGCCAACAGTCTTCCATTTCGGTTTGGGGCTTGATTCAAGTCTCTCAAGTAGATAGGCCTCTTCTTCCTCTGTGATGAAATTTGGAATACTAATTGCAATGTCAGGATGAGATAAATATACTTCCCAAACAACCACTTACTAGAACGCAGCTGGCGGGATATCCGGGATGCGAAAGTCTTCAAGGGTTTTCGAGTCTTGTATGGGAGGAAAGTCCGGTTCTTGCAGTATCTGAGTCATGGTGGCGAGTCTCTGTCGGTGGCGGTATGACTTTTCGCGGAGTCAAACAGCTCTCGAGAGTTGAGACCAATAGCAAGTGGACGATGACGACACGTATCCCATGTCCGTCGGCAACAATTATTAATGCTTCCGCGTTAAAGTGGAGGCAGCTCGCCACCGACTACTGGCCCAACCTGGGCCCAACAGACGAGCAACATCGCTCGTCAGCAGTCAACCACCCCGCCAACCTCGCTCTCCGCTTCATGTGCGTGTTAGACCCCCCGGATCGATCCGTACTGACACCCTCTTAGCATGCCCCCTGCCCCAACACCGAAGCAAATCCAGAGCCTCTATACGGCTACCATCACCGCCGCCCAAGGCTTCTCCTATAACTTCCAAAGATACTTCATTCGTCGAACCGATCTGGCCTTCAAGCCGGTGATTGCTTCGTTGAGTCCCCCTGCGGGGTCTTCAGAACTTCCCAGCCCTAACGATTTGGCACACTTCTTTGAAACTCAAAGGGCAGAGCTGGAGGTTCTCAAGAGAGCGTCACAGGTGAACAAAATGTTTGAGGGACCCAAGCTTGTTGTGGAACATGCCAAACCTATCACAAGTGGAGGAGGAGCTGGAATGGAAGCCAGTGCTGGTGGGGGTGGCCAGCCAATCTAGTGAGTTGCGAAGGTATCCCGGACCATACTGACGAGCGATTCCCAGAGTAGAAAGCCTTTCGTCCTTTGTTTGTCGATCGCGCCAGCCCTTGGGTCAGTATAGTAAATGGCTGGTTATATCCTTGGTCTCATCCTTTCATGTAAAGCCCTAGTATCACTCAGGTCTTGCTTTCTCGCCACATATGGATCTCCAAATGTCCAACCACAGTACAACCCAACCTTCCTGCAATGACCTGGTGGAAGAAATTCGTTGTTGCTCGAGGCGACAATACTCAAGAGAAGCGACGTTGGATGCGGATGGAAAACCAGGAGACCTCCGCTGTGGACCAGAATGACCCTCCACAAAGCCCATCCCCGAGGATCAAGCCTGAAAGTACCAGTGACCCTGAAAGTCAGTCCTTCTTGCCCGGTCCTCAAATAGCTCGAAAGATGCTAGTCGCGTGGCGCATCGGAATCATGGTCCCGTTCTTGGTGGCCGGGTGTTTGCTCTATCTGCTAACATGTTCGGCGCCGTCTTGGAGAGCAGATTGGAGCGTGGTGCGGCTTGATCTAGCTCAAACAGACTTCGATGTGCTCTACGATATCGCTGAAACGGTCACTGGGCGCAAATCAGACAGCGCGCAAAGCAAAAGGTTGTTGCCTAAATCCTCCTTCGTGGCTGCTCGGTCTGCAGTAGTTGCCCGAGACGACGAGGCCAATGAAGACCTGGGTGTGCTATCAATCAACATGTGGGGCTGGTGTCTGAAGCCAGAGTCCGACACAGACGGAACGTGAGCCGGAGCTGACAAGTTGAACGGGTCACGCGCTTACGCCAACAGTACTATATGTTCATCCGAAAGCATGTGGTTCAATATGGATGATCTTCTAGGTGCAGCGACGACCACACAAGCTGGGCTCTACACCCATACGTTTTCAGCGATACTGATACACGCTTTGATCGTCCACGGATTGGGTATGTCACGCCTCACTCTTCCATCAACTGTGCATACATACTGTACTGATTTTGCATTCTGAAGCTATGCTTGCTGCAATGACGGCCATCATCCCAATTGGACTCACCACGTGGCGAGTCTTCAGGAGCAAAAATCCGACTGTAAGCATCCATCACAGCGACAAACATGATAGACTGATTCGGCGACACAGTTGCAAGGTGGCTGGTTCGAGCATGTCAGTATACTATTTGCGAGCCTACTGTGTTTGGTTGCTGTGAGTTGTGGGAAATGCTCCGCAATGGCCGCTGACTTGTATCAGTGGATCATTGACAGATGCTTACAAGCTAATGTTTCGAGCAAGCTGTCGGATACCGATGTGAAAGCTGGGTACGTTTCTCGCCTCGTGGTGTTGTTTGAAATGACCAACTTGCTTCGGGCAGGCTGGCATCAGTGATCACTGGAGTATGTGCGATCCTGCTTGGAATCGCGTTCTTTGCGTCTTCGTTGCCAGTATTCTACCTGGATATGAAACGCCAAACTCGGCTTCTCAAGTACTGGCAGAATCTGGAAGATTACGACGAGGCGCTGGCCCGACAAGACGAGCAAGGAAGGCGACAGAATGCGGATGAAGAAAAAAGGCGAGTAGACAGGAGCACGCAGAAACGAACGTCCCGGCCGAAGAGGCGACAGAAAAGGCTACGCGACCATCGCTTGACGAGGATGTTTTATTCGGATAAAGATAAGGGCCATGACGAAAGAGAGAAAGATAAGAAAAGAAGAAAGCGGCGAGGGCGTGGGAGAAGGGGTGGGCGTGGGAGGGGCTAGGACAGCGGATAGCAGGAGGGGGCGGGGGGGTGTGCATAGACATATGTCCGCCAGTTGTCCGAAGTGCCACAGTCGGTCCGGAGGGAGGGCGCCCTGAGCGGCATTAAGGGTGGATGACGCGGGCTGCTCGGTGTGCGCCGCCCCCCAATGCACCATTAATTCTCATCCTTCCACGCCATTCGAACACTCTTTTCTCAACTCTTCTCCTCTTTTCCATAAAAAATATTCACCATGGCCGCCACTTTTGACCAGAAGGACATCACCGCCGTCAAGTGCGTTGCCCGCCTCCCCCGCCTCCCCCGCCCCCCGCCGCTGCCTCCAAGCTGACCCTCTTTTCACAGCAACATCAGGACTTTGGCTGCCGACGTCGTCGCCAAGGTAAGCAGCAATCACCAAGTCGTATCCGTTCGCTGGCTCACTCTATATGCAGGCCAACTCCGGTCACCCCGGTGCCCCCATGGTAAGTGGAAGAGGCGCCACGCTATCTAGTCCGTGCTCATCCTGTACCAGGGTATGGCTCCCGTTGCCCACGCCCTTTTCACTCGTCACTTGAGGTTCAACTCCAAGAACCCCAAGTGGATCAACCGAGACCGATTCGTGCTTTCCAACGGTCACGCGTGAGTCAAGCCGATCCTCGTCCCTTGCATTTTTGACAATTTTACAGTTGTGCCCTCCAATATATCCTCCTCCACCTTGCCGGTTACGAGGTTTCTTTGGAGGACCTCAAGCAGTTCCGTCAGATCGACTCCATCACCCCTGGTCACCCCGAAGTCGGTGTTACCCCCGGAATCGAGGTGACCACCGGTCCTCTTGGTCAGGGTACGTGACATGCGTCACCGCATACGTACTCCACGCTCATCGCTCCTCAGGTGTTTCCAACGCTGTCGGTCTCGCCATCGCCCAGGCTCACATGGGTGCCGTTTTCAACAAGGAGAACTTCAACCTTATTGACAACTACACCTACACTTTCCTCGGTGACGGTTGTCTCCAGGAGGGTGTCGCTTCCGAGGCCTGCTCCCTCGCTGGTCACTTGAAGCTTGCCAACCTTATCGCCGTCTACGACGACAACAGTACGTTCTCGGTCAAGCAATAATTTTTTGGGGGCTGACATCTCTTCGCAGAGATCACCATTGACGGTGACACCGCCGTCTCTTTCACTGAGAACGTTGAGGCCCGATTCAAGTCTTACGGCTGGAACGTCCTTCATGTCGAGAAGGGTGACGAGTAAGTCAATGGCCACATTCTACGATTTTCTCTTAACATTTCGCAGCGACCTTGCCGCCATCGAGGCCGCCTTTGTCGAGGCCAAGAAGTCCAAGGACGCCCCTACCATCATCAACCTCAAGACCACCATTGGTTTCGGCTCCCTCAAGGCCGGTGGTCACGATGTTCACGGTGCCCGTGAGTGAAACACAATGCGAGTCATAGATGACCTGCCTGACATGTTTTGTGTAGCCTTGAAGAAGGATGACATTACCCAGCTCAAGAAGAAGTTCGGCTTCAACCCCGAGGAGAACTTTGAGGTCTCCAAGGACACCCTCGAAGTCTACCACAAGGCCGCCGAAGCCGGTGCCAAGGCCGAGGAGGAGTGGAAGACTCTCTTTAAGTCTTACAGCGAAAAGTACCCCAAGGAGGCTGCCGAGCTCGAGCGACGAATTGAAGGTCGACTCCCCGAAGGATGGGAGAAGGCTCTTCCCACCTACACCACTTCTGACGCCGCCGTCGGAAGCAGGAAGCTGTCCGAGACCACCATCTCCAAGCTTGCTGAGGTTCTCCCCGAGCTTGTCGGTGGTTCCGCCGACTTGACTGGCTCCAACTTGACCCGATGGAAGGAGGCCGAGGACTTCCAGCACCCTTCCACCGGTCTTGGTTCTTACGCGGGCCGTTACTTCCGATTCGGTGTCCGTGAGCACGGTATGACTGCCATCTGCAACGGTATCGCTGCCTACGGCGGTCTCATCCCCTTCGGTGCCACTTTCCTCAACTTTGTGTCTTACGCCGCCGGTGCCCTCCGACTTTCCGCCTTGTCCCACCTCCAGGTCCTTACCGTCGCTACTCACGACTCCATTGGTCTTGGTGAGGACGGCCCTACCCACCAGCCGGTTGAGACCGCTGCTTGGCTCCGAGCCATCCCCAACCTTGCCTTCTGGCGACCCGCTGACGGTAACGAGTGCTCCGCCGCTTACCTCGTCTCCATCCTCTCCAAGCACACCCCTTCCGTGTTTGCTCTCTCTCGACAGAACGTGAGTGTTGTTTATGATTCGATGATATTCGCTAAATCACTCCGCGCAGTTGCCCCAACTCGCCAACTCTTCTATCGAGAAGGCTGCCAAGGGTGGTTACGTTGTTGAGGAAGTTGAGAACGCCGACGTTACCCTTGTCTCTACTGGTTCCGAGGTGACCCTGTGTCACCAGGCCCTTGATGAGCTCAAGGCCAAGGGTGTCAAGGCCCGACTTGTCTCTTTGCCCTGTTTCGAGGTCTTCGTAAGTGTCCACCATGTCAATCAGAGAGCCGTACCTGACCCGCTCTTCTCAGAACTCTCAACCCAACGACTACAAGCTCAGCGTTCTTCCTTCTGGCGCCCCCATCCTTTCCGTTGAGGCTTACGCCACCTTCGGTTGGGGAACCTACTCTCACGACCACTTCGGTCTCAAGGCCTGGGGTGCCTCCGGTCCTTACGACAAGGTCTACGCCAAGTTCGACATCACCCCTGCTGGTATTGCCAAGAGGGCTGAGAAGGTTGTTGACTTCTACAAGAAGCGTGGCCAGCCCGTCTTCTCTCCTTTGATCTCTGCCTTGGACGACATCACCGAGTAGGGCGTGTTTCGACAAGAATGTAGAAGAGAAGTGTAGTGTACCTAGGATGGTTATAGAATGCAGTGTCTGTTTTCCGCTTGATCTTCCATTTGCAGTTTCTGTAGTCATTGGTGACAAGGCAGGCTGAGACGCATACATGGCACTGATCAACAACATACAAGGATCTACTGGCGACTAAATGTTACAGAAATGAGTCTATATGGATATCACTGTGACTGCTGGGGCTTGCGAAGTTCGGCCAACTGGTGTTTTTACTAGCTCTCTGTACTATACGCTGCCATGTAGAGTACTGTACAGCACTGTACAGCGGGCGCGTACAGCTTTAAGATTACCACCATCCCCGCGCCTTCTTCTCATCTTTTTCCTGTCTGCCAAAAAGCCAATCCACACCAGATGCTTTCAAGACAGACTGCCTCACATAATCCTGAAGCATTCTCTGCCATTCGTTGGCACTGTCATCGGCATTTTTGCTGCCCACGGCGGAGCTCAACACGGACGAAATGAAGTCAAGTCTCCCTGCTTGCCCTTTCTCGGCACCTTTGTTATCGGCGCGGGCAGCAACAGGGTCGGGCTTTTCTCGGGAAGAGTAGGGGGGAGATCGCGACCGCGCTCTTCCTTGACGGCTGGGGTTTCGCCTTGGTTGACTGGAGGGATTTCCATCCTTGGCAGCGCCCAGCAAATTGACGAGTGAAGCAACGCCTGGACTGGCTTCGCGTCGCCCGTCTGTGGGTACCAGCCCAGCCCATTGCTTCATCAACTCCAAAAGCTCCTCTAACGTCCCCTGTTCCGAGCTGGCCATCACCCAGGCCGCGATTGCGATCACTGGAATCAATCGCAAGGAGAAGCGGAATATGCGGGACATGTAGCCCACTATACTGGAGAGGGCTGTCCAAACGATGATGAAGGCGACGAGTGTGATAAAGTAGCCGATGTAGGGAGCGAGGAGGCGGAAGAGGGGGAGGAAGGACGAGGGGTTTGCGATGGTGGGGGGCTCCCGGAAGAGGGTTTGGGCGTCTGTGGGGAGCCTTGGGAAGACATACTGGTAGAAGAGGGCTCTGGTGGGGATGAGCGGGGGCGCGTGGTCGCGGGGGACTTACTCTGCGCTCGTGGGGGCTTCGTTCGCGGGGCCAGGCATGGTGGCGGCAGAGAAGAGATAGGAAGCAATCGTTGTTGTAATTACGACCTTGTTGTGGGTCGCAGCGTGTAATTACTCTCCGTAAACCCCATATTACTCCTGAGTCCTGGCGACACTTTCCCGTCTAGTACAAGCTTCTGTCCCTGCTCCCAACACAATAAAATCATACAATGGCTCGCGGCGGTGCTGTCTCTTCTCGTGGACGTGGGTGAGTACGGCCCTCTCGCTTCCTAGGCACACTCCTGACAACATGCTCTAGAAAGTTCAAGGTGGCTCGAGGAGGTGGCCGACACTTCTCTCGAGACCTTGATCCCCGTTTCAGCCAGGAGGATGAGGCTTCCGAATCATCATCATCTGAAGAAGAAGAGTCTGAAGACGAGCCTGAGCCCGTCAAGCTTGCTCCTGAGATGGCTGCTCTGAATCTCAAGCTTGGAAACACAGTCTCGATTGATGAGCAGAATGGGGAGGAAGAGATGAGCAGGGCGGAAAGGAAAGCCATGAAAAAGGCGCAGGCTGCTCAAAAAACTATCGTGGAGGAATCAGAGAGCAACAGCGACGATGAGGAGGAGAAGAAGCCCGCACCGGTGTCCAAGGCGGCGGCTAAGGGTAAGCCCAAGAAAGTGGAGCCCGTGCAGTTGTCGAGGAAAGAGAGGTGAGTATCAGTCTCAGCACATGATAGGACATGTCTGATTGTGCGATAGGGAGGCTGCAGACAAGAAGGCGGCGGCGCAACGTCATCAGCAGCTACATGCTCAAGGTCAGTCTTCATACGTGCACTTTGAGGCCAGAATATACTAATGGCACCGCAGGCAAAACATCTGAGGCCAAATCTGATCTCGCAAGGCTTCAGGAAGTGCGAGCTCGCCGTGATGCGGCGGCCGCCCAACGAAACGCCGAGGTTGAGGGTGAGCAGCGCTAACGCTACATGATTATTTTGTCTTGACTGACCTTTACCCTTCAGAGAAGGCCAGGGAGGCCGCTGCCAAGAAGGAGAAGATCGACAGGAAATAATATCCCGGATAGATTCACTTCAGCTCCATTGAATGCACACTGGTTTTGATTAAAAACTTCGCCATCTGTCTGACCAATTTAAAAAATTGTCTTCTTGAGTAAGACACTCAAAAAAAGAGCTATGCTCTGTCCAGTTCAGGACCCCCTGTTTTTGAACCGGCATGGTGCGCGTAATCAGAAAAGAAGTCGTTGCAATGTGCACGGCAAAGACGATAGACGTCTACGGGTATCTTGAGGACAATGGCAATGCGGGTTACGCCCTGAGTATGCTCCTTTGCTTTCTCATCCCCTGAGCGATAACAAAGAAGACTTTGCGACAATATGATGGGGTCGTCATCTCTTTGAAAGGCATCGATCAGCTGCACTGCTGCCACACGGTGTACTTGACATAAAAGTCGGAATGACACAAGACATGAAGCACCTAAACCCCCGGCCTTTCCACCCGCAGCTGACGCTCAAAAACGGCGCAGATGCAGCAGAGACAACCCATAGCTGAGAACAAGGATACAGAAGACCTGGGGCTGCTGCCTTGGGAGGTATGCATCGCTGTGGGGTCTGGGGCATGGCAGCATGAGATGCCTGGGACCTCTCCCGCGAATTCCGCCAATCACCACGGGAGCAGATCTTTGTGCAGCCACCGAAACCAACTCAGGATTCTTCGAGGATTCTTCGAGTGAGCTTCCCCCTGTACCCCCACCCGCCATGCCCAACTCCAAGCCCCCCGCCGACCCCTTCGCCACCATCCTCCTCCGCACCTCCTCCGCCCGCCGGCCCAATCCCTCCAAACTCTCAGAGCCCATACCCCTCACCCCTCTTCAAGGTTCGCGCTTGTCCGAAGATTCTTCGTCGGGCCCAAGTTCCCTACGCGGCAAGCCACGGTCGCGCCCTACTACGCCCAAGAGCGACGACATGGGAGAGACGCGTTCACTTTCGCGACCCTCGTCAAAGAGGGGAAAAGAGGTGGACGCCGGGACGACGAAAGATTCGTGGGGGAGGCAACGAGCTGAACAAGCTGGTGGCAATCCAGAACGCATGAAAGAAGATGCGGCGATGGAGAAGTGGAGAGTAGGTCTCTATTCGTAGACTGTTGATTCTCTTGTCTGATGTTGTCTGCAGAAATGGGTCATAGAGCAGCCATTGCAATCAGGCGTACCGAGCACTTCTCCGTTGAAGGGAAAGGGATCACCCGTTAACGGCGGTCAGAAAATACCCTCGGTGTCTCTCAACAACACCCACCGTCTATCAGTCACCAACTCCCTTCTGAGGACCCCTTCGGCTTTCGATACTCGGGGCCAATCTGACCCCGAAACCTCGATAACCTCGTCCCTCCGCACAACCTCGCCCAGGGCTTCGTCAGCTCTCGCCTCCCCATTCTATCCTTCAGGATTCGGGTCCCCGGGTGGTGGTGGTGAAATATACAACACAGACTCTGTGCTCGCTCTGCGCGATGTAGAGCTAGCTGTCGGTGACGACGCATGGTCAAACGCAGAACGTGCCAAAGCCGCCCCTCGGCGCATGTCCAATAAACCTCGTCTATCCCAAATACCCAATCCATTTGGCGACGTTGCAACGCGTCTCGGCTCACGGCGCGTTCGTCCCATCGTGCTTGAGTTGATACAAGCTCTAGGGCACTTTCTCGACGTCGTCTGGTCGACAACGTACCCTGAGCGTTCTTGTCCGTGGATCATAGACAATACTGAAGAGTGCCCAGTAACCCCATCCGTACGAAAAACGAAAAGGGCCCGCCATACAGACTCAGATCCCACAATAACATCTGAGCTCGAGTGGAAGAGTCCTATGATCACGGCGGTGCAAGAGGGCAAGCGAACGGGGCATGTACCAACACGACCTACCTCCAAAGATCTAGGGTTTTGGCGGGACGAAGTAGAGTTTGGCATTAGGGATGTCGATGAAGTTGTTGGTGTAAAAAAGGGATTGGGGAGAGCGTTCGGAACCGCTCTCAAGGAGGGTCGGTATGGCCCGCCAGATGCTGGAAACGCTCTTGGGCAGAACGGGGAAGGGGCCGGTATGGCGAGGCTCTTAAATGATTTGGAAGAAGCTATTTGGCAAGTTGTCGCCCATCCTTCATCATTGATCCCGGCTGACGATTTTCGAAAGGGGTGATGCACCCCCTCGCCCCACTGATCTTGGTTTTGAACTTCCAGGGGATTTCGATCCATACGCTCTGCTCGATGAGTCGGAACTCATGGCCGGAGGGGCTAGCGGAATGGGCGGTGCACACCCGAAAGCAGGGTCTGCATTATTAGTAGACCTTCTGGGCGCGTCCTCAAGCAGCTCGGGCACACCCACCACGAGTGGGCCGAGTTTTGACTCTCTTCCAGACTTCAATGTCAACTTGGCCTCTCCTGTCGAGGATTCCATCAAAGCGAAGGAGGTCAAGAGCAAACAACGGATAGAAGTGCTCATTCCAGGTATCGAGAGTATCGAAGGAGCAGAGGGAATGACGCTGGAAGAGTTGGGGAGAAGGAGGCACCGAGAATGGCTCGCTAGTAGAGCGAAAGCTTAGACGAATATAAATGACCGACATAGACTACTTGAGAAACGATCTTTACCACTTGCCAGCACGTGACGACCAGGGATGACTGCTTGTTGTATAGCGCAAATGCATCTGAATTCGACCCGGGATCTTGCGTGTATGACGATGAGAAACCGATGATGCATGAATGGAAACTATAAGATTACAATGTCACGAAACCCTTTCTATAGATTGTGATCCGCTCAAGCGGAGGCAGCAGCAGCTGCATGTCCGTCAACCTTGACTTCGTTGGCAATCATGGCCCCATGCTTGCCAGATCGGCCAGCCTGGCACTCGTTGACGAAATCGGTAAACATCTTGACAGCAGTGGTCAGTACGGATGCTAGTCGCTGAAAGCGGATCGACTCACCTCAATGGTGTCGAGGGGACCACCAGCAGACTCGGGATGGAACTGCACGCCCCAAATCCTCTTGCCGCTCTCGGGTGTGGAGATGATGCCCTCAACCGAAGAGTCGTTACAGTTGATGAAGAAGGGAGCCCAACCCTCAGGGAAGTCTTCAGTCAAGCGAAGAGCATACTGGTGGTTCTGAGACTACTCAAGAGTCAGCTTGTACAGCGGTACAGATAAAAAAACACGTACAGTGACGTAGACTCGACCCGCCGAGATGCTTCCAGAGCTGGCCAAAGCCAGAACCGGCTGGTTGTGACCTCGGTTACCAAAGGTCATTCGGTAAGCCTCAAGACCGGCAGCCAGACCAAGGATCTGGTGACCCATGCAGATACCAAAGATGGGCTTGTTCCACTCGTTAATGGTCTGCCTGACTCGCATAGCGGTGTCCATGATCATCTTGGGGTCACCAGGACCGTTGGAAAGGAAGAGACCGTCATACTGGTCTCGGACGGTGTTGAAGTCAAAGTCCCAAGGGAGGACAGTGACAACTGCATCGCGTCGGACAAGGGATCGGAGGATATTGGCCTTGGTTCCAAAGTCAAGGACGGCGATTCGAGGACCAGAGCCCTTGGCGTTGAGGGTGTAGGCCTTCTTGACAGAGGCTTGGGCAACAAGGTTGTCCTTGGAAGGGTCCCAGAAGTCGGCAGCTGAGGGAATGACGCTGGCATCATCGCCGACGGCGAGACGACCAAGAGTGGTACCCTGGTCCCTCAACAAGCTAGTGATAGCACGGGTGTCGACACCGGTGATACCGGGGACATCGTATCGCTGGCACCACTCGTGAAGAGACTCGACGGCCTGGTAGTGGCTGTATTTGAGTGCGACGTCGGAGACAACGACACCGGTACACTGAATCTTGTCAGACTCGAGGAAGGGAATACCGGGGTACTCGGGGGGGGAAGCGTTGCTAGGCACACCGTAGTTCCCGATCATGGGGGAGGTAAAGACCAGAATCTGACCCAGGTAGGAAGGGTCGGTCATGGAGTCGGTGTCTGAACCAGGTGAGCGAATGCGAGGGCAGGGACAGGAGCAAACGACTTACAAGAGGTGATACTGGTGGAGAAGACGGTCTCACCGAACTTGGAGTTTTCGCTACCAAAGCTGTTGCCATAGTAGCTCTGGCCAGACTTCAAGTGGAGGGCGGCAGGGGTCTTTGCGGGGAGGAGTGGGGTGAGGAGAGAGTTGACGGGGGTGGCCAGGGTTCGCTTGAAGGCGAGGGGAGCCCTGAGGGCGGAGGGGGTGGCGCGGAGGCTGAGGGCGCGGATGGCGGACATGATGGTTTTACGGGGGCTGGGTGGTCTATTACAGACTGTTGATTGAGAAAACGAGATCAGAAAGGTAACTGTTCGCTTGTCAGCCTGTGCGACACGAGATAAGAAAAAAGCGTGTTACGTACTCGTCAGAGGTTCGTTCTGTCCACAGCATCGACTGGTCGTGGCGTGTTGGGTGCTCCAGGGGGCGGGCAGGGGGCAGGCGCAGATGAGAAAAGAAAAGAGAAAAGAGTGCAAAATTAAGGGCCACACCACGACTCATTTCCATTATCGTCACCGCACAAATGCCACATCATGCTTCAGTCATCATGCAGTCCATGTCAAAATCTACAACCAATCAACTATATTATTGTCGCACCCCTCTATCCCATCAGATCCACCAAGTCTGCGAATACATCCTTCTTCTGCCCCTGCCCCTGCTGCTGCCCTTGCTGAGCGTTGGTAGCCGCCTGAGGCTGAGCCTGTTGGGGAGAAAGCGAGTAGCCCACCGGAGTGGAAGACTGCGATGGCTGGAAGCCAAAGCTGCTGCTGCTAGAGCTAGCGGCAGGCTGCTGGAGCTGGCCCAGGCCACCAAATGCGCCAAAGTTGGCGGATGCACTTTGTTGGGGTTGGCCCCAGGCCTGAGCCGGTTGAGCCGGAGGTTGGGGAGTGTTGAAAAACGCCATGGGGTCTTGCCTCTGAGATGTATTGTTAAAGGAGGAGCTCGCAGCGGGACTGGGGGTGGCAGCAGGTGAAGGGGCAAAGAGGTCGAGGGGAAGGCCGGCCGTAGACATTCCGGCATTGGAAGAAGAGTCGGCAGGGAGGGAAAGGCCGCCTGCAGCCCCTGAAGGTGCTGGCTCGTCATCGAAAGCGTCAAACGATATGAGGTCGGCCGCTTTCTGGTTGGGGTTCGAGCTGTATTGCGGCTTAGCGTAGACCCAGGGCCGAGTTGAAAACTTACCTCTCAACGACAGCCCGAGCTCTTGTCCAGTCGCCAGCCTTGCACGCTTCGAATCGTTCCAAGGCAGTATTGATGAGGTCATTGCAGAGCAATAAGCGATCTGAGGATATTGAGCAGTGATCAGACGACATGGAAAAAAGCTTACCCATCATACCCTCCTTCTCGCCATTGTCGTCTTCTATCCACTTTACTATCTTTGGCCTTGCTCCTCTGCATGCTCCAGCGACCTGGTCATACACGTCGCCCTCGATACCAATCTTTTCCCCCTCGGTAGCATTATTCAGCATGTCGTTAAGCAAGATTGCCTTTGACTGGACCTTGTCAAGCTCCTTGAGTGTCTGAGCAGTATAGTCGATGGCCTTGTCTGGTTCCTACAGCAGAACGTCAGCACGATAAGCTCTTGAGAAAGTCACTTACGGCTCCGGCGAGAGCCTTCATAAGCTCTTGGGCAGCCGCAAGATCTCTCGGCGTGCCACGTCGGATCAGCTCTTGCAGCTTCTGTCCAACAGTCAGCACACTAATGGAGGCGCCTTCATGCCACTTACCGCGCTCTTTGCGTCTCTATCCTCCTTCTCCAGCTCTTCAGGAGATTTGAGGTTCTATCAACACAATCAGACATGCCCAGTGCTCGACGCGCTCGGCTCACTTCATTGGGATTGGCATCCGCCATGGCCCGAGCCGCGTCAAAAGACTTGAACCGGTACCCTGCCGGATGGTCAGCACATCGCCATACGGAACCGATCATGGGCTCACCTTTATAGCTTAGCAGCCTGTGCATGTCCCGGATATGCACAAGATCCTCCTTGTACTTTGAATGAACACACAAGGTGTTCTTCCATTCGTGTAGCAGGTCCAGGATCTTGCTCATCACTCGGCCGACGACCATGGGCGGGCGCTCGGGGAAGCGCCTGACTAGCTCGTTGAGGAACTCTTTGGTGCTGATCTGGAGATGTATAGCATAGCCGCAGTTCTTGACGAGGTGGTCGAGCACGTTGAGGGCCAGGAGGGCCTCGTTGGGGTTGCGGGAGTTGATGTGGGGGAGGAGGGCGCTGGTGGCATCTCGGGCACTGGATGGGGTGAGCACAGGCAGGGATAGCTGCTCTCGTCATACCTGTTGGCCTTCTTGCGGTTGATGTACTCTGCGAGTTCTATATTGGCGATCTGGTTTGGGGCTGCGAGGGTGGGGTCGCACGCCTGGTCTGCGGGGGGTGAGCGGGGCGGGGCGGGGCGGCGGGGGGCTCACCGACGAGGGACTGGGCGGGGGTGAGCTGTGCCCACGGGCGAGCCGTGTTCATTGTGCGATGCATCGACAGGCCTTGGACAGTGAGATGACCTTCACCACCATCCAGCGGCCCCCCCCGCCCAGCCCTGTTACGTCAGCGGGAAGCGGGAGCAAATGGAGGGACGGGTCCACCAACCACAGAAAGCGGTTTGCGACGGTTTCTCTGCGATTTCTCCTCCAGCCGCCATGTCCCTCAGACGCAACACCGCCGCCGCCCTCAGAGCAGCGCCCCTCCTCAGGGCTGCCCCCCTCATCTCAACACGAAACGTCAATGACCTCACCGTCACCTCCCCTCCAAACTCGTCCGCCTCCGTCCGCCCAGCGATCCGCCACGGACCTCCCACAGGTGGCCGCTCATCCGACTCTGGCAGCACTGTCACCGTCTTTGGATCCACCGGTTTCCTCGCGAGGTACCTCATCCAGAAACTCGCCAGGCAGGGCACCCAGGTCATCGTGCCCTACAGAGACGAAGACGAGAAACGCCGACTGAGACCGTGTGGTGACCTGGGACAGATCGTGCCGCTCGAGTGGGATGCTAGACGTCCAGAGCAGACAGCAGAGTGCATCAAGCACTCTGATGTTGTGTACAACTTGGTCGGGAGAGATCACGAGACTAGGTATGTCTCGGACCGCCATTGATGGCGCCACGCTCACACTCAACTGTAGAAACTACTCTTACCACGACGTCAACGTCAGCGTGGCCGAGTCCATTGCCCAGATCTCCGCCGACCTCGGTACTCCTCGACTTGTGCACGTTTCTCACCTCAACGCCAACCCCGACTCGCCTTCCGAGTTCTACCGCACCAAGTTTGCCGGCGAGCGAGCTGTCAGGGATGCGTTCCCCGAGGCCACCATCGTCAGGCCATCTCAGATGTTTGGCCACGAAGACTGGCTGTTGAACCAGATTGCTCGTGGGTCTTGCGCTTCCTTTTCTTGATCTCGGTCTGACGTTTGGCAGGTTACCCCATCTTCTCCAAGCTCAACGGCGGCCAGACCAGGCTCTTCCCCGCGCATGTCATTGACGTCGCCGAGGCCCTCAACCGTATGCTCAACGCCCCCGTCACCTCTACCGCCTCTACTTTCGCCCTCCCCGGTCCCGAGCTCTACACTTGGGCCGAGCTCGAGCGTCTCGTCTCAACCCTCGTCCTCCAACCCGCTTCCACTGCCCCAACCCTTCCCAAACCTGTCGCGCTTCTCCTCGCCAAGCTCGTTAACCGTGGTCTCTGGTGGCCTACGACTTCGCCTGATGAAATTGAGAGGATGTATATCGATGATGCTGGTGCGGACTCTTTCCAGATCAAGGCGTCTGGGCCTGCTGGTTGGAACACGCCTAGTGGTATTGATATGGTCGGCGTCGATGGAGAGCCGGTCAAGAGCTGGGCCGATTTGGACATTGAACCGGATACCATTGCTGAGCATGCTATCAAGCCTTTGCGACGATACCGATCTGCGTGAGTACTAGTCTTGCCTTGCCGTTTTTGTTACTAACGGCCATTCCAGTGCTACCTACGATCTCCCCGTCGAGAACCACATCATCAAGGCTCCCAAGCAATACCACGTCCTTCCTTAGATTGTACGATTCGGCATGTACATGGGTTATCTTTATTGCTTCATTGTCCTTGGATCGTCCTGTTCAACTCTACAGGGACCGAACAGGTTCAGAGTACTGATGAGATGGGGCTGCATGGCGCTGGCAGAAAATATATATAGAACGAATAACCCTTTATAACTACAATACTACACATCGACTTCTCTACTACATTGACGACCAGCATCAACAGCAATTACCATGTGATGACTGCTCCAGTTCCCCAGATACGGTATCTCTTCCAAAGAAAAAGTAACCGGCTGTTTGGCCGATAAAGATGGCAATGAGTATCCAGATGTTAAAGTACATCCCCGTCAACATACTGTCGGCCGTCAGCGAGATCCAAACCAAGACTCCGTTAATAAACGACTTACACTATAAAACCCGCTGTGAATTGACTACCGTATACAAAACTACGCAGCAGCTGGTGTGGCCAAGAGGGAACGTATCTGTATTGATCAGTGCGCGTTCTTGGTGGAGTCAGTATCCTGACTCACTGAATCACAGACTTGGCAACGTTCACCCCGTCATCCTTGCCGAGCTCTGAAAGGCTGGCAGCGCTGATAACGCTAGGGCAGCAGCTTGTAGCCGCATTCCTAACGAGCCATCGATCATATTCTCGACCCAGTCTTCTTACAGCCTCGATGAGGACACAGAGGAAGAAGATACCAATGACTGAGCCGGCAAACATGCCTTTGGAAGTGATGTGCCAGTTGGATGAAAGGAAGCAGGCGTCGATGGTATATGTGTTGAACAGCATCGAGACTGGAGGGAGCATCAGCTTCAAGATGCTTCATGATAGTACGGCCAGTCTCACCTTTGCAGTCGCTCGAGGCGCTCGTCGAGTTGGACGAGTCGGAGCTGGACGAGCTGCCCATGTCCATGTCCATGAGGATCGGCAGGTAGCTGGACATTGTGGCTGGTGTGTATGGATTGATGAGGGAGGGACGGATGGATGCTATGCTGCCGTTTTATATGCCCCGCAGAGATCTCGTTGCGACCAAAACTGAGAGCGATCGGGCCAATCTCGTTAAAGGCCGCCGCTGCGCCATAACCACGTGGTGACTCACTCACCTGCGCCTTTTTATCAGCTCGTCGTTGCTCCCGCCATTCTCCTTCTTCAACGTCTTCCGGGCATTCTTTTGGCTCCCGGATGGCTTCGTGGGTGCCCAGGGGCCCAGGACCTTGCATTGTCCCGCGCCAGACACATCACCAGTCCAGCATTGAGGAAAAGGTCTCAATTGGGTTCCGTGCCTGAAATGTCAACATTTGAGCCATTATCCTTGTCGCCGTCTTGTCGTCCCACGCCAGGTTGCTTCTACTTCAATAAGGCAAGTAGGTCCCTCGAGTGAAGTATTGGTAGCTGAAAGCTTGGCTTCCCTGACGAGAAATCCTAACCCAAGTGGATGAGGTCTACACTCGCTGCCGACAGAGGGAGATAAGACAAGATGTCCAAGATCAAGATCAAGTATATAACTGTAGAGTGAATTGATTTTGCATCTTTCAATTCGACATTACTTTATAGACAACCCCCTTGAACAATCAAGCAATACAACGTATATAAGCCGGGTCTAGCAGTGCAACAAAAAATAAACGCGGTACACGTAGGACACTGCCAACAATCAACAAAACAAGGCAGTGGGAAAGACATCTATTCGCTCTCAATCTATGGCGAAGACGTAGACTGTCAAAAGCAGTTAAGCAGACCTTCAGCTTTGCGCGACGATGCGCTCACCTCTCAAGTATCATAATCCTTCAATCTATTAGGCAGTGTAACCTCCCTTCGAGATCTCTCTCGGGCCCCATCCGACCCAACGCTCGCGGATCGCCCAGAGGCTGGCAAAACATTGGAGATGGCTCTCCTCATCCCTGAAGACTCCCCCGCGACAGATGCAAGCGTAGCAGATGTGGCTCTACTGTTCCGAGTGCGGGAAGGCTGGAGGACACCGGCTGGAAGAGGGACAGTTCTAGGTGACCTAGCTGACTCGGGCAAGGGTTCTGGCGCGCTACCACTTGGAGAGTGGGTATACGCCCGTCGCTCGTCGCGTCTAGGTGATTCGAGATGGGAAATGGACGTCCGTCGGAGCTGCTTGGCAGGGGGCTGATCGTTATTGGCCTCGTACCCATTGGCCCCGATGACTGCGCGCAGGGGAGAAGCGGCATGAACGCCATTGCCTTGCTGTACTAGGTTGTTGAAGGAGCGTGTGCGCTTCAGAGTCGTGCGCTTGGCGAGGGGGGCGGTTTGTATAGGGGTGGGCAGGGCTGTGCCATGCTCTTCATTTTTTTCGTCGGGCTCCTCGCCGGCCACAGGAGCCAGATCATTTTGGCCCTTGACTGAGACCGGCTCCTCATAGCTCTCTCCCTGGACGGAAGGAGTGGGAGTCTGCTCGAGGATGTCAGGGAGAGACCCTTCATCATCTACTGTCTCTCCCTTGAGCTCCCGCACTAGACGTTTAACCTTGTCCTCGTTGGCCTTCTTCTCTCTCATTTGAGCCTTGTTCAGCCTCTTTTTCGGCTTCTCGTCCCGAATCACTTCTAGATCAGACGGATTGAAAGACCGTGTATTGCCCCAATCCGAGGAGGGAGAGTAGGGGTGCCCGGTCGACGGATGGGCGCCATGTTCGGCAGAGGAGCTGGATAAGGAAGCGGTGTAGGCGATGCACCTGTTTATGATGGGGCGGTGGAGAGGAGTAAAAGTGGCATGCTTAGCGCCGGGGGCAAGCACCCGAGCACGAGTAGCCTTCCGGCGACTGGAAGTTGAGGCTGCGGTGTTGGCAGCGTCTGATGTGGAGGGGGCAGAGGACGGGAGGGCGTAGGAGAAGGAGACGGGTGCTCGTGGGCTTGCCGACGGGGCGAAGTGGAGGATGATAGGGATAGGGGACATGGCGGGGACGGGCGGGGGGGCGAGGAGAAAAAGGCTGCAAACAAGAGACCCAGCTTGCCGACCCTCATCTCCTCAGTCGGCATTCATTCGGCTATGACCTCATACAGCGGACATGTCCGACTGTTGTTCTCCCTCGCCGTACGTAAGCAGCCCTTGGGCTGCCAGCGTGCAGGTGCATGGAAATACGAAAGGGTAGTGCGGACCCCTGAGGCGAAAATGTCACGAAACGTGCCGTGCTAGGTATAGAGTATCATCACAAAGAAGCCATAATCGTGCCATGAAGCGTCAAGCAAATAAGTTCAGTCGAGCTCAGTCCCTCTTCCCTAACGTCTCCCACCCCTCGGTCTGACGTTCATCCTATCCGCCAAGTTCCTCCCACCACCCCTTGCCCTTCCTCCTCTCCATCCGCTATTTCCCTGGTCAAAGGCACGCTGGGGAGGCTGCTCCTCGGCCAAGGTGATGATGGCTGCATTGGGGTCGACGGCCAGAATCTGATCAGAGTAGAGTTTACTGGCGCGGCCAGTGAGCTGATGTTCTTCCTATACCAGTTCCTCACTTACGTGCTCTTCGTGGGTCCCAAAAGCTCCTGCCCTGCGACGTTGCTGCTCGTCTCAAATTTAGGCGTCGGATTGTCCCCTAATCTGCTCTTCAACCCATTGACGATCGACACCTTCAGCGTGTTGCCATCCGCGACAACCCCATTGTATTGCTTGATGAGTTGGTCTGCGTCGGCTCTCGATTCGACCTGGAGGTCGATAGATACGAGGGAGGATGAAGCAGAGCTCGACAGAACAGCCTCAGCAAGGGGGAGGGGGTTGAAAGCAGACTGCTCTGGTGAGCATACTCTTCAATAACGCAAACAGCACGTTGCTTACAATCACATCCTCTGGTGTTGTCCCTGGAGCAAGATTCTCCACGCGTACCCAAATTGCCGTTCTGGCAGCACCCATGATAGACACCTGTGATTGCCCGGGCTGTCTAATTTCTCGCCGAGCCGGCTGCCTCAACGCATCGTTCAGCATGTTTCTCGCTCTGGAATCCACTCCAACACCCCGGGCAGCCCCCTGAGACCTCTTGGCAGGCTGACCGCCAGGGGGAAAGAGCTCTGTGCCCGCCCTGGATCCTCTGGCGGCACTATTGGCTTGTGGGGATGCTTTCCCACCACCAAAGATCCTGGAGGCGAGATCCTGTCCGGGATCTTGGGTAATACGGTCAACGAGTCGGTTTTTCTGGCTTTCGGTATGGAGATCATGTTTCCATTGGCCGTCGACGTCGGGACGCTGGTTGGGACGCTGAAGGCGGACGCGTCAATAGAGCTACGGCCGGGCGCTGAATGGACTGACTGTGTATGGCTTGTTCTGTCTGCTCATGCTGGGGTGGCGGAGGGCGGCGATGGGTGCGGGGCGGATGGAGGGATGGAAAGGGAGGAGGATGAAGAAGACGCGTAGAATAGAGCACATTATATTGTGGCAGCGGGATCAAATGCCTCCGCCCATCATAGCCTGCAGCTGAGCGTGGTCGTCCATCGCCCTGCAGCCAGGAATCAGGATGGACAATGCCCCCCATCCCCTCGCACCCCAGGGCCGTCCCGCCCTCCCCCGCCTGCAGACACACCCCGCACACAGCCCCGCCAGCCCTCCCCCGCACCGCCCGACCACCCGGCCGACTCAAAGACTCGGCGGCAGCAGCGAGGCCGAGCTTCTCGGCGTCCATTCTCGCCAGAGCCAGCCACGCCGCCATGGCGCATGCTCTGCAAAGCTGGCCTCCCCGTCCCAAGCATCACACTCGTCCTTCTTCGATGACCATGACGACCATCAGACACCCCGCTCGTATCGTCCTTCTCTGCGCCAGACGGAATCAACTGCCTTGAAAGGACTCGACGGGTATCTTGACAGTCTGGATAGGAACGAGCTTGCTGTCGTGGAAACTCGTTTCGACCTCATGACGGATGAAGAGATTCGTCTCTATCTACAGAACCAAGAGGACGCGCCTGACGAATCTGAACCCCCGGTGGATGTCTCCGATTCCGCCCCCGAATTCGGGCAGTTACCTTCACAAGAGAAGCCCGACCTTTTTGGAGCCCAATCTCCCCTTTTCCCCCCGTCTCCTCCTCCTGTGCGGGCCAGGGCTCTGGCCCATGACCACCCGCTGCGGATATTAAGCAGGGTGGTCAAGGAATTGAAAGAAGTCATTGACCGTCTAGAGGATGAGAATGACTCGCTGCGTGAAGCTCAAAGTCGAAGGAGATCATCGAGTAGCAAAGCTGCCGACCAAGTGAGCAATAGGCTATGATGCGCCTCGGAACAGAGCTAACGGTCTGAAGATATCCATCCATGACAATCTGAACGAAGCCATTGCTACTTCCCTCACGTCTACGTCCTCCTTGCGACATATTCCGGAGCAGTCTATAAGTAACACCAAGTCCCTTCCTTCAACCATAGCCCCATCTCCTTCCACCTCGAGCCGTAGACGGCCTCTCTCACCGGCCTCTGGTTTATCTGTCCCAGCCCCATCGGCCTCTTCTGATGGACTAGAAGAAGAAGACAAAGACATCAGCGGGACGACCTCTAGGGAAAATCAGAAATCCTGGACCTCGGGTCTATGGGTCTGGAGTAACAAAAAGTCAATCAAGTCCAGAAAGGGGAGCATCAGTTCATTCGCATCGAGTTACCCTACCTCGTCCGATTTCGGGGCACCCGCCCAGGCAAATGCTGCAGCTGGTAACAACGACGACGATGAGATTTGGCGCAAAGGGGATGGGAATAACACTCCATCGTTCACAGCGATCTTCTTGGCCACAGTCAGTAACCAAACGCGACACAATCATGACAAGCTGATGGCCTCGCAGAGAATATTGACTCCCGACCCTTCATCCATCTTGGTGTCAACCAAGATTCCGGCCAACTCTCTCGTCGCTTATCTGGCTCACTCGCTCGTCAATACAGCCCGTGACGAGGGTATTGCGATTAAGGAACCAGTCGGTCGAAGAAGATCTAGAGACGCTTCCCGTAGTCAAACAATTTCCACGGCCAGTCATGTCCCTGTTCCCGTGAACGGTACCGATCCAACCGGGGATGGCAGACAAAATGGTGACGGTGCTCTTGCTGTGACCGCTTCTCTTGGTAGATCGCTCTTGTCGTCGGTTGCGGGCGCCACGATGCGTGGTTCAAAGAATATGGTGGGATCTGGAAGCGATGAGCCTCGACCCTCGCTACGCAGCAGGGGGTCTTCTTCGCGTGGACACCCTTCAGCAGTAGCTTCTCCTGCTGTTGTCCAGCATGCGACCATGGATTCGCCTCCATCTGCGGAGACCCCCCTACCATCTGTTGAATTGTCTTCTATCGTCCCAGATGAGAGCCGCCCACCGACCGTGCTATTGTCGCGGGAAAATATCGGGTCATTCTTCCAAGCCAACAAGATGGCAAAGCAAAAGATTGCGACAGCGAGCAGATTCAAGTCAGAAGAACCTCCCCTCACGGATCGATATGGTTTCATATGTAAGTGATCTCGAATAATGAATGGCATCGCACACAGGTGTTGACGGGCTCAGACGACATTCAACATGCAAAGATGTTGAAAGAAGCGTCAGCTGCGGGCGCGCCCGCGCCTATGTCCCTAAACGGTACGATACCCAAAGCCGATCAAGAAGAAGAAGGGTGGATTGCCAAGCAACGAAGAGGATCTCATGGAAGCCACAAGTCTGCCAGAAGCATTCTCAGTCATGAGGAGGGCCATTCCAGCCAGCTAGCTTCCCCTCGCCCTTCTGCACACTCTACATTACCCGGTGTACAATCATCGACTCCAGATAGATCGACCCCGGCCGACTCGCGCTCTCGGTCATCCACCCTTGCAAACCATAGTCGGCATCGATCGGGTACCCTCAATTTGAACCCTTCGCCCGCCCGGCCCGTGACTGGTAAAGATCAACTGACCGTTTCTGCCAGAGGCTCTTCCAGTCTTCGCTCGAACGTGTCGCCCGTCGCTCCATCCTCCGCTGGTGCACCTCCTCTATCAGCCAGTCTTTCCCAGCCTATTGGCAATGATGAATTGGCGTCTGCCAGTGCGAGCCGCGTGACCGTTTCAAGTCTTCTTGATCGTTTGACAGAACTCCACGATCGACAGCAGAAGGAGCGTGTCGCAGAATGGGATGCTTTCCTGAAGAAACGAAACAAGCGTAGAACTGGCGACAAGGACCAGCGATGGACGGCTGGGCTTAATGGTGTCGGTCAAATGGGACTGAGCAATCAGGGCCAAGAGGACTTTAGAAGCTTCGCCAGATTGGTCAGGAAGGGTCTGCCTCTCAAGTATCGAGGGGACATTTGGGCTGGCAAGTTGGTCGCTTTCTCCACCGCCCATGTCGCTAATTTGACTGCAGAGTGCTCTGGAGCCAAGGACTTGATGGTACCGGGAGAATACTCTGAAATCCTCACGGTACACAAGGACTTTGAGAGTCCAGTGTTGGCGGACATTGAGAAGGACGTGTCTAGAACTTTCCCTGGTAACGTATTTTTCGGCGGAGATGGGCCCGGGGTGGGGAAGCTGAGAAGGGTGCTGGTCGCATACTCGTGGTACAATTCGGCCGTTGGATAGTAAGTGGTTTTGCTTTCCCCGCTGATCAGGGCTGACAGACCTTTCAGTTGCCAAGGGATGAATGTGAGTTGCCCCGGTTAGCGTTCGAGTCAGCTAATTGACACTTACAGATGCTCGCCGCCACCCTACTGTTGACTCTCACTGACGAGGGTAAGTATTTGCGAATTACTGGCTGTGAGTAATGTGCTTACGCCACCTTCAGAACAAGCTTTCTGGGCTCTTGTCTGCATGATCGACAAAGCGCTTCCCTCAAACTACTTTTCTTCCTCCTTGATTGGGTCTCGAGCGGACCAACTTGTTCTATCACAAATTGTCGCCCAAATCCTGCCCAAGATTCATAATCATTTTCAACAACTTGGAGTGGATCTGGCAAGCATTACCTTTGGTTGGTTCTTGAGCCTGTTCACCGATTGTCTACCTGTAGAGGTATGTAAACCCGCGGAGCTGTGCGATGGGTGCTGATAGCTGCACTCAGACATTGTTTCGCGTTTGGGATATCTTCTTTGTTGAAGGGCACGACGTGAGTTCTAGGTCGACCACTGCGGCAATACTGATCTGTGTATTAGAGCATCTTCCGGGTAGCTGTTGCCATCCTGAAACTTAACGAGGTTGAGATTTGCGCTTGTGAAAGCGTCGGGGACCTGTTCACTATCATATCTTCCATGACATCAAGGTTGTGGGCAGCGGACAAGCTTATTGCTGTGAGTGATTGCTATTCTCGAAGGTTTACCCACACTGACATCATCAATCAGTTACAAAACAGCTACAAAACAGTTATCAAACATGTTGACCTTGTGGCCAGGTGCGAAAAGGCGGTAGAGGCGCTTGAGAACGGCGAGGTTTAGACGGCCGTCGGGAGTTGGGTATATTGTTTGGATGATTGAAATTGGACATTTGCTTTCTCTCATACTGCACGACATTGTTGCCACATTGCATGTACATGTATACACACCTGCGGTTTGTGAATTTAAAAGGAGATCAGGCAAGGACCGCAAATTCATGATTGCATACTTCATACTTCTTTCGGATTTACGCCCCAGTTCAAATTAGTACGCAGATCCTCCGTTCACATGGAAACATTGAGCGGTAAAGTAGGAGCTGTCAGGACTGGCGAGGAAGACAAACGCTGTCGCAACCTCGATGGGCTGACCTGCTCTTCCGATAGGCGCTTGACATGCAAATCAGCTTCTGGCGATAAGCGAGACGGATCAGGCAGCTTACTGGTAGGGCCAAAGGCAGACAACGACTCTTCGCCCATCGTGGCAATCACAAGAGGTGTCCATACTGGGGAGAATCGATCAACCTATGGCTATTGTTCAGGAGTCACGGCAACTCACCTGGTCCTGGACAGACGCAGTTCACGCGGATACCTCGCTCCTTGACAATTTGGTTGCTAAGCGCTCTGGAGAAGCCGACGATAGCACCCTTGGTGGATGAATAATCGAGCAGCTGGAAAAGAGGTCAGTGGATGCTCAGAGGTGGAGAGAGCGGTTTCAGGAATGGCTTACCTTGGGGTGCCCAACAAATGGATTCTGTGGCCCAATGGTAAGTGTCCTTGTACCTCGAGATAGACGATTGAGGTGGCAACTCACGATTGACGCGTTGTTGATGATACTCCCGCCCCATGGGATGATAGGAATGAGGCTCTTTGTGAGATAGAAGATGGCGTGGATATTGACGTCAAAGACATGTCTCCATTGCTCAGACTCGAGCTGTTCAATATTCTCCACTTCGTTCTGTGTTGCGGCATTGTTCACCAAGACATCCAGTCGGCCATTTGACCACTTCTTGATCTTTTCAACGAGCTCCAAACACGCCTGCTCCGTACGGAGGTCCGCTGCCACGGCCTCCACCTTGACCTTGGGATCGTGCTGCTGAATCTCCTTGACGGTATCTTTGGCGTCTTGGTCTTCTGACGGGTGGTAGTGGATGAAGACGTTGGCACCTTCTCGGGCACTTGAACCAAGTCAGCTCTGATCTAAGCCGACGTTATTCAAGAGGTACTGACTAGAGGATAGCGGTGGCACGCCCGATACCAGAATCGCCGCCGGTGATTACAGTGTTCTTGCCTTCAAGCTTGCCAGCAGGCTTGTACTTGCTGCCGTCAGCCAGAGTGTCGTTGAAGGGAGCGGGGTCGAGAGGCCTTTGCTTGCCAGGGAGGCCCTCCTGCATCTGCCCGGTGACGTTGGGAGGCAGGTAGTCGGGTCGGTACTCTTTGGGGACGGACGAAGGGGGAGACATGGTGTGCAAGTGTGGGTGAATGTACGGTACTCCAAGCTCGGACGGGGTTATATAGGCAGATGGCGTAGGCCATGAGCACCTGTGACGTCAACGAGTGAGCACCCTCTGACCGTACCGCTCCCATTCGGAGTCAGCTCTGCCACTGCCCATCGAGCCTCCCGCCGCCGCCGTCATCGACGCGAACCTCCACCCGCTGAGCACTGGAGTTACGTAAGCGACACACCTTACTCTGCTTAACTTATACTTCTCTGCATGTTTGTGGCTCTGAGACTGAGACGCACCATGATCCACTCCCTCCCCGCCCCCTTCCCCCAGCAGCCCCTCTATCCCCAGCTCCCACTCGCCCACTCCGCCTCGAACCCTGCCTACCACCAGTATCCTGCTGCCCCCGGACAGAGTGCAGCTGTGCAACAGTACTCCGGAGCACAGGCGTATGGCCCAGGTGCTGTCTCGCAGCCGTATGCCCCGCAGCCTGCTGTTCAGTCGTGGGCCCGACCCCAGGCGACTTATAACCAGCCTCCCCAGCTACTCGAGACCGCATCCAAAGACGAAGATCCCGTGTACGGGCCTCTGGGACGAGCGAGAGGAAAAATCACGCGAGGCCTGCGTGGCGACGAAGAGATCAGTCCGGATCTAGTCGCGAAGCTCTCGACTTCAGGAAGTCAGTGGATTTGTGGCATCCATATCAAGTCGTTGACGCTGACACCCTGCAGCTGTGCAAGATCCTTATGCTCCCCCGATAAGTGCCTCTCCAGCGTTCAGGTGCTGCAATGTCACCAAGCGGACACCTCTTCCTGATGCCTTGCATCAAGAGCTCAATTGTGCGCATTTCTCTCTGACATGTGCTTCAGCCGTGTACACCTCTGACCAGCATTTCCACACAGACAAACACCTTACTGCCAAGATGGGACTGTTTGAGGATATTGAGAGAGCCTGGTTCACGGTCGACAACAAGCTCTTTTTGTGGGACTATGGAGATGGGTTAGTCTGGTTGTCTCTTTCCTCGTGCGCTCGCTGACTCTATACAGACGTGATTTCAGCCGATATGACGAGCAAGCAGATACCATCCAGGCTGTTGGTCTGGTAAAAGCAAGAAAAGGTGAGGCGAATGCGTCTTGTGCACCTAGCCATATGCTGACTTCTGTCAGACGTCTTCGTCGATGACATAACTCATGTCCTTGTCATCTGCACGGCGACCAAGGCCACGCTTCTCGGTCTCTCTCGCTCCCTTCAAAGTCGTGAAATTTCGCTTTACCATACCAACCTTACTGCCGAGACGCCCACTATTATGATTGATATAAAAGGCACCGACGAAGGCAGAATTTTCGTCCTGGGCGCCAACAAGGACTTGTACGAGCTCGACTATGCTGCCGATAGCTCATGGCTATTTGGAAGTTCCACGTCTGTGAGACTGAAAAACAAGACAGGGGGAGGCGTCAGTCACTGGGTGCCGAGTCTTGTGACTTCAAAGGGTGAGATCGTATCTCTGGTCGTGATTCATATCAAGACTGATAATTGCCATAGTCAAGGATGGCATCGAGTCGTTCACAGTCGACCCCCGGCAAAATCGCGTTTTCGCCCTCCATACAGCCGGAGAAGTCGACTTCTACGATGTTTCGTCAGGACGCTTCGACCTGCGGTCCAGGTACAGTAGACTCAAGCATGACTTCAAACTGCATGCCCAGGGTCCCAATACGTCTGGCCCAGGACCTGCTATCGTCAGCATCTCTGCTATTACTGGGACAGAATCTAGCCGTGTTTGTCTGGTGGCTGTTGCGTCCACGGGCGCTCGAGCGTACTTTAGCAGCCAGCCCTTCAGCCCCTTCCCCATTCGCGCCGCGCCTCCTCTTCACCCGGGCCTTCCTGTTTCTGAACAATCCATATATTCCTCCGGCACTTATATTGCTGCTCAGTATGATGCCAACGCCCCCCTGAGCCAGACCTATCTCACTTTCACTGTCCCCCAATCTGGCCGGCAATCCGCTTGGCGGGAAAATCACGAGCTGTCAGAGCCCGCTGTTTTCCAGGAATGGACTGTGACAGAGACTATCCCCAGCCAGGTCTGGTCGGTTGTGGAGTTGGCGGGCAATGATCCTCGAAACTCAGCACCCAGTTTGCGAACGCCTGAAGGTGTCGCTTTCAGTGCGCTACCCAGACAAGCAGAGTCGGGCCCTCGAGGATACCTCATTCTGGCTACCAGTGGTCTTTTCTGGGTTGAGCAGCCCAGACCTGTCGACATGCTGAGGGCCGATTTGGAGGCCGAGAGAGATGTAGCCATCAACACCGTGCGGACAGTGTACGTATCAACCTTTTTTTCCAACTGCTGATCAGTGCTAACGCCCCCCACCAGATTCGGCAAGACTCAGCTCTCAGCCATGGCACTGCTGCTGGGATCGACTCCTGACCACAAGCACCCCGATATTCTTTCGTCCATCTCAACGATCCTGCTGACATCTGGAGATCCAATTGTCAAGGACACCACTGGCGGCAAGGCCATCATCTATTCTGCCCGCCACGATGGACTGGCATTGTCGATCGCTCGATACCTGAGGCCCATCTGGGGCAGCAAGGTGACATTGCCTCTTGTCGGCGGTAGGCAGGTGCTGGGCGTGCAGGAGACGGTATTGAGCAGTGTACAAGCCAATCTACAGAGGCTGAGAGAATATATGGAAGAGTCTGTGTTCCTCTTTTTTGTCTTGTATCGAAACTGACCTCTGCGTGTAGCCATCCCTTCCAACGGTATCAGGTTGATGGTGAGGCCAAACTTGCTTGGGACCAGGAGGAGCTTTCTTTCCATGGTTTGAACGTGTTGCTCAAGCAAGCTGTGGAAGCTATATCTTTCTTACTTTTGCTCCAAGACTACAAGATCTCTGATATCATTGCCAAGTGAGCAAACTTTCCCTTTGGGTGACGCATACATTGACACTGTACAGATGTGACGGTCCCACACAGATTGCCTTGTCAGGCTTGACGTTCGAATCTCTCATCGCAAGCTTGGAGGGACGCGACGTCGCCCGAAAACTTGTCACATCTTTGATCGAACAACAGATCGGCCAGGAGCTTGGCGTGAGTGACGCAATTGACATTCAGGATTATTCTCGCTGACAATCTTATAGATCGACACCCTGAGTGAAATACTCCAGCAGCGTTGTGGTTCCTTTATTCAGCCCGGCGACGTGGTCCAGTACAAAGCAGAGGAGTCAATGCGTCGTGCTGAGAGTTCCCGAGACCCTCAAGAGGTTGCCGACAGTCTCGCAGAGTCTTTAAGGCTATTCACCAGAGCCGCGAGCAGTATCCCTATACCTCGTTTACAAGAAGTGGCTTCAAGGTACAGGGCCATCAATTTCACTCTCGGTGAGTATCTCTGCCGCGGCATAAATGAAATATGACTGAGTGATTGCCTCTCAGGTGCCATTGACCTTGCTCTTTGCACCGCTACTGAGCTCGACTCTCAAAACAAGGCTCAAGATTTTGTACGTGACGGGGAACATCCCAATGACCCCAGAAAAGCTTTCTTCGACGCTCGACAAGAATGCTATGCGGAAATCATCAAAGCTCTACAGGCCGTCGATGAGCGCCTGGACCAGGCTGTCGCTGCTGGCGATCCTGCGGGAGCCACTCAAAACCGAAACGATGCCTACGCTCGAGCCATTGCGTCTGACGATGAGCTGTTCCATTTCTACCTGTATGATTGGCACGTTGAGCGCGGGCTTCAGGAACAGTTGCTGGAGGTACATTTCGGATTTCCATGCCCACAATCAGTCGAGAGCTAACAGTGCTTGCAGTTTGATACACCTTACATTGAGAAATATTTGAAGATTACCATTAGCAATGTGGCGGACCGACGAGACCTCTTGTGGAAGTTCTATGCTAGGAGAGAACAATACTTGCCCGCTGCGGAAGCTCTTTCGGAACTTGCCACCCGCTCAAAGTACGTGTCCTCACGGTGTATCGGTGTCCTCGTATTAACCGCACCGCTTCTAGTACCATGACGCTACATGACCGTCTCTACTACCTCGCCCAGGCGCTTACATCTGCAAAATCCGCTGCCTCTCTAGGGTACGAAGATGTCGAGTTCACGAGTAGACTTCAGGAGCAAATCGATGTTGCTCAGGTCCAAACTGAGGTTTTGCGATCGGTTGAAACCCACCCGGAAATGTCAAGTGAAGAGAAGCGCGACGTGTTGACCGTTTTGAACGAAGGACTGCTTCAACTGGACGAGGTAAGCTAAACGGAAACCCTGGGTGACAGTACTAAGTCCTTTCTACAGTTGTACCAGAATTATGCTCGACCCCTCAGACTATATGAGGCTATCCTTTTGATCCTCAAAACCGCCGATACTCGCGTAGATGATGTTTGCGATGCTGTATGGAGACAATTGCTCAGTAATGCAGGCGCCGCTGGTGGATCAGCTGGCGTCGGTGAGGTTATCAAGAGTCTGGGTAGGAGGTTCTTCCCGAGTGAAGCAGCTCCTCTCGGTAAGCTTTGTCGAATAGACATATAGACAGAGCTGAGACCACGCACAGATATCATCGTTCCTGCTGTCTACGGCGAAGCTTCAGGCTTACCCGGACAGCCAGGTTGGGCATCTATCGCATTACTCGACGCTGGGGTTTCTCTCCGAGACCTCTGGGAGGCCGTAATCGCTCTCTATGAGACGTCTGACGACGACGATAGGGAGTATTATGCTGAACAGGCTTCCGTTATTGCGGAGAGGTGGATGGATAAAAAGAACGAGATTCCCGCCGCCGAGGTGAGTTCTGAGCGGCACGAGGGTCGGTTTTCAAATTGACTGACCAATTGCTCAGGTGGAGCGTTTCGCGTCGGCGTATGTCCTCCGGGCAAACGGTGCTTTAGACAATGTCAGAAGAGATATCAGGGATAGACTCGTCGCGGCCAAGCAGATCGCCGTCACTTATTAATGCAATTCTCCCCAGAATGCTTCCATGAAGATATATTTCCACATCAATGACATACACGTCGCCAGGCTACATGAGTTTTCTAATCGCTACACAGGTGCGCGAATTTCGATGATTTCTACAATGTCCCATAATACCAGCCTGTCCCTGCCAAAGCACACCCGCAGACAAAGTTTACAGCTGAGTTGGACAGCACGTTGCTGCCGATGCCCACGGTCTTCACACCCTCGGCGGTCCGCACGCTCGCATACTTCTCAGAAGTGTCCGTAATGACGCGTTTCTCTTTTGTATCATAATAGCTTATCTGCAAAGTAGCCCCAAGTAGGCTGTCCAACAAACTTCCGGCAAGACCCAAGGCAGCGCCTAGACCAACAATCTCCAAAGCCCAACCGACGCCTCCAGCGCGAGATGCAGGGTTCTCGATAAGGAGGTCAACAACCTGAATGAGTCCCATAAACACGCCACCAGCTACCGACACTAGAATTCCCAGAGGTGATACCCCACCGTTGGTCCCGGGGGGGACAGGCTGTAGGTTTAAGATATAGCGGGGAGCGGTGGGAGAGAGGATGCCGAGCTCGGAGGCCAAAGTGTCTGCAAGGATGGTGGCGTTAAGTCTGGGAGACGCTGCTAGTCAGCTTCAGCCATAGTAAATAGGGGATGGGACTTACCCAAGAGAAGCAAACATCAACGGCCGAGCAATGGGATGCAAAGACAGTATCATTGATCTTTTGCTGAGCTGGCCACCAGGGCCAAATCGATAGAGGAGAGCAGCTATCAAGCCAGGCAACGAATTGGATAATACCTGTGAGGGTTGTCAGGATCAGTTTACAATATGTCTAGACTGACTTGTGTCAAATTTCTGTTACCACTGGGTTTGGACGGATCGGGGCCGTCTTCCAGCTTTGCCTTCACTTCGGCCTTCACCTGAACGGGCGTACTGACATCAACACAATCATCAAAGTACAAGATTTGACAACCTGACCTACCTTAGTAGCACGGGATCCCAAAAGGTACATCCCAATCATTGTGACACCAAAAAGTTTGAGAGGGTTTGCGAGATGCCCATAGCCGACAGCGAATGCTGCGATGGCGCCGTCTAGGGAGAGTGATCCCTTCTGATAGCCGTGCAGGCCAAGGCCAGCTGCAACCACCAGAGCTTCAGGATATACTGCTGGCTGGCTCATCGTATTCAGAATACGTAGCCTGGAAGTATGCACTGGAATGTGAGGCAGGAAGCAAGACTCGCTGAGACTCGTTCACCTCGGCCCCCGAGCACATCCCGGGCAGGAGGTGATGTCATAACATTTCGGTCCGCAGGAAAGTGTGTAGCTCGGTAATTTTGCATATGTGATTGATAGCCAGAGGTGCGGTCCCAGGAGGTGGAGGTAGGGAAGGGATGTCATTGACGGGAGAGGTGCGGAGGTCGACGCCAGTAAGGGCGTGATAGGGAGGGACGCCAGTGGAGCGGTGGTGGGTAGAGTTGTAGCACAGTTTGGTGTGATAGAGTAGGGTGGACCAGTCGGACTGGTTGAACGTGCAATACAATCGAAGATACTGTTTGAGCCACTGGTTGGCAATCTCTGTTTGACCGTTGGTTTGGGGATGATACGTAAGAGGTGGAGAGATTGTGGGTGATGGCGAGCAGTATAGCCATGGTAGATGTAGCGTGACCGCCACATGGCATCCACCACCGCCACACTCTCGGCGCTGCGGCGATACCTTCTCCTCCGCTTCCGTCCATAGAAACTGATGCATAGACCCAGGAGTTTTCCTCTATTGCTCTTAGCCGTAGCACCGAGAGTGTGGCGGTGGTGGATGCCATGTGGCGGTCACGCTACATCACCCCCTCCCCGGGAGGAAGACTCGTCCCGAGGCATCAATATGTAGAGCAAAGAAAACAGACCAAGGGACCCAAAAGAAAAGCGGAAAACCAACACCGCGGACCTAAACGAGAAAACAAAAGAGAATTTAAAACAGAGGCGAGAACGGAACGAGGGAAGTCGCGGGGACCTGGAAGGGAGATGCAAGGCATCTGAGAAGGGAGACTCTAGACGTCTAAAGTGGGAGATGCGTAGCATCTGGTCAAGTGCGTCGGCGGTTGGGATGGGGTCGACCACCTCGGATGTGGCGGGCGCCTCGGGGTCGACCAGGTCCAAAGACGATGTATGGTGCGTCCAAGTGGTTCTGATGGGCACCGTTTGAAGAGGGACCACAGGTGGTGTGGCGGAGGGCGGCGAGTGCTTCGGTGGCGGCGAACGACCAAGTGGGGGGCGGGTGATGCCAGAAGTCCGACACCAGTGCCCGTTCTTCAGGGAGAAGGTCGTTTTCGGACTTGCGGTAAGCCGCGCGAGTAGGTTCGTTGATGTACAGGAACTTGTATGCCCAGCAGTGGTTCGTGGGAGCCCAAAGGACGTCGGTGAGCGCAATGGACAGCTGATAGACCAGGCGGCCGCAAGTCCGAAAACGACCTTCTCCCTGAAGAACGGGCACTGTTGTCGGACTTCTGGCATCACCCGCCCCCCACTTGGTCGTTCGCCGCCACCGAAGCACTCGCCGCCCTCCGCCACACCACCTGTGGTCCCTCTTCAAATGGTGCCCATCAGAACCACTTGGACGCACCATACATCGTCTTTGGACCTGGTCGACCCCGAGGCGCCCGCCACATCCGAGGTGGTCGACCCCATCCCAACCGCCAACGCACAGTCCAAAGTGTTGGTCTCAACAATGATGGGATCTTTTGGATCAAAATGATGTAGGATAGGCGCGGAAAGAAGGGCATCCTTCAAAGAGTGGCAAGCAGATGTCTCCGCTTCACCCATAGAAAAAGGAATGTGGCCCTTGGAAAGTTTGTGGAGTGGGGAGGCAATGGTAGAGAAGTTTTGGATAAAACGGCAATAAAAATTACAGAAACCAAGAAAAGAGTGGACATCACGGAGATTTTTCGGTGTTGGCCATTCAGAAACAGCTTTCACCTTTTTCCTGTCCATGTCAACACCTGTGGAAGAGACCACATATCCCAAGAATTTGACTTGTGAGGAGTGAAACTTGCATTTCTCTAACTTGGCATAAAGCCTGTTATCCCGCAGGGTTTGAAGAACAAAGTGAACATGTTTTATATGCTTGTCAAGAGAATTGGAAAAGATGAGGATCTTGTCAAGATAGATGATGACAAAGACATCTAGAGCTTGACGGAAAATATGGTTCATTAGGTGTTGATTTTCCATCCAGATTTGTCTGATGGTAGAGGAGAAGCTCCTGTGGCAGCACCTACAAGGCCTGATGGAGGGGGAGGGTTGTTTGTGTAGGCAGCAACATGCAAGACCTGTGAATGATAGGCCTCACTATAATGTGGTTGGTGGTCATCCAACACAGAGCTCTGCCTCACATGCCACTGGCTATGCTGGTAGCCATACCCTTGCCCACTTGATGACCCACCCAAGGGTACATTATTTGATTCTGATAAGCCCCTCTGAGGTTTTACATGAGATGGACCATGTGAAGATGTTGATGGTGGGCCCGGGGGCCTAGCACTCTTGTGTTGCAATGGGGCTACCAAAACACTGGGTCTTGGAAGCAGAGGATATTTGATCCTTTCCTCAAGACCGGTGGCAGCTGGGATTGTTGCAAATGTAGGACTTTCTCGAGCAGGGCGGGGATCAGCCGGCAATCCGGTGGGGTGGCGATGATACAAGGCATGGGGTAGTTTGACATCGCTCAGAGTGCTTGATATCCAGGGTCATCTCCTCACCAATGGATACTATATGAAGAATGTTGACATACAGTGGAGGTTGACTGGGCACGGTATACTGCTGGGACGCCGCTTCGCGCGAAAAGAGACGAGGTGGTTGATCTCTGTCATTGGTTGGCCCTTTTTGACCCCTGGGCTCTGGCTAGTGGCTCTTGCTCATCAATGGAGCCCTCTGTTGGCAGGTGCACGCGTGTTGAACCAGATGTCGGATAGGATTGGCAGGAATTGTCATCAAAACTGAACGCAAACTGAACGCGCCGAAGGAAGACAAACAGCCACCCACGTGGGAACGGGATCAAACTTATCAGCGCACCATCTCTCACCAACCATCTTGATCTCATTCGACCACCCGTCCCATATCCGTACACAATGGCCGGTCCAGGTGAGTGCTGCCGGGCGTTGTCCCTGTATGCGATTCTAACGTATGCCATGTCCAGGATTTCACCCCCACCCTCCATCACTCCTTCACCGCGGTCTCGCCAAGGCCCTCGGTGCTGGCATGTGGTTCTTCATCTTCTACCGTGCTAGGTGAGTCGTCTCTCTGTCTGGGGAAGAAGTACGGTTTTGGTGTGACCGGCAATGCCCTCGAATAAATTTTGACGTGGACATGTCGCTGATACTGCTCGTGTAGACAAGACGGTGCTGCTCTTATCGTATGTCAATTCGATCTAGGGACGCGCGAGGCCTGAACGAAATGCTGACATTTGAACTATAGGGTCTCAGACATCCTTGGGACGGACATGGACATGGCGATGCCCACCATTAGATTGGCAGGTTAGGTGGAATGTATATTATGGAGAACTCCGCTTTGGCTTTGTCGCCATCGACAACAAATCGGGCACCCGCACACACAAGTCACCGCGTAACCCTCTTAGATCGACTACCTGGCTATCTGTTACCAGTTGTATCCATACGTGACATTCATCAACAAACTCTGCTCGCCTCTATGGGGCATATGTCTTCTTCGCTTCAAAGTGTAACGACCAAGTACTCAGCAACTTTCTCCTATTAACCTCATCCCCGGTCATCCTACGCGGATGTCAGCTCGCAAACAATATTCAAAAACGGATACAACTCACGTCAACCCATAGGTCAATGGCGACAAGAATAGCCAAACTCCGACCACCACCGCTACCAACACCCCCAGAACGATCCACGCGGGCTTGTTGAGTTTTGCCCTCACAGCAGGTCTCAGCCTCATGCCTTGGCCTGCAAAACTGACAGGATAATTGACAGACTCTATCAGAATGAAGTTTAGAATCGAGCCAGCAATGAGGGTGGAAGTGAGGTGGGCGGGAAGGTAGTGATGCAGAAAGAGTTGTCGGTTCATGAGGTAGAACGGGAAATAGTGGAAGGCCCAAGCGCCCAGGAAGAAGCCAGTGTTGCGCAACAATCGGTTCCGGACACCTATCAGACCGTCAGCGACTGTCCGATGACGCTATTGTTGAAACTCACTGTCTTCAATAGGATCCATCCCACGCCTCCTTGCGAGTGCATCCGCCCCAATGATCCCAATAAACACACTGAGCGCCACGGCACATAGCCACCATCCCATCAAGTTCCCGACCATATAGATCTGCTGCGAAGTGTCGCTCTTTGTCCAGAAACTGATACCGCTCAATGAAAATGGCCATTCGATGGGGTTTGACTGGTAGGGGTGGGTGGATGTCAGACCGGCATTGTGCTGGAGCATCAAGAGCTGAAGCTCAAACCACTTTTTGATAAAGGCGCGGTTTTGGGGAGCTTTAGGCTCGACCTGGACGGTACGGTTCTTAAAATCGGTGCCAGATCCGTCCGCGATGATTTCATCGACGACCCAGTGCGTTGTCTTGTCCTTCTCGTTCTTGTTTCCATTCACTTCTTGCTGGCCAAATCCCCATTCGGGAAGCGCTTTGGGGTGCGTCCAAAGCATGACTTTTGTTGGCACATGGATGAGCTTGAAATGCCCTGCCAATGTCTTCCACGGCTCGCCATCATGTGAATCGGTGATGGACACTTTGAAATGAGTGTCGCTAATCCTTTCCTCCTTGTCAAGGGCGACAGTTGTAAACTCTTGATTGGTCGGCATGAGAGGGGAGGCCACATCATGTGTGAGCAAGAGAGTCTGGGTGATGACGTGCTTGAGCTGGATGACATCGTTCTGTCGAACAATCCTGCCTCGGCCAGACTCTGGGATCTCCTTTGTAGGGATGACCTGCCAGTGGTTGTTGGTGTCGTTGTGGGGGTAGCAGGTGACTTGCTGGCCCTGGGACGAGATACGGCCGTCGTCGTAACGGAGGGGATAATGTTCGTCGTGAGAGTGGAGGAATTGTTTGGTGTCCTTGTGGCGGATAGTGATGGTGTCATAGTACCTGATTTCTGCGATCACAGTCAGCAACGGGCACTGTCGAGGACTGAAATACGCTTACCTTGGGCATTCAAAAGCATCTCATTGCCCGACAAGGTCTCCTGGAAGGCAGGACTCATAAACGAATCGCCCGGGCCAGAAAACTTGAGGATCTTAAAATGTACCCAGAAGAATGACAGGTAGACAAAGAAGGGCACAATGATCAATCCGATGGCACGGTACAGGAAATGTCTATACCAGTAGGACTGTACGGCGTAAGCTAAGGAGTCGCGTCCACTTTGAGCGACTTACCATGGGATGACCCCTCTTGATGTCTAGGATTTCCCACAGGTCCCAGAGCACAGCCGCGCCCACAGTCAGGAAAGTAAACAAGCCAACCATCTTGCACCCCAACGTGCACGCCAGCCAAAAGCCGGTTGACAACAGCCAGAACCACCATTCTTTCGTAAACTCGCGATATCGGTACTGGTGGAATTTAATGTAGCACAGCAGGGCGAGGGCCATGAATAAAATGAGGGCAGCGTCGAGGAGGATGAGGCGGGTTTGGACAATGTGGCCATTGTCAAACAAGATGAGCGCTGCGGAGAATGCTGCGATGCCTACAGGGTAGCCGGATTCGCGCATGATGGAATACACGACAGGGATGGTGAGGGAGCCCATGAGGGCGCAAAACTTGCGCATGCCGACGTAGGGGACCTGCATCACATTAGGTCTTTCCTCTGATCGAACGCATAGGGACTCACTCCGGGACCAGTATAGTCGTCTCCGATAGAATCGAATCCGAAATCACCGTCGAATCCAACCCACCATGCAGCCAATGCATTTAGCATCTTGGCCAGGGGCGGGTGTACATCGAAGTAGTAGTTCCTCTTGATATAATGACCTGCTCGCGGTGAGCTTGGTGCACTGGACAACAAAGCATGACATACCAGCAAAGGCACCAAAATGGACTTCATCAAAGACGACCTGGTCGGGATGCGCAATGTTCCAGAAACGGACCGCAAAGGCAAGAGCGGTCAGGACGGTGACGGCGGCAGCTGACGTGAGGTACTCTCTCCTGAGCTCGACTGTGCTGAGGGATTTCTTGGGGACGTGATGCTAGAGCGGGGGTCAGCGAGTCCGGGGCCGAGCACAAAGGAAGAGTGACCTTGTCATCGTCCGAGAGATGGCGGACGGGGAGTGCTGGGGGGTCGTTCCTCTCTGTGCGTCGCTTGCGCGGGAGGACAGACATTTTGCGGGGCCGGTGGATGGCGGCAGATAGACAGAGGGACAATGATTTGATGCCGGCGCGTGAGCAAGATGGATGAGACAGGCACAGCGCGACGCGCAGGCGGGGAGGGCCGCCAGGCACGGAGCACCATCACCACTGTTGCTCGGTTGACGTCATGTGGGTGCGATGACGGGTATATATACTGGCCCCTTCCTCTCCGCTCCCCATCCCCACCACCATGCGTGTCTCTACCTCCCTCTGCTCCCTCCTCGCCCTCGCCGCCCTCTCGGACGCAAAGCTCTTCGCAAAGGAGAAGCGTGAGTCCCTCCAAGCCCCTCGCGCCCCACTCACACCCCCCAGCCGTCTATGAGGACTGGACCCTCGACCAGTCCCTCGCCTTCCTGAAGGAACAGGGAATCGCCGTCAAGGACGCGGCCACCCTCCCGGAAATCCAGAAGCAAGTGGCTGCAAACGCTGATGCCGCCGCCAAGGTGCGTCCCGCCGCAATGTTGTCGGTCACATGCTGACTTTTTGCGTGATAGTGGGGTGCTGCATCCGCGGGCTCTGCCCAAGCTCATTTCGAGGTCATCAGTGATAAACTTTTGGAGACCTGGACAGAAAGCCAGCTGAGACAATACTTGTTGGAGGCCGGCGTGGTCGCTCCTGGGACCACCAAGGAACAATTGCTTGTCAAGGCCAAGCAACAGTGAGTTTCGCACGCCACTCTTTGTATGATTTCTCACGATTCATGTAGAGCATCCGCTGTTTCCACTGCTGCGTACGGCCACCCCACCGACCAAGCCGCCTCTTCCATTTCATCCGCCGCCAACGGCGCCTATGCCACAGCGTCCGGTCAAGCCGTCACAGCTTCCGCCACCGCCCAAAAGGTCTTTGACGATGCCAAAGACTACGTCTTCTCTACCTGGGACGACAACCAGCTCAGAACATGGCTGGAAAAGAATAACGTCATTTCCACCCCTGCCCCTACTGGTCGCGCCGCTCTTCTCAACAATGTCCGGGTCGCATACCTCAAGCTCACCGACCCCGTCTATGAAGCTTGGTCTACCTCTGCCATTCACGAATGGCTCGTTGAGCACAACATTGTCCACCCCGAGCCTACCGCTAGGGAAAAGCTCCTCGGTCTTATGAGGGACAACTACTATGACAACAAGGACAAGGTTTACAGCAAGTGGTCTGAAAGTGAGGCTCGTGACTGGCTCATCTCTGAGGGTGTTCTGTGAGTTTGGTGGGCTGTTTTTGGCACCATGCTGATACACTTCCAGTACCAGCGAAGCCGCCCAGCTCAAGAAAGAAAAGTACGATAAACTTTTGGACGAACACTACACCCGCGCCAAGTCTACCATATTCAGCAGCTGGCACGACTCTGACATTCGTGATTGGCTGGTGCAGCACGATTACATCAAGTCTGACTATGAGGCCAAGCGTGATGAAGTGAGTACAAGCTATCGAGTATGAGATATGTCTGACCATGGATCAGCTCGTTACTCTCATCTCTGACAAGTACACCGGTGCCACCTCTGCCCCTTACCTTGCCTGGCCCGACGCGCGACTTCGTGCCCAGCTGAGGAGCTACGGTATCGACGACACCAAGTTCTCTGGTCGACAGTCTCTTTTGCACGAAGTTCGAAGTAAGTCATGCCTCATACCTCGAGGTATCGCCTACTGACGTCATGCAGTCCACTACGTGCAATCCCAGAACAAGGTCGAGCAAATCCTTGCTGCTATCCGAGATGCCGTTAGCAACAGCGTCGAGTTTGCCGAGGAGAAGCTTTCCAGCGTTCTTGACCTGCTTACTGCCTCCAAGTTGACGGCAGAAGAGAAGCTCGACCGCGCTTACGCCTCTGTTGCCTCTGTCTACGACGCCGGGCTCGCCTCTGCTACTTCTGCGGCCGATGCCTATGCCACCAGCGCTTCGTCGTCAGCTTCTGTGGCGTCCGCTGGCGCTCTGGCTTCAGCTTCTAGCGTCTCGCTCGCCGCGTCCAGCGCTGCCTCTTCTCTCTCTGCGCACGCTGTTTCTCAAGCAGCCCTCGCTTCCAAGTTTGCCTCCAAATCCGCCAACAACCCTGCGTTGACCAGCTCTGCGTCTTCCCTGAGCAAGTCTGCCTCCTCCTACGCCAGCTATCTCTCTTCGTCGGCATCGTCCGTCGGTTCCGCCGCTTCCCACTCTGCGTCCGTGGCCATCCACTCTGGATCGCTCGCTGCAGTCTCGGCGAGTAAGGCTGGCCATTTGTCTGCTGTGTCTGCTACCAACGCCGCCAGCTCCAAGTCTGCTTCTATCTCTAGTTCTCTGAGTAGCTCTTATGCCCAGGCTTCCAAGAGCGCTTTCAGTGCTTCCAAGGCGGCTGCTTCGAGTGCCAGTGCGGCCTCCAAGAGCGCCGACTCTTACTCGTCTTCTTTGAGTAGCGTTAGTGCGGCGGCCAGTAACAGTGCCAAGAGGGATCTCTAAGGTCAACGAGTATGACCGGGGAGCGATGAGTGTGAATGTGGAAAGGAAGAAAAAGATAAGCAGTCTGCATTGGTCGTGGAAGTCGTCTAGCTTTTCGCTTTACTGTTCGATAGTATTCATTGTGATGTAAAGTGTGTTGTGGCTGAATGTGCGTTGAGTGAAGCAAACTTGGCAAAGTGCCACTGGCGGCATTGTGAAACCCCGAGGGATGACGCGGGCGGGGATGGCCGGCTATGCTCTGGCTGACTCTGTATCTGTATCTATCTTCTTGCCACATCTCATACAAAATGGTCAAGGTCAGTCTCTTGTCCCCCGCCCGTCGTCGCTCACCGCCGCCCCCTCCAGGCTGTAGCTGTCCTCAAGGGTGACTCCTCTGTCAACGGTATCATCACCTTCACCCAGGAGAAGGAGGGTGGCCCCGTCACTGTCTCTGGTGACGTAAGTCCCTCCCGCCCCCGCCACCCACGCAGCTCACACCGTCCCAGATCAAGAACCTCGACGCCTCTGCCGAGCGAGGTTTCCACATCCACGAGTTTGGAGACAACACCAACGGCTGTACCTCCGCCGGCCCCCACTTCAACCCCCACGGCAAGAGCCACGGTGCCCCCGTTGACGCCGAGAGGCATGTCGGTGACCTCGGTATGTCGTCCGTGTGTAAGGCTGCATCTGCTGACTCTGCGATAGGTAACGTCAAGACTGATGCCAGCGGTGTCGCCGCCGTCAACATCTCTGGTAAGCCAGTGTCCCATGGTGCTGGGACTTTTGCTTATACTCTTGTCTAGACAAGTCCATCTCCCTCTTCGGCGCCTACTCCATTATCGGCCGAACCGTCGTTGTCCACGCCGGCACCGATGACCTCGGTAAGGGTGGCCACGCCGAGTCTCTCAAGACTGGTAACGCTGGTGGCCGAGCTGCCTGTGGTGTCATGTACGTTCTTTACCGCGAGGCATTTAGAGTGAATGTTGACCATATGTTGCAGTGGCATCGCTGCCTAAGCGACTATCCGCGCGTCTTTCCAGGGTTGATGGATTACGGGGGCTTACAGGGGGTGTAAGCCTGTATAGTAGTAGCAGTCAAGCGAGCTACCGGAAATGCAAAGAAGTTTCTCACGAGCATTCTGGCGTACTCTTCGGCCTGATTATCCCTGCATAAAAGCCTATCTTTGACCGATTCGTTGCTCATATACGTACCTTCTCTCGACCCGTTCGTATGCAGGTAAGCAGGACGATACATGGCACTTGAAGTTGCGGACTGGCGCGTGCCTCATGTTGACTTTACGCTCCTGCTCACCTATACCTATCGTCGCACTTTTTTTTGGAACCCCTTCCCCCGTCCTAGGCCCCCTGCCCGAGGAACATTCCAGCTCCATTGACTCGTGATCGCTGAATAGATCCCAATAGGGCGACAAACATAACCAGCATGTCGCGCGCGTCGACGACGGTTCCTGCAGGTTGTCATGTCATGTTCCATCCCACACCTGTCGACGCGTTCATCGGTCTCTCTGGTGGTGCTTTGCCTTGAGGGGGGGGGGGGGGGGGGCCTTGGACCTTGGATCCGAGGTACGCATCATAGCATAGGAGTGTATCGAGGATAGAGCATTGACGCTCAAAGCGACCGTACCAGGCGACACGTTCAAAGCGGTGAGCCATATCGTGGAGCCACCAGTAGGTCCAGGCAGTCGAGCGCCCTTGACGACCCGCAGACCGTATCCTGTAGGCCGGATCTCTAGCTCACATGCATGGTGAGGCCTTTTGATAATCTATATAAGAGGCCAAAAAATCACCTCACAAATGCCATCCAGCACAACTCTTCAATCTCAACAACTCTTTCCCATCTTATTTCATAGGTCAAGCCGGTCTTGCCTATCTTTATTTTCTTGTCTACTTTAGTCTTTACCCTACCATAGCTTGCTGGTCTTGCTTCTTCGATCTTCTCCGGTTTTCACACTATCACCAACCCTTCACTCAACTTTTCAAGATGTTTACCTCCAGCCTCGTCGCTCTCGCCATTGCTGCCACTTCCGTCCTTGGTGCCAACCACACTGTTCTCGTCGGCCAGAACTCTACCAAGGTGTGTTTCTCTTCTATGTTCTTGACCGTGACTGACTTGAACAGACCTTCACTCCTTCCGAGCTCACTGCGGCTGTTGGTGATACCGTCGAGTTCCAGTTCGTCGGAGGCAACCACACTGTGACCCAGTCGACCTTTGCCGACCCGTGCACCAACTCGGGTTTCAAGTCTGGCTTTGTGCCAGGTAACGCTGATAGCCCTGTCAGCGTAAGTACTCGTTTTTGAGTCCGAACGTCCAGCGGTTGACACTTTCCAGTTCACCATCTCTATCAACGACACTACTCCTCTCTGGATGTTCTGCGGTCAGACTGGGCACTGCAAAGCTGGTATGGTCATGTCGTGAGTCATACTTTTCTGTGCGATATCATATCTGACCAGATCAGTATCAACGCTCCCTCCACTGGCAAGACATTCGCCGCATTCCAGGCCGCTGCCGTAGGAAACTCTTCGTGCGTATCACGTCCACAAAGTGATATCGCCAGCTTATTCTTGACAGCTCTACCGACTCGTCCTCCTCTTCCAACAGCACCGAGACTGCGCCTGCCTCTTCCACCGAGACCAAGAACAAGAACAAGGGCTCCAGCACTGCTTCTGAAACGGCTTCCGGGACTGGTGGCAGCTCAACTGCCTCTGCTGCTGCTGCCTCTGCTTCCTCTGCTGCCGAGTGAGTCCACATCGTCTTGTCAAGTGTCATAGCTTATACTACTATAGGCTCCAGCTTGGCATCCCCAGCGTCTCTGGTCTTCTTATGGCCATTGCCGCTCTTGCTGTGGGCACTGTTCTCTGATCGGTTCGAGGCTCTGGACAATGGACATAGATTGAGACAATGTGAGCATGTGTATGGGTGTGAATGTATTACCGAATCTTATCACTGCAATTTTGTGGCCAAAGCTCCAAAGAGCTCCAAAAATGCGAGCGAGGAAGATACAGCACAAAGTGGTTTTTTGTGCACATATACAACATCAATGCAATTGGTCGCAAGATGATATTTCGCACATGTAAATCCTTCTATAACTTCAACATGATTATACTCTATGCCCTTCCAAACCACCTTCTGATATCAGACAACTCTGTGTGCCACCTTTCCCATTTGCTGGCCATCTTTCGGATCTCCATCTCGCTCATCCCTATATCGCCCCCAGCCTCGGCAGCATGATGTACGCGGGACAGCTTCTCGGTAAGCTTTTGATACGCAGGATACAGTTCTTCGTATCGATCACGGAGACGATCAGGGTCTCGCTGAGCCGAGCGGTAAGAAGCGTTTGAGCTGAGGGGTTCGTCCCGCCGCGGGAGATGCCCGTTGGAAGGCCGTTCAGCCAAGCTGGCAGAGTGGTCTGGTATGGGGCGTTTGGGAACGCGCTTCGGGAGAAGTTCATCATGGCGGATATTGGCAGGAAGAGGCAGATGGCCACCGGCTGAAGGGATCCAATGGTCGCTCGTCCGTTTCGTCTTTGGCCGACCGCGGATTTCGCCCTCTTCGCCGCTCTCGTCTGATGCTGCTAGTTCGCGAGCTCGCTTTTCTCTCTGCTTGACCAGCTCGGCTAGGGGTATAGACCGCTCCTTGCCGGCGTCTTGCTGCGGTTTCTTGCGCTCCCGTTTTGGGTCTCGAGGTTTGGATGGGCCGTCTGAAGACGACGATGAGTAGTCGAACGAGGGCCGTGAACGTCTTGCTTTGATGGCCTCTTCGGACACTTGGCTCGGTAGGCGTTTGGTCTCTTCCCGGTCTGATCTCTTTCTCACTCTCTCGTCATCCGGATCTGCCTGTAATGAGACGCCTTTAGAAGCTGCCGGTCGTTCTTTCGGCATTGTTTTCACCTCTTTGGCCTTTTCTGTTTGTTTCCGAGACTCTGCCCGTTGTTCCTCCTTTTCCAACGCTTTAGAGTCCTTCTTTTCGGGTGAAAGCGATGGGCTTTGTGTGGGCCCCAACCTGGGACTCGCCATGCCTCCTGCGCCTTTTGTATTCGGTAGACTGCCGCTCCCTGCTCTTTGCCTCTCTGCAACGAATTTGGCTCTTTCGCGTGCAATCTTGGACTGTGGTCCCTTCTTGACCGGGGCAGGGGCAGGCTTGGGTTTGGATGGGGAAGGTGACTCGGTGCGGGCTTTTTCGCGGTCGCGAATGACAGAGACGGGGTTGACAGAGAACCCCTGACTGGTTGGTAGTTGTGGCGTTCCCTTGTCGGACGCATCAGAAGACCTGGCCCCATACCCCGTGTGCGCATCCTTTTCCTTTTTCGCCAGATCCATCCTCTCTTCGGCATTCTGAGGTAGACCGAGTTCGTCGAACGCGGCGTGTGCGAGACGGATGACTTGTTGTTGTTCGGCGTAGGTGTAGGACCACTGGCCGGCGCCGAGTTTGATCTTGGCGTACTGGCTGGGCTGGAGTGACCATACGCCGACACGATGTTCTGACGGACGGCCGACCTGTACACTTGTCAGCGTGAGATTCATAAGTGGAGATGGGACGCACGACTTGGACGACCCGCATGACATGATGTTCGTCGCCTCCCATTCGCCTGCATAGATCCTCCTCGGTGGTTTCGCCCATGGCGAGGTACTGGACGACCCGGGTCTTGAGCGGGACACTGCCAGCGGCTGGAGCAGAGCCCACAGCGCCGGGAGCCGAGCTCGACACTGCCATCGAAACCGATCCCAGCAGTCGCTCTGCTTTCTTCTTGCCAGCCCCGCCTAGCCCTGATGCAGGTGCCGAACCGTCAATCCGAGCGGCCCTATCCTTCTTGCGCTGGTCCAAGGCATCGGTCTGCGCGCGGAGCCGGTCGGCTGCACGAGCGGTCGACTTGCTGGTAAAGGGCACATTGAGCCTGGTGGACGCTGTAGCCGAGAGAGATAGTCGCGGCTTGGAGCGGGATGAGGAGAGGGCGAGGATCTCGGAGGTGGTTGAGGTGGGGCGGGACTCGAAGGGGATGGGATCTTGGCCGGGTATTTTGAGAGTCTGCGCGCGGGTTAAGACGGTGGTCAAGAGTCGGGAAGGGGGGTACTTACGATGTTGCCGTCTGAGCCTACAGACACGGTGGCTTTGGGGGAGGCCTCGAGGATGGACCAGGTGTCTTGGGGAAACTTGATGAGGAATGCTTGCCGCGAAGGGCCTGCCTGTCCGACGAGGGGCACCTGGCCTGAGCTCGGCAGCGGCATGGCGAGTGGAGGGGGGAGGGTAGCGCAGTAGACAAGCGATGGGTGGGGAATGCAAGGGGATGAAGGGTGCACGATGTTCAACAAGGGAACGGAGGTGGCATTATGTAATGGTCTCTCGCAACAACAAGTGCAGTGGTCTCGGTGCAGCACTGGGTGACTGCTGGGGATGGGAGGGCAAGAGACGATAGCACGGCGTGTATGTATAGGAGCAGCAGCGAGGAAGCGCACTCGACGACGAATGCATGGTTTATAGATCAACGCTTATCATCTCATTCGTCCCATTTATCCTTCCTTCACACTTGATTCTCAACACGGATGACGCTTAGGCAGCAATCTTGGCCTTGACCTGGTCGTGGGAGAGCTTGAGGAGGTCGCTGGAACCACCGATAGACTCCTTGTTGATGAAGATCTGGGGCACGGTGGAGAAGCCAGAGAGGGTGGGAAGGTAGGCCTGGATTTGGGCTGCGGGGGTCAGTTGGAGTGGCGGGCATAGACAGCACAACTCACAGCCGTCTTCCCTCTCATCGAGCCTGGGAAAGGGTCAGCGAGCAGCATTGAGGGCAGGGCACGTACTCGAGGACGAGGAGGTCGGTGGTGTCTTGGGCGAGGTACTGCTTGGCACGCTTGCAGTACTGGGACGGTCAGCGGGGCGGGGCAGGGCGACATGGAGCGTACGGGGCAGTAGGACTTGGAGAAGACGACCACCTTGTTGTCTGCGATCGTCTTGTCGACGAGGGCCTGGATCTCGGGCGCCATGGCGGAGCGGGTAGAGGCGAAGTAGCGCGGGGCGGCGAGGGCGGCGAGGCGGAACATCCCTTTGGGGGACGTGCTCACATGCACTTATATATACTTTTCAGATGCGTCATCCAGTTACGTAACCCGGAGGGGGCCGCCCTGCCCTGAGCTGCCTGCCCACACAATAGACGAGCTAGTGCGTGCGTGCGGCCGTGCGCCAGGCCCGTGTGGCGGTATGTATGCCCTCCCCCTTTGCCTCTTTCTGGTGCTGTGGTCTGCCGCAGAGAACCCGCCGCCATGGACGAGACCGACGCTGACAAGGTGCACTCCCCGTTGATCGAAAGGAGACGCTCCAAGTCCTTGACCGACCTCTCCTCAGACTCCCGCCGAGTCCTCTCTGAACTCTCGTCTGGGGATATGATCCTTGGCAGCGCCCCGCCCCGCCCGCCCCGGAGACGACAGAGGCCAGAGCTGCTGACCAGTCTGCCAGCGAGGAGTCTGCACACCCTCTCGCCCATCCCTTCGTCGCCTGCCGCTTTCAGGCCCTCGCTCGAGCTGCCCAGGCCAGGGTATGCGAGGAGCACGTCGCCATCAGCAGAGTCAGTCGCGACCGTCACTCCTGCTCCAGAATCCGATCTGGAATCGTCACAAGAGACTACTCTCGCCTCTTCCATTCGGCAGGGTGTACGCGACATGACCCTTGGCCATTCACGGACCGGTTCCGCCTCCTCCGCGTCCAGACGGATGGGCGCACTCTGCGACCTCGTCTCGGACCTCGACCTGACCCAATCCTGGGGCACATCGCCCGGCTCGTCCGGCACCCGCGTTCAAGGTATCGATTATGCAGAGCCTTACAGAAACTCGTGCTACACCTCGTCCTCGTCCGAAGAGTCGTCCCTGGTCAGCCCGCCTCTCGTCGGGTCCCCTGTGCTGCGCCCCGTGACCGTCCGCAACGATGGGCACGAGTCTGAAGACTTGGGTCTGTCCTACTTTGAACCCAAGCCGATACCGCTCCCACCCATCCCCGTCGAGGCGCCGAGCCCTACACCGCTCAGCCGCAGAACACCGTCCAAGAGTTCACTCCGCCAGAAACGCCTCGCCACCCCCGAACCTCCCCGGCCTGCCTCGCGCGGTCGGACAGAAGTCTTTGATGTAGCCTGGTCGGGCTATGGCAGGTGTCTCGAACCGTCTTCACCCATCGCTTCCACCGCGCCATCTGCAGACAAGACATGGCGCTCTACCTTGGCATCCGAGTCAACTTTCACGAGCGTGCTAAGCACACACGGCGCGGCCGAAGTCAAACGACAAGAAATCATGTGGGAAATGTGCGAGACGGAAAAGGGCTTTGTCGACTCGATGAAGATGGTCCTTCGGCTCTTTGCTTCGCCCTTGAAAATGCCACAGGGAAGGTGGATAGAGGGCATCCCCCAGAAAGCTACCGAGCTCTTTGACTATCTACAAACGATCGTGCATGTCCACGCCGCACTCGTAAAGTCGCAAAAAGATATCACCAAAGACGGTGTCATTGATGTCACGGCATTCATCTCTGATTTCAAGCCATGGCTGTCGAGGTTGAGCGTACACGAGCCGTTCTTGTTGGAATTTGAAGAGGTGATCCGGTTGATCGACACGCATGCCAAGGATGCAAACAGCGTCTTTGGAGAGTTTCTCAGGATGCACACGGGGGCCGAGGTGCTGGGCTCCATGACTCTGACGAGTATGCTCCTGAAACCTATACAGAGGTTGACCAAGTACCACTTGTTTTTAAAAGTGAGTGTAATGTCGCTAGTCGTTTGACCATCGCTGACCCTCTCTAGAACCTCCTTGACGCCACACCCTACCCGCATCCGGCTCACTACAGCCTCGTCTCCCTTCTCCAAGTCACCGAGGCAACCGTCACCAAAGTCCAAGCCTCCAAGGCCCGCGAAGAAGACCTTGAGTCGCTCAAAATTCTCGCATCCAGCGTTCACGGATTGCCCGACGGGCTCAAACTCGCAGAGCGAGGCCGCAAATTCCTGGGACACGGGACTGTACTCAAAGTCGTTCTGGGACATGACGAGCTTCCCCCAAGCGGAAGAGTGGTGCAAAGCAGGAGCAGATCAGAGAGCGTGCATTCATACAATTCTGGCCGCAACTCGGTGACCTCTTCCGTCTCGTCCTCTGCTCCGTCAACATCCAGTCCCTTCCCGTCTTCCGACTTTACCTCCTCGTACTTTGGTCCCTCCTCACGCTCATCGGCATTCTCAATATCCTCATTCGGGTCGTCCTATCTCGCGCCCTCGAGATCAAATTCTCTGACCGTGCCCAGATCGTCTCCAAAGCTGCCTTCTCGCCCGCCCTCCGCTGCTTCCGTCTTCTCCCTCTCTAGGCCCGGATCTGCCGCTTCCATGCGAGGAGGTAGACTATGCCGAAAGGAAGAGCCCTTGACGTTGCTGGTTTTCAACGACATGGTGATCCTGGCGCAGGCAGAAAAGGCAGGCGGTGTCTATGGGAGACGGCGGGACAAGGGGTTCAAAGTATGTGAGAATGGGGCGGGGCGGGTAGTGGAAGTTAGAGACTTGAAGGGTTGGAATGGTGAGTATCCTCCTACCCAACCTTGTATCGACTAATGTTTGACAGGACGCGACCAGGTGTTTAGCGTCACCATCATCCCAAACCATTCCAACAACCCGATCACTATGACATACTATTTCCAACTACCCTCCGTCACCACCGCCTCCGCCCCTCATCTGCGGCGAAAGCATTCATCTCGCATGGACCTCTCGCATCCCTCGCTGTGCACTGCTGAGGCGTTCATCGATAGTCTTTATGCGGGGCTTGAGGTGGGAGTGGCTATGGGAGGCGATCAGGGCGAAGGGCAGGAGTTTTTGGTTTTCTAGGGCTGTGGTATAATGCTGTCTGGGACAGTGATTTATGCATCTTGAATACATCTTGCCTTGCTGATAGGGCGGAACTATATGTTCAGGGCGAGAGATAAGATATCGCGAGCTTAAAATATCACTCGCGTTTTGAAGTAAAGAACGTGCTTGAGGCTCTGGACGGGTTATGGAATCGACGTATCTGTGTTTTCACTTGTTGAGTTTCATATCAAAGTTCTTCAACTAAGAACAGTAGTCTGATCAAGCCTACGTCTGTGTAGTCTCGTCGTCCAGCAGACCCAACCAGCGCCCCTGTCCTTTTTGAAACAGCCGCCGCGAACCAAACCTCTGCCGCGATGGCAGTCATAGACTCGACTTTGATTCTCAACAAGCTCCTCGTAGATACCAACAATACCGGCGAGCCTTTCACATGCGCCCGCGAGCTCTACTTGTCTACAGACTACCCTGACAAGCATGTCCACTTCCCGCTGTCCTCTCCTCTGATCTCTTCTTCTGGTACATTGCCGCCATCATGTTCTTGGTCCTCCTCGGTGGAGTATTCTCAGGGCTGACCCTAGGTCTTATGGGTCTCGATACGGTGAGAAATACCGCACCATTATGATAGGAGCTGAAACTAAATGCTGCAAAATAGGTCAATTTACAAGTCTTGTCGGTGGCTGGGACAGAAGACGAGAGACGGCAAGCACCACGAGTTTTGAAGCTTGTGGGCCACGGAAGGCATACTATGCTTGTAGTACTTTTGCTAGGTCAGCAGTGTCTGCCCCCACAGAAGGTTTTAGACTGATTCGTGCGCTCGCCAGGTAATACTTTGATCAACACTTCGTTGCCTATCTTTCTCGACTCTATCGTTCGTGTCATTATTGTACGACCGACAAGGTCCGACATCATCGCTGACGCAATGGCAGGTGGGGGGAGGATGGATAGCTGTACTGGGCAATCCTTTTTTGATTGTGGGATCTCTTGCGAAGCATTGCGAGGTTACTGTAGCTGATGACGATCCACCGCTAGCTGATATTTGGAGTCAAGTCGTGACCAGACCGAGTCAGAGAGACTGACAGAGTGCCATTTCTCCTCACCACCAGAGTAGGTTAGTAAGATACTCGTGATTATACATACTTGAGCTTACGAGACGCTTTAGGATTCTGCCTCAATGTAAGACCACTTGCTGCTACAGATGAGAAGCGACGCTGACCTCATCAGCCATCTGCAACCGCTATGGTCTTGCGATCGGGTCAACGTTCGCCCCTCTCGTGAGATTCCTGATCGTTCTCATGTATCCCATAGCCAAACCCATTGGCATAGTAGTGAGTCCGATAAGATCATGACCAAAGCCCATGATCACCTCCACGCCATCCTGCTAGGTGCTTCACTTTGTCCTCGGGGCCCACTCTGACCCAGTGACATACCGCACAGCCGAGCTCAAGACATTTGTCAGTCTGGGAGTCGAGGACAAGCTCGAAGAAGACGAGCTGGGACTCTTGGGCTCTGTGTTAGAGTTTTCTGGAAAGATTGTCGAAGATATCATGGCGAGTCAAGAAGAAAGATCAAGCGGCACGGTCGTGGACATGCTTACAAGACCGCAGACATCGCATGAGGACATGTATGCGCTCTCAGCGGAGAGGATTGTCGTACGTGTAGACATTATTCATCAGATGGACGACACATTGATAATTGTCTCCAGGACGGCGAGCTCGTCAAGGAGGTAAGAGCAGCGTGATATTCAGACCGCCTCGCCAACCACCTGCTATTTTAGATCCTCAAGAAAGGTTACAGCAGAATCCCGGTATACGAGCCTTCGTCTCGTGATTCGTACATGTACTCTACATCTTCCCCGCACTCGGTTACAGCTAAAAGCCATGTAGAGGTAACATCACGATCCGAGCTTTGGTAGGCTACGACTGGACGGATTTGAAGCCAGTGTCAGATCTCGTCACCCAAGCACTGCCACAATGTTTCTTTGACCTCAACCTGATTGAAGGTGAGCAATATTTTCCTGTCGAATCGTCAGGAAGCTCACACGCGTCCTTAGCCATGTCTTAGTGAGAACCACGGGTCTCCGTAACCACGCGATACTGTTTACTGAATTTGCCCTGCTTATTAGCTTCCAAACAGGGAGAAGCCACATAATGCTTATCACTCATGGCACAGGAGACAACACCCAAGTGCTTGGTCTTGTTACTCGGGAAGATGTGGTAGAAGCTTTGATGGGGCGTGAGATCATTGTGCGTGGCCACAAAATCTGACTCTATAGTGATATCAACTGATGGGCCGGGATTGTAAAGGATGAGACAGACGTGTATATAGACATACACAGCCGGGTGCCAGTAGTGCGCTCAAGAGAGCGAGATGGACAGTCAGTACCAAGATTCCTGCTCCATGCCAAACCCCTGACATAGTCACCTACAGCGTCAAGGGCCTCAAGAAGATCTATGAGGGCCACTTGGCCCTTTGCCGCGTTCTGGAGGGACAGACAGTGCTGAGACACGAACGAAGGATTGTCACAGAACATAGTAATCTCTTATAACTTTGTTCATGCATACCTGTCAGACCCACTGTCTGCGCTTTGCAGCTCTGACTCACAGAAGGTCACCCAACATGGACCGGGATAGAACGGAAGCAAATCGACGCGCCAGAAATCGGTCGTTGTCTTCGGCCGTGCGTCCATACTCTTCACACCACATCCATCCCACCTCTTCCCACCATGCCGGGCGCGACCGACACCGTCATCATCGCGCTCACGATCCTCCTTCCCCTCCTCTACTTCTTCCGCAACTCCCTCCCCTTCATCGGCGGAAAGCCCAAAAATGCTCCGTCTGCAGCCCTTTCCGAGAAGACCGCGGTAGAAGAGGGCGATCCCGCCGATTTCGTTGGCAAAATGGCCAGAGCTGTGAGCAGTCTCCCTTATTCTCTGTGTGTGTCGTGCTGATAAAATTCATAGGGCAAGCGCTGCGCCATCTTCTATGGCTCCCAGACTGGCACCGCGGAAGAATACGCGATCCGGCTCGCGAAAGAAGCCAAGTCTCGGTTCGGCATCTCCTCTCTCGTTTGCGACCCCGAAGAATATGAAATGAACTTGCTCGACCAGGTCCCTGAAGACGCATGTGTCATCTTCGTCATGGCCACCTACGGCGAGGGCGAACCTACGGACAATGCCAATCCTCTGATGGAATTCCTCGCAGAGTCCGAACCCGAATTCTCCCAAGGCGGTAATACTTTGGAAAACTTGAACTATGTGGTCTTTGGTCTCGGAAACAAGACCTACGAGTTCTACAACGAGGTCGCCAAAAAGCTCGACAGCAGATTGACTGAGCTTGGAGCCAAAAGGATTGGTGAACGAGGCGAAGGGGATGACGACAAGAGCATGGAGGAAGACTACCTGGCCTGGAAGGATCCCATGTGGACTGCCTTCTCTGAGCGTCTTGCTGTCGAGGAGGGTGGTGCTGGCGATGTCGCCGACTTTGTTGTGAAGGAGCTGCCCGATTACGCCCCCGAGAAGGTCTACCATGGCGAATTTTCCCCTCGTGCCCTTCTCGCATCAGCCAGCGGCGGGAGCACTCCTGTGGGCGCATATGGTGCCAAGAACCCCTTCCCTGCCCCTGTCCTTGCTTCTCAAGAGCTGTTCAACGTCGGCGGTGACAGAAACTGTGTCCACATCGAATTCGACATTACCGGCTCTGGCATGAACTACCAACACGGCGACCATGTGGGCGTCTGGCCTTCTAATCCCGACGTTGAGGTTGACCGATTCCTTGCTGTTCTTGGCCTCAGTGACCCTCACAGGCGCCAGGCCATTGTTGACATCGAGTCTCTCGATCCCGCTCTGGCCAAGGTCCCCTTCCCTACTCCTGCTACCTACGATGCCATTTTCCGTCACTATCTCGACATCTCCGCCGTGGCTTCCCGCCAAACGATTGCCTTCCTTGCTCGTTACGCGCCTACTGAAGCTGCTGGCGCCAAGCTCACGCAGTGGGGCAATGACAAGGAAGCATATGCCAAAGAAGTCGACGGCCCTGCCTTGAAGTTGGCCGAAGTCCTCCAAGCTGCCAGCGGCGATTCTGTCGAGGAGCCTTTTGCCTCGCAGACTGTCTGGTGTATTCCCTTTGATCGTATCGTCTCTTCCATTCCTCGTCTTCAACCCCGATACTACTCCATCTCGTCATCCGCCAAGCTCCACCCCAACGCCATCCACGTGACCGCGGTTGTACTCAAGTACCAGCCCGATGCGTCCCCCGTGCACCACCACGAGCCGCGATGGGTCTTTGGTCTTTCTACCAACTTTATCCTCAATGTCAAACTCGCCCAGTCTGGCGAGAACGCTCCTTCTGCCGGCGACGCTGCTCAGCAGGTCACCATGAAGAAGATTCCCCAGTACAAGCTGGCGGGCCCTCGTGGCAACTATGTCAAGGAAAACGTCTACCGAGTCCCTATTCACGTGCGAAGGAGCACTTTTAGACTGCCTACTTCTCCCAAGGTTCCAATCATCATGATCGGTCCTGGAACTGTGAGTCGGGTGCATAGATGTTGCATGTCCGAGCTGACGAAAATTTAGGGTGTCGCTCCTTTCCGAGGCTTCGTGCAAGAACGTGTTGCCCTCGCCCGCAAAGCTATCGATAAAAACGGACCTGATGCCCTCAAAGACTGGGCCCCCATGTATCTGTTCTACGGGTGTCGACGTGCCGGCGAAGACTTTTTGTATCAGGACGAATGGGCGCAGTACGAGGAAGAACTCAAAGGTGTTTTGAAGATGAAAGTGGCCTTCTCTCGAGAGATGACCAAGCCTGATGGCAGTACGTATCGTATCTGTTTTCTACGGGATGCTGCTGACCCAATTGACAGGCAAAGTCTACGTACAGGACCTCATCCACGACCTTGCCTCTGAACTCGCTCCGCTCATCATCGACAAGCGCGCATATATCTACATCTGCGGCGACGCCAAGAACATGTCGAAGGCTGTCGAGGAGAGACTTATGGAGATGCTTGGGCAGGCGAAGGGCGGAAGTGCAGCAGTCGAGGGGGCCAAGGAGCTGAAGACTTTGAAGGAGAGAAATGTGAGTACAACGATCTGCGCCCTCTATTCTGCGACCTCTGCTGACTTTTCCCGCAGAGATTGATGACCGACGTCTGGAGCTAGGTTAAAGCCATCGGAAACGGATGTATCACAACAAGTATACGAATATGAAGGGTGTCGTCGGCGGACACATTTTACGAATTGTGCGACATACAAGGAGACTATAGAAGACGCATGCATATGTTTACACACTCCAGTGACAATATACGACATACTGATGTAATATAGCAATGAGATAACTTGACGCGGATATAGTCACCTGCTACCATGCAAGCTATCATCACCTATCTCTGTTGGGCGCTTGACCTCATCCAGAGCCACTCTTTCACCTACATCTTCGTCCCGCTTTTCTTTCTCGTGTCTGCTTGTCACGGCCCTGGGTATATGCCAAAACGGCCTGTCTGGTTGACTGACTCTTACGACAAACATCCAAAGTACCAGCGAAGCCGCAAGGAAGGCTATGGAGAGTGGCTGGAGGATCCAAACGCCATACTTTTCAGCGATGGCTCCTGTGATACTAGACCGCCCGTCAGTCTTCTTGCTCCTCGGGATATATCAAAAGGAGTCATGTACAAAGGCATCATAGCGCTGCCAGCTTGCCCTAAGCTCGCTATCCACCCAATCGTCCCTCCCTGAAGCTCCCCAGGCAACACCTCAGTGACGACATTCATGACCAAAGGGTACATGGGCCCGAGGAAGACACCGACAAGGGCGAAGCAGACGGCGTTACCGACGATGGTGTGGGTGAACCAGATGATAAGGGATAATACTATAGAAGCGATAGTGCTGATACCTGTCAATGGGTCTGAAGCTCCCCGGGATAAGAAAGCTCACTAGGTCCAGATGGAGAGGTGGGGGCCAAGTCGTTTAGAGACAGGAATGAAGATGACTCTTCCAAGTGTGAGACCTGGGACAGCATCAGCATCTGGCTCTATGCCTCGGCAGCATACTGATAGCGTGCTCACCTCCGAAATAGCCAGCCGAAACGTAGCCAGCGTTACTGTCGCCACCTCGCTCATCAATCAAGAATGTAGTCTGAGAACGAGATCAGCATGTGCCGCGGTATATGGATAGCAGTGACTCACCGCCCAACCACCAATGGTAACTTCGACACCGACCTATGATGGATGGTCATCTCAGATAGGGTGAACACGCCCGGACAACCTACATAAATGACCATGTAGAATGCCATGTAGTGTACCACGGGGGTCTTCAAGATCCTCTTCATCTTGCTCCCGCTATCCTGGTTGATCTTCTTCACTGGTGGACCATCCTCTTGAACGGTCTCGGTTGGGGACACCTCTTTCTTTTCCTCCACTTCCTCCTGTCTGCTTCCGACGATCTGGTCTTCTGTCCGCAGGCGGAAAACCCCCAATACTAGCGCCGCCGTGAGAACCGCCAGCCCTAAGCTGACGGTGAAATACAAGTACACCCTGTCAGGGATGTGTTGCACGAAAGCGGTAGCGACAAATGGAGAGATCGTTGCTCCAAATCCATACAGCGCATGCATGAGGAACATTTTGGTGGGAGCGTTGGGGAGGCGGGCAGTCAGGGAGTTGACTTGGGCGTCCTGTACGATGTCAGTCGACAGGGTGGACATGAGATGGGGAAATATATTACCTGAAGACCCAGACCAAACCCATTGAAGATGTATGCAATCAAGAACAGGGGATAAGGGCTGCCCCAGCACATGAGGATATACGCCAAGCCTTGCATACTTGCCCCCAAAGGGGCAGCGATGCCAAAACCGAGGCGATCGGTGAGGAAGACGTTGGTGAGGCCAGAAGTCATGAAGCCGACAAAGTTCAAGATCCAAATGATCGAGACTGTGCTGATTGATGAGCTATGTATATGGCTTTCGATATGGTCTATAGACTTACTGACTAGATAGTCGACCTGTTTCACGGCTCATTGTCAGCGAGAGAGCTATCTTCTACGAACGGCATCAACGCGCATTGTAATGTTCTTCCAGAGACGGTAGTAGTGGGCCTTGCGAGGCGTCATTCCACCCAGCTCTGGTATCACGAGTCTGAGTATGGGGCACATACGGAAAGTAGACCGAAGGTAAGCCTACAAGAACATTACTAGAAACAATACGGCGCTGATGCACGGTCAGTCTCAAGACGTGTCCAGCCTCGGCTGATCTTTACTCACAGCATGACACGCGACAATCGCCGGCTAGGGAGTGGAAGAACCCGGCTGAGCCTCTTGAAGATATAATGGCATTTTTGGAGGCTCCCCTGCTGGGACCGCCGGGAGGAGACATGCTGGAGGCCGCCTTCGACTTGCGCATCGACGTGGACTGGCTGGTTGGACATGGCTGCGGTATAGTGGGATGGTTCAGCTTTCGGTGGCCCCACTGGGGATTATATAGCGGCGAGGGTTGATAAAGCAGGACGGAGAATCAAGGCCGATCACGCCAGCTGTTGAGCGTGATATGTACACAGTCAACGTGATACCCGGGGCCAACGGTTGATTACCTAGCGGAATCAATTTAGTTTGCCGACAAAACCCGGCTGTGGGTGATTATCAGAGCGTTTATGCGTTTAGCGGCCCCAGGCACGTGACTGCGAGATAAGATGTCGTTATTTGGTCCTTGTTCCGTCTTCCTCGACACGAGGCAGCTCTTCCATGCGGCGAGTGCCACCCCCGGCCTGAGCGTCACCCCTCCTTTCGAGGCCCGTGTGCTGCCTCCACCCTGCGCCCGCTGCCAGTATATATAGAGAGAGCCCCGCCATCTCCTTCTCTCTTCCCCATCTCTCCCCACAGCCAGCTCCCGGGCTACAATCCGGTCAAACCCCTCCTGTCATATATCTGTCTCATAGCAACATGTTTCCTTACACCCGAACTGCCCATGTCCATTCCCCTTCCTTCTGTCCTGATCCATGTCAGCCATTCCTCTCATCCGACACTGCCTACGAACAGGCTTTCAACGAAGAGATACAGGGTATCCTATGGAGGATGGAGAGCTCCAAGGGTTCCGGCGAGGCGCTGTCTACTTTGGTGAGCCTCTCCAGCCTGGTCACTGCCTCTGGATACTGATGGATGTAGCCACTTCCTCTACCCGACACTACCTCCTCTCCTTTCCGGTTCTCTCCCCTCCTCTCCCGTCAGCCCACCTTCTCGCATGTTGAGCCCAGCCCTTCGCAGCCCACCAGTGACATTTTCAGCATCCCTACCGAAGTCGACGCATTTCTCGATATCATCGAGGATGACGCCAGCCCCACCCCGTACTGGGGAGCTATGGAAGCAGGGGCTCTCTCCACCCGCTCTCAGCCACTTATGCCTTGTCTCGTGTCTTCCTCGTCTCGTGCGGAGGCCATGCCTACATGTAATCGCCGCCACTCTAGCGCTCACGTCAACCCACCCCACCTCGGTCCCAGCCCGAGCTTTGTTTCCATACCTGCTCCTTCTTCTTCCTTCGATCGCTCTCGCACCGTCCCCCATAGCCATTCGAGGACAATCTACAGCTCTACCCAGGCCACGCTTGGTGACAGCTTCATCCCGAGAAGTCGGCGGTTCTCAGCCCCGGATATCAGCAATGATGTTCTATGGGGAGCGTCAGGGGGTCTGACAGAGAAACCCATCAAGAGAGGAGATCTGAAGGTAAGGAATGAACAGCAGGAAAAACAAGTCAAGAAGGAGAGGAAGAGGATGAAGGCGGCAGCTCTCGCGGCTGAGAAAGAGCGGGTCAGGGCGAAGAAGATCCTGGATTTGTCATACGCGTGAGTGTTCAAAGACTATTGGGTCTCGATCCTAACGACATCCTAGCCCCCGAGAGAAACAAGGTCCTGAACAGGGGAAAGATAAGGCCGCTATTGCCACCAAGCGCTTTGTTGATTCCGAGCACCCCGCCCCTCCAAAGACTGATAGCATCACTGTGAAGCTTCTAGTCGTCAGAGAGGAGACTGTGCGTATCTTCCACCGGATTAGCAGTCCTCAATCGTCGCTCATGTGGCTCTTCAGAAAGGTTCTTTGAAGCTGGGAAGCAAAAAGACTAGCTCTGGGACTAGTCAGCAGATCAGAAAAGTCACCGTAAGTCTGCCAACCTGGTACAAGTGATCTGGCTGACGAGCGCGATTACTCAGGTAAAGTCCCTTGCCACCTTACACGCCCCATCACCTTCACCCTTTTTCGCTCCAAGTACCAGTGACTCGTCTCAAAAAAAGCGCCACCGTCCAAAGTCTGCCGAGAGGGAGATCGAGGACGAAAGCAAATCCCAGCCTCCTGGGAAGAAGCCAAAGTGCCATGGCACCTTAGACAGGGGTAAAAAGGGTGTAATCCCTGTTGTAGGCATGATGCGGTACTCTGCTGAGGAGGTCAGTGTTCTTGATGTTCATGAGAAGACCATGAGCTGACTGCAAAGTAGGATCAAATGATTCTCCAATCATGGGACGGCCGACCGCCTCTCTCGGCGGATACCCTTACGAGAATGCAGACTTCTATGGCCATGAACGGACATCCTCCCAGATCCATTGCGGCTCTCAAGTATCGGTGAGCCTTTCGTCTGTGATGTTTGGCATGGCTCACACACCATTACAGTGCCCACCACAATCTCAAGCCACAATTCGACGAGAAGCGCCTGGCCTTGGCTGCCAAACGCGGTAGGCGATAATGGGCGCCCTCCCGTCACGACTCATCACCTATCATTCAATACGAACATTATATTCCCATTAAAGACTGCCGTCATACACGCGCAAGCCTATTGCAATAGTCACCTATCTTTCCTTACTCGCGCCTTATCAAAGTTGTATGATCATGTGAGTCGAGTATCAAAAGCTCCTATGGGAGTCCAAAGGACAATCTTTTCCGCCCAATTCACATGTTTCATATTACACCATACTTCTGCCCATGTCTTCTCGTTCACACCATGTTTTTGTATGCCCTACATATGCACATAAAACCCCTCCGTCGCGTACACGCGACGTCGCGCGCGCGTCTTCTTTCAACTTCCATGAGTGTTACGTAAAATATCGTCATTCGCTCTTGCGCTTCTTGTCTTGAGCAGCTGCAGAACGGAATGCCGAAGAGGGTCTCTGAGTCCGGTCTTGATCTGCCCTCTCATTCATTCTTTCCATTCGATTCCAGCACCAGAAACCGACTGTCAGGAAAACCGAAAATGTACTACCCCCTGGCAGCCCTCCTCCTTCTCCCACTCACTTTCGCCCAATTCGGCAACTTCTTTCAGGGCCATTTCGGAGGCCACCAGCATCAACAACAGCAGGAGCAACAAGGGGGCCAGTCACCGGGGAGGCAGCACAAGGGATGGACTGAGAATGAAAGGCGCAAGTATCATACGCCCCGTCAGAGAGGAAGCGCTGATCGGGGTGGGACGTAGTGAGCTGTAGGGCGGGGTACGTCTGTCCTGCGTCTTTGGCTTGCGTAGCTACACCAGCCGACTGTCCATGTCCTTATCCGTGAGTGATTGATCACAAGAGATCGTAATGTCTCTAATATCGTGACTATTCAGGGAGGATATCAAATGTGTTCTACCTGACCACCGCGAAAGAGATGAAGGCGAAGGCCCTCCATTTGTCTGCGTCAGAGAAAACGAAGGTTGCGCCCAAGTTGTCCAATTATCGAATCCTATCTGATACCAATCATGATATGCAGATGATATGGGAAAGCTGTCTAATATATAGGAAAGTTGATATCAATTTCCTTGCCCCAGGACTTGAGACCCCCGCGTACGTCTCTGATGCGGACTGTCTCGCTGTTTGGGATGGCTTTTCGCAGAGCCGCAGCGGCAATCTGAGAATCATTGCCTCTTCTACATATGAATACCATCTCGGAGGAGATGGGTATGGAGCTGGGGTCGGAGAGGATGGTGGCGAGAGGAACATCTGCTTGAAGTCAGCTAGTCCTTGGACGTCAGAGTATATCAACTCGCTTTTGGATCCGGGGACTGAACATATGCCAAACTCCACTGGAGGCCTCGTATCTATAAGAGAAGTCTTGTCCGGCGCCTGTTGCAGCATGAGATCCAGCTCCTGGGAGGCATTGAGCAATCACACACAGGCGTTTCAACGGCACATACCTTTACGCTCAGTCGCATCCCCGCATGACCGTCTACCAATCCCGTCTCATCAGTCGTCTCTGGGCGTGTGTCTCCACCGGAACAAAACTCGTCGTATCCAAAGGCTTCAAGATCGTCTGTGATCGTGGCGTCTGGGCCGCAGGCGATACATTTCGGGGAAGGACCCTTCATGCGAATCGATCGTATGAGTGGGTTCGATCCGAGGTGATGAAGATGTAAGAGAGGTTCAGGGTCTAGAGCAAGTCAGCTTGGGTCATTACAAGAAAGTTGAGTTGCCCACCTTCCTTGGCCAGTATGAGTTTGATTGCTTCCCCAGCCATGCCGACCCCAATCATTCCCGTGACAACGGGCCAGACGCCCAGCTCCTCACATCTCCCATTTCCACCACTTCCAGCGAGTACGCTCGGCCAAATGCATCTATAGCAAGCTCTCCTTGCTCCGTTCTTGCGCATGCCGCCGTAAACAGCCCACTGGCCAGCAGAAGAGATGGCGGCGCCAGAGACGAGAGCAATATCTAATCGGATGGCAGCGTCCGAGAGGAGATACCGCGTCAGGGGCCGGTCGGTGCAATCGAGAAGGATGGTGTAAGGGCGCAGCAGATCGAGAGCTGTGGAAGGTGTAATTGATACTGGATTGGGAATGAGGTTGATTTTGGTGTTGAGGCTGCGGGCAAGTGAGAAGGTACTCGCGAGCCAGTGTTCTGCACTTACGCCCGAAGAGCAAGACATGCAGATTCAGACTTGTTCATACCGGCACGGTCTGTCGTATGCAGTATCTGTCTATGCAGGTTGCTTAGACTGACGGTATCGTCGTCAAAGATCCCGATGGTCCCTGTCCATGTCGAATCAGCTCTGGTCTCTAAACCTATTGATGTGACTTACCGACCCCAGACCCCGCAAGATACTGGAGAACAGGGCACCCAAGACCTCCAGCCCCTACGACAGCCACTTTGGCGTTCTTGAGAGCGACCTGGCCTATGGCAGATGTTAGTGGCTGTTACCTGTCGGCGGACGGATGCTGACTTGGGAGACCGAAACCGGGCATGATCATCTGGCGTCCATAGCGCTGGTACTCTTCGGGGTCGAGGGGCAGGTCTTGCACGACGGTACGCCTGGGCAGGGACATCTGGGCAGTGGTAAAATGTTGGTAAAATGTCGAGCTGCACGATAAAGTGGAGGACGCCGTGACTACCCCGGACTTATAGTCGGGTTGGTGTAATTACTCCCACTAATAACCATGTAATTACTCCTCAGTTGCGGCAGTCCCCTGTCCGGACTTGGCGGACGCGACTCAAAGTGTATCGTCCGGACAAGCATTCGATGATTTCGACGCCATTCCGGCGCTCAAGTGCTCTTCCATCTAACTATATATCTGTCCTCTCCATCTCCAAACCTCTCAGCCATGGCCACAACATCCTCCAAGCAGATGGAAGTCAACCCCCGGGGCATTCCCCGAGCTCCTTTCGTCGTCAGTGGCCTTCCACCTTGGAATTGTTCTGCAGTGCTCATGACAATTCGCAGGATAATGTCGAAGAATACGTCGGAGGCAAGGAAGCTGAGGTCCAATCTACAATGAAGAAGTTTGAGGACACTACAGCGTGCGTGGTACGCACTAACCCCGAGCGTAAGCTGATGCGTCTTTCACCAGCAAGTATCGATATATGGAAGTCACCATTGGCAACCGACGCAAAGCACTCCTGAACAAAGTTCCCGATATCGAGCAGACACTCCAAGTAGTGAAATTTCTCCAGCAACGCCGACAAAAAGCCCTCGGGGAATCTGTGGAGGAGGAACAGCTCAGTGACGATGAAGACGACCTCGACGATGACCTTGACGAGGACAAGGAGAAGACGGAGGAGCCGCTGAAAACGCTCTTTGAATTGAACGACACTTTATTTGCAGAGGCAGAGGTCAGCGAGAATGGGGAGGTTGGTTTGTGGCTGGGTGTGAGTGCTAGATCCCCAGACGTCGTAGACCTTCCAGCTGACATGGACAATCTTTGCAGGCCAACACCATGCTGATGTACCCTCTGCAAGAGGCTGTCGAGCTCCTCTCATCCAAGCTGTCAGCAGCTCAAAGATCTCTGGGGGAGACTGCGGAGGATCTCGAGTGGCTTCGAGAACAAATCACCGTTATGGAAGTCAACTTTGCGCGTGTACATAATGTACGTTCAAATCCGAGCCTATTTGAGTCGTTGGCTAATCTCTACGCAGTGGGACGTGAAGAGGCGAAGAGAAAAGGGTCTCATCGGCGGCCAATCCAACATGCTTCCTTCTGGTAAGAACGATGGCGGAGATTCGGATGAAGAAAGAGATTGAGTGTAATGTATACCGCCCATGACCCATGTGCACTCATAAGCTTCTTTCTTCATAAGTGTCCATTGTACATGCTGTAAAGGTATGTGCTGCGCTGAGGAAAAACGATGACTATGATGAGCTATTGACAATGCTAAATTACTGCTCTACTTTTTACTGATAAGATGTCCTTGCTTTGCTTGAGTGAACTCGCTCGCTTCAGTCAAGGACAAAGATGTCTACTGGAGACTACGTATTGCCTCCACTAGCTGTTTTCGGACGTTTTGGCGGTTATCAACAAGCTGGGATTTGATCTGTTGTCTCGTCAAGCCAGTCTAGCGCATATCAGTCTAAGCCCCCAAGCCGACGCAATTGACCACTCACAAGTCTTGACAGCTCATCAACATTCGCCATAGCCACCCCCTTCGCGATGATATGCTCTGCAATCATGACCTTGGCATCCCTCGGTATCCTCGCCTTGGGCCCTGGTGTCCCCTTATGCTTCCCCTTGTTGATAGTCATGCCCGGCGCCTTCCCGGCATGCGACATTCGTAGACCTGGGTCGATATTCGCAGACTCGAAGGAAGGCGAGGGGGAGTTTGTGTTCTCCCCTGACGATGCCGAGGTGGAAGGAGGCGCTGGGTGGTGACGACCCACAGGGGCTGAGAAGGAGCGGTAGTCTGACGGCCCGGCGGCGCCCCCTGAAGGATAGGTATGTGGGCTGAAAGAGTGGACATCCAGAGCACCAGGGGCTGCCAGGTGAGAGCCGGGGAAAGGGCTGTACATGGCAGCATGGGGAGGGAACGGAGAAGGGTGGTGCTGGATATACGGGGAAGATGGAGACGGGTGGGTCGAGAAAGCTGCATCGTATGGTCCTGGGGGGCCTCCGGGTAACGGAGAGCCAGCCGAAGGCATAGATGGGTAGAAGGGGGATTGCGGGGCGGACATGGGTGGAAGAGCAGCCGCTGCGGTCTGCAGACCGAGTGGTGACACTGTTTTTGGCCGTTTGTGGGAGGGATGGTCGAGTCTGCTTTCAGGGTAGGGGAATGAAGAGTCTTCTTGCGGCTGAGGGTCTTCGTGGTTACTCATGTTGTGGTGTATTTGTGTGATAAAGAGTGGTGCTGGTGAAAAGAGTGTTGGTGTGCGTCGTCGAGTGCGATATATGTGGTAACAATGTGCGGACGAGTAAACACGACTTGACCACTGTATCTTTCTGTACATTCTTGCATTATTAGCAAACACCGGAACCCCTTGCAGGCGGTGCTTCCTGGTGACAGAAACGTCATCGCCCTGTTCTCCGTATCGTGTCTACCCAGCTGGCCACGTCTTTGCGACACGCCTCACTCCCTTTCTTTCTCTCACCAAACGCCCGAAGACCGATCTGCAGCACAACGTGTTTGTGTAGGGCTGACAACAGCCCGGAGCGGCACTTGGTAGCTGGCGACAGTGCCCGCCATGTTGTGCGACCAACAGTGGCAGGCCCAGCAGGATCGGCCATGAGTCCCCTGTGTCAGCATCGCATCTGCTGATGGAGAGATGCCCCTTCTCTGCTATGGTCTCCTGAGGCTTGAGGCGACTTCCCTGGTGATGAGCTGGATTGCTGTTGCGATTGCTGTTGCTGGCCTGTCGATCACGCAGCTTCCAGAGTTCCTGGCGCTGGAAACCCTCGATTCCGAGTTTCGGACTGGCCACATCTGCGCAGACGATGCAGCCCTTCTTCCGCCGGCGGACTGACGGGGACCTAGCAGAGAACGAGGGGAGATGTTTGAGAGGCGTTGTCGAGGCCCCTGGAGAGTGTACGGAGGGTGTAGTGCCAGCCATCTCCCTGTCGTAACCATGCAACACAAGGCGCCACAGCCATCAAAACACAATCAGACACACCCTGAGCCCCTTTTTCTCACTCTCTCGTTCACCATCGTCTTGTCCGAATTTTGGGGAGATGCCAGCTCTTTTCTTTTGCCGCCAATATGTGCAGGCCGTGCAGGTTACTTCTACAGTTCTACAGGCACTGCATTTTGTAAAGAGGACTGACTCCCTTACGTGCACGTCCATTTCTCTCTTCAAGCTTCAGGAGCCTTACAAGTAGGCGGTCCTAGTATATAGTCAACTAAACGCCGTAAGAATACAGTACACCCGATTGACATCTTCACTTCGCATCCAGCTCGCTCCGTCGCCGTTGATGCTGAGGGCCGCTGGGCCGGGTACAAGAGCGTTGCCATTACCGTCAACATGTACAGTTCAGTACTCGTACACACTTCACGCTCTTGCCGTCCTGCAGGCCGGTTATCGAACTGTTTCCTCCTCCGCACCCCAGTGCCCCCACTTGCTGCGCCGTACCACGCGGGAGATAGAGAGTCCGCCGTTTGCGGCTCCGGTTCTCACGCTTCCTCTTCGAGTTGAACATAATGACATGCCTCGGATAAAAACAATGATTATATATGATCTAGTCACACATCAATTGATGGCGACATTCAAGCGTCAAAATGTGACTGATGTGATGAATACAAACCAGTGATGTGGTATCCGACAACAAAATATGAAGGAAGGCAGAGAGTACCGCAGAGAGCATTGTTGTACCGGATGCACAAGAGGTTGAACAAGAGAATGTGAACCAGGGTATATACGTAGCATCACACGATTGGAGAACCGGGAAGCCCAAAGCAGGCCAAGAGCATGAATGTCGGAACGTCTACATCCACAATGACAACGGCGAAGAATCTGCTTTCTATACAGAGATTTCAGCCCCCTCTTACACCCTCTTACACTTCCATTGAAAAGTACCATGAATGAATGAGACAAAGAAAAAAAGAATGGTCGAATGAATAAGAGTGAATTATGCAGAAGGAAAAGTAAAAGGAGAAGTCATTCTATGATTTAAATGCAAATGTGGGTGTTGCGGCGATTGAACGTCCTCGGACGACAGAGCGCGGCAAAGAAGATACTACTTTTGTGTATTGATTCGAGAACTAGAAATTGAAGGGGGCGTTTTGTGAATGTCGTTAAAAGCCATGCAGTTGGAGAGAAGTAAACTTTGTGAGACATGATTAAAAGCGAGTGTCCGGGAGAGACAAGACAAGGAGCGGTCTACTTCAACAACTCCTTGAGAGCCTGATGCAATCGTCAGCAACGCATCATCTTCACCGCGGAGTTCACTTACATGTTGAGCGTAGGCGGCGTTGGTCTTGGACTGCTTGGAAGCACTCCTGTTCCTGCCGGCAGAAATGGCTTCCTGTACCCAAACCTTGGTAATGTCATCGCTGACCTGGGTCTTGAAGACGCTAGCAAAGTCGCCGATGAGACCAAGGGACGAAGTGCAGAAACCTTCTGAACGATCCTCGTCGGCCCAGCATGTCTGGAGGAAGCCAAGAATACCGCCAACGTAGGGAAGGATGACGTTGGCTGGAACACGTTAGCTTGAACAGCACAGCTTTGTACAGATGACTCACCCTCAGTGTCCCTGAACCCGTTCATGATACCGATAAAGGCGTCCACAATGGACTCCCGCATGTTTTGCACAAAGTCAATCATGCCCTCGTCACCAGCGGGAGCGGTCGTAGATCCAGCCTGGCCAAGGATAGTCATGGTAGCCTCGAGGTAAGGCTTGAACTCGGTACCAATGGCGATAGCGACATCACCAATCGCAGATATGGCGAAAGGCTTGACGTGTCTGGCGACCACAGGCGATCGAAGCAACTCGATAAGAGCACCCATGATGTTCTCCGCGTAGGGCTGGAGAGCCTCGTTGACAGCTCGGGCGATGTCGGAAGTGACAAAGACACCGGCCTGGGCAACAGAGTGATCTTCGTACGAGTTGAGAGCAGTGATGACATAGGGGCCAAAGGCATCCATGTACTTGTTGAAACCAGCCTCAAGCGCCCCAGCGAGAGCGCCAATGGTGGCGAAGGCCTCCTCAAGAACACCAGACTGCTTACCAGAGGTAGAGATGAGGCTGATCAGATTGGTCATGATCCTATCGGCGAAAGGCGCAGCAGCGGCAGGACTTCGACGAATGAAGGAAGAGAGAACAACGCAGTTGTTGATCTGCATGTCGTTCCAATTGTTCCTGTCGTCCATGCCAACGAGCTGGTTGTGCACACCCTGAAGGGCCTCTTGCCTGGCAATGAAAGCCACAGCAACTTCTTGCACGACCGGAAGAGTGTCGTTGGCGGAAGAGGAGAGGAAGGTGGAAATGGTCTGTACGGCAGCGCTTCGGCTGTTGGATTGATTGTGCGGCCGCTCGGCAATGGGCATGAGCTCTTTGAGGATGCCAGAGTAGTACTCGGACATCAGGTTGGTGGGAGAGTCTTCGGGAAGCTCGGGCAGAGAAGATATTTGAAGGATAAGGTTGTTAAGGGCGGCACAACAGCTGTTGCAGGTTCGAGGAGACGCAGTGAGGCCCATGACGAGAGCAGTGATCAAGTCTCGGAGGTGCATGGAAGGGTCGATAATCTCGAGCATGGTCTCAGTGACCTTGCTCAAGGTCCAGGCGACAGTGTCTCGGACGGGCAAGCTGGGGTCGGATTGCATCATGCCAATGAGGGCACCGAGAGCCTGGGTGACGAGGGGGCCCAATGTAGTGGGGTCGGGTCCGTCAAGGATGGATCCAAAGGCCATCACGGCGGCCTCTCGCCGTTGCCACTCGGGCTGAGTGATGCCGGCTTCGACGAAAGGCACAACGGGGCCGACAATATCATCGCCGATGTTTTGAGCCAAAAGCTGAAGACAGGCAGCGGCGGCCATGGCCTTTGTCCAGTCGTCCTCATCGTCATCCTCATCTTGCTCAGAGAGGAGGCCGAGAAGGACAGGAAGGATATCGTTAAGGGCAGCTTTGGCAAAGCCCTTGGACTCAACTTCAGGTCGGTCACCATACTGGATAGCCTGCGATGGTGTGAGTCCGATTACGAGTTACAGCCATGTTTTACATACCTCTTGAGCAGCAGCGGTCAAATCGATTTCCTCCTCGCAAACGGTACTCCAGAACTCGATAGCTTGAAGAGCAACACGCTCCTCAGAGTGTTTCATACCCATAATGGTGAGCTATGGCAAGTCAGTGACAGCCTGTCCCCGGATAGAGCATGAAACTTACTCCAAACAGAGCGCGCTCCATGTAAAAGTCCATCTTTTCATAGTACAAGTGCATGATCTGAACGAGGCACTCGAAGGCGCCAACCTGAACAGACACTGAAGGGCTTTGAGTGGCTTCGCAGACGACCTGCATGATGTAGTTTCTCTCGCCCTGATATGCCCGTTAGCGATATACTCGACGGATGGTGACGACACCCACTTCTCGTTCAAAGTTGTCCCTGATAAATTCGAGAGAGTTGTACAAGGCCTGTATGGCGGCATGCTGGACGTCGGCGCTGGGCTCCTCTTTTCTGGCACCTTGAACAACTGCTGTAAGAATCTCGTTCGATCTAGCCGCAAGGATTTGTGGTTGCTACTGATTTTCAGCATGGCGCCTGAGCCCGTACAATGGAAAAATACTCACGATGACTTCGCAAATGTAACCGACCGCCTGCAAAGTGCTAACCCGCAACCCAGTGTTTTCCTGATTTTGCACAAACTCGAGAAGTTGGGGGATCAGATCGGTCCACTTGCCCACCTCGAGCTCGATGGCGGCCATGGCTGAGACACACTGAGCAGCCACGGCACCCGCTCGCTGTTGGGGAGATCCAAGAGTGGAGAGGGTAAGATGCTTGAGGGGTTCTGTGGCCGAGTCTGGGAGAGAGAGCCATCTCTCGGTGAGAGCTGCTTGGTTGACAATGTCCTGCAGAGAGTCAGCTGAAGACTGTGCCAGGAAGATTGAGTGGCATACCCGAGCAGCGATACCGTTCTTGAAGGCGAGACCCGCAGCATATCGGACGTCTATACTTTGGCTCTCATTGGCGAGCTCAGTGGCAAGGGTGTGGAGGTATCCGAGCTGGAGGCAGGGGGGTCAGCAGCAGGGGGGAAGGGAGGGAAATGGACGGACAAAGTTGTCTCTGGCGGCCGCCTCGAGCTGCTGGGTGGCGGACTCTCGGGCAGACTGGTCTGTGGGGTGTGAGCGGGGAGGGGGGGACGGGGGCGAGGGGGGCGAGGGGGGGCGACTCACTGGCGGAGAGGGAGTCCTGGAGGAGCTGGGCGGCGTTCATGGTGGGTGGTGTGGGGAAGAAAGAGGCGAGGAGCGCGTGAAGAAGCACCGGGAGAAAATGCGAAAAACAAGAGAATATAAATATAATCCATGCATGACGTTCCCCGCACTGCATGCATCCTGCCACATGGTGCATCCCTCGTACTCTACTCTAGTACTCTACTCTACTCTAGTACTCTACTTTATGTCCCCCGCCAGCCCATGCATCACTCCCCGGCGCACATTCCGCGGGCCACCCTCACCCAATCACCCGATCACCCAACTGCCACATCCAGACAGCCACAAACGCGTCCCAAAATCAACCTCCACTTTCTACATCTCAGTCTTCTTTGCCTTTCTATACCCTCCCCTCCAAGCTCTTGCACAATGGCTGATGACCCCTCTGGCTGGTCCCTGACCGAGTCCGACCCTCAAGTATTCTCCCAGCTGTTGAACGACTTGGGCGTCAAGGGTTTGCAGGTGGTCAGTCCGCGTCCATGAGACAGCCATGAGATCGCCTCGCATATTGACGTCCTTCATGGTTCTAGGATGATCTCTACGCGTTGGACGCCGAAACTCTCGCCACCTTGAAACCTATCCATGCTCTCATATTCCTCTTCAAATATGTGTCATCCGAAGAAGAAAAGGGCGGTGAGACGCAGGGTGTCGAAGTCGACCCTCTGAGTAGCGGTGTGTGGTTCGCCAACCAGGTAGGTAAACCCAGTCCACAAGCGAGCTCGACCCACATACTGCATAGGTCATCAACAACAGCTGCGGCACTTTGGCCGCTCTCAATGCTGTAAGTACGCTCAAGTGCTATACGAGTACTCTACTGTACGCCGTCTGACATGGATTCGATTCAGGTAATGAACATTCCCACCGAGTCTTCGCCCAATGCTGGAGAGTCAATAGAGCTCGGTGTACGTGACTGCCAGGCCTCCAATACACATAATCGACTGACAATATCTCAGGAAGAGCTCGGCAACTTGAGGGAGTTCGGGGCTGGGATGGAGTCCCTCGAGCAAGTCCACCCAGACCCCGAAACAAGCCATCGCTGACTTCGTATGACTGCAGCCTCGGCCACATTGTTTCTTCTTCCGACCGAATTCGAGAAGTACACAACTCCTTCTCCAAGTCTTCTCCATTCTCTATGGACCCCTCGGCCTTTCCCGAACGCGAAAAGGAAGACGCCTACCACTTTGTCGCTTACTTGCCCGTGAACGGTATCTTGTACGAGCTTGACGGGCTGAGACGCTCCCCGTTAATGCACGCCCCGGTGGAGGATGACTGGCTAAACACTGCAAGGGAGACCATCGAAAACAGGATTGCCACATACCCTCCTGGGTCCGTGAGTGGCCAAACAAGAGGCAATACGCGAGCTAACTCTGGTAGCTCATGTTCAACCTCCTCGCGGTCCGCTCTGCCGCTCTTCCTCGTCTCGAACGACTACTTCATGATCAGTCCACGCCCGCCGAACAGAAGTTTGCACTGCAAGATCAGCTGGAACACGAGCAGAGCAATGCCAAGCGCGGTGCCCTTGAGAATAAGCTTAGACAGCACAATCTGTTGCCGGTCGTGTTCCAGCTGTTCAAGGGTCTGGGCGAGAGTGGGCTGGCCGGTAAGTTTACCTCAATGATTGTTCCGTATGCGCTGACCATCCGACAGGCAAAGCTGTCGCAGATGCCAGAGCTAAGGGCGAGGCGCGTATTGCAAAGGCCAAGGCTCAAGGCGAGCAAGATTAGACCAGTCATAGCCCTATCCACATGTAAAATCACCGAGCTGCATTCTGAACGTTGCCAGCGCACAATTCCAATGTTCCATATCCTTTTTTTGCATCCTCTAACTACTTCTTGTCTCCTCTGCACCCTGCGCCACAAATCGCTTAGTGGTGGGCCTCAGCCTTAGGGAGATCCTTCTCGAGGAAAGCAAGGTACTCTTCAACGCCTTCGGAAGCCTCGGAAGTGTTGGAGGCCTTCTTGGCAGTGGCACCGAGAGCGGGCTCCTCTGCGTCAAACTTGCTGAGCTCGGAGGCGAGGTCGGTGGGGAGAGAGGGAGCGGTGGGGGCTTTGGGGGCAGTGAAGGAGCGAACGGCGCCAACGTGAGCGTCGGAAGACTGCGGGGCATGTTAGTCGAGCTATGTCGGAGATGGAGAAGCGCCAAATGTACCTTGGCGGCGGGCTTGTAAGACTTCAGCTGGTTGACGTAGAGGTCCTGAACCAAGTCTGTTGCCGGTATCAGCGCGTGTTCCGTTTAAATCCGAATTCGCCCCATCGACCCGAGATAGGGGGCAAATGCAGCAAGCACAGCACACCCACCCTTCTTGGCCGCAGAGACGGAGAAAGATCGAGAGAAAGCGAGGGGAGCCTTCTGGGCCTACACAAACCGAGTCAGCAGGGGATTTGGAGGGGGCCGAGAGCAGTCCGTGGGGTGGATGATCTCGCCCCAGGTCGAGTTGTGGATGGGACGCACGGAGAGACGGAGGATGGAGGCCATTGTGAGCGGTGAATGGTTTTGTAGGGAGAAATAAAGAAGACGTCGATGGGATGCCCTCCTCGGGTCTAGAGAAGGCATCCGCGCGCCTATCCCTGAGTTTGGCTTTCGGCCGGCGGCCCTAGCCGCATCCATCCACCTCGTAGCACGCCTATTGCGTCTCATATTCGACGCGTTGAACGAATGCTGCAGTTCCCGCTCTATCTATACGACGCGTAGATCGGCTCGAGGACTACACATCAACAATGGGTATCAAGGGTGAGTACAATCACAATAGCTGGTGTATTCTCCTGACATCGCGTAGGTCTGACGGGTCTCCTCAGCGAGAACGCACCAAAGTGCATGAAGGACCATGAAATGAAAACAGCAAGTCTCTATCCTTGCCCTGTGACTCGACTGCTAACAGATTTCCTCTTTTCTAGCTCTTTGGGAGAAAAGTTGCCATCGACGCGTCCATGTCGATCTACCAGTTTCTCATTGCCGTTCGCCAACAAGATGGCCAAATGTTGATGAATGAGAATGGCGATGTCACCAGGTTGGTGCATTGTTCTAGAGTGTCGTGCTTTTGCTGATCGCCGATAGTCATCTTATGGGTTTCTTCTATCGTACTATCAGAATGGTAGATCACGGTATCAAACCATGCTATATATTTGATGGAAAACCTCCAGACCTCAAGGGCAGTGTCGTACGTATCTGTCCCACTAGTTATCAACTATGGCAACTCATGGTCATCACAGCTCGCCAAGCGTTTCGCCGGCCGTGAAAAGGCCAAAGAAGGAGAGGAAGAGGCGAAAGAGACGGGCACAGCGGAAGATGTCGACAAGCTTGCGCGAAGACAAGTGCGAGTCACTAGAGAGCATAATGAGGAGTGCAAGAAGCTCCTGACGCTCATGGGTATCCCTGTCGTTACTGTGAGTCATGGTATACATCATGTTCTTTCATCTAATTGTAGCAGGCTCCTGGCGAAGCGGAAGCCCAATGCGCGGAACTGGCCCGTGCCGGTAAGGTATATGCCGCTGGCTCCGAGGACATGGATACACTCACCTTCCATTCCCCTATCCTCTTGCGACACTTGACCTTCAGCGAAGCCAAGAAGATGCCTATCTCTGAGATCAACCTCGAAGTGGCGATCCGCGACCTTGAAATGACTATGGATCAAGTGCGCCCATTGCAATCCTGAATGAACGGAACTGACGTGACCGCAGTTCATCGAGCTCTGTGTGCTTCTCGGCTGCGACTACCTCGAGCCGTGTAAAGGCATTGGACCCAAGACCGCCCTTAAGCTCATGCGCGAACACGGCTCTCTCGGCAAGGTCGTCGAACACATCCGAGGCAAGATGGCTGAGAAGGCTGAAGAGATCAAGGCAGCTCAAGAGGAAGAAGCGGAAGCAGAGGGTGAAGCCGAAATATACGAATCTGAGCCAGAGAGCGAGGAAGGTGGAGAGACAGTAATGAACTCGGATGGAGAGGAGGTTCCGGGTTCAACACCCCCAAAAAAGACACCCAAGAAAAAGGCGCCGGTGAAGAAGAAGAAGGTCGGAAGCGCAGGAATGCAGATCCCAGAGTTCTGGCCCTGGGAGGAGGCGAAGCAGTTGTTCATCAAACCCGACGTGATCAAGGGAGATGATCTTCCCCTGGAATGGAAAGCGCCAGATGTCGACGGCTTGGTTGACTTTTTGTGCCGCGATAAAGGATTCAAGTGAGTCCTGATATACACAGTCTCTTGCACAGCGGGCTGATGATAACCAGCGAAGAGCGAGTCCGCGCTGGTGCGGCTAAACTCACAAGGATGCTTACAGCCAAGCAACAAGGTCGCCTTGACGGCTTTTTTACTGTCAAGCCCAAGCCCAAAGACGCCGAAAGTTCGTCCAAAACCAAAGGCAAGCCTACCGCGAAGGGCAAAGACACGAAAAGAAAGGCAGAGGAGAAAGATGGGCCGAAGAAGAAGGGCAAGAAGTAGTCCATCTTGTACATGCATGCATGCACACGATTATCACGGACATTTTATACACGCATGCCGATGATAACCGGTCCGGCGAATGGGGAACGCGGGTGGTGCCACTGAGAGCAAATTCCGGAAGCAACCCTGAGATGATATTTTTTATCGATGAGGCTTGTTCCATCCATTTGGATGACTCGAAAATCAGCTATATCATTCGACTTTTGATTCAGCTTTCTCTTTTACTTTTATCATCCAATTCTAAGACAACAATCACCATAATGTGCCCCCCCGCCGACGCCCCCATCGAGAACGCCGACCAGGAAATGGTCGCCATTGACACCACCACCCCCCACATCAGCGATACTTCCGCCAGCAACGTCAACAGCACGAACGGCACCGCTGCCGCCCAGCCCCCACCTGTCAAGGCCCACAAGGGCGTATACGGCCGTGCCTCAGACTTCTTGAGCAACACTTCCAACTGGAAGGTAGTTTTTTTTTTTTTTTCCTTTTTTCTCGCCAGCTGTACTCGCGGGTGCACCAATACATCGCTTGATGAGATTTGACTGACACGGGCTGTAGATCATTGAATCTACATTGCGGGAAGGCGAGCAGTTCGCCAACGCCTTCTTCTCCCTCGAGACCAAGATCAAGATCGCTAAGATGTGAGTCTGCATCCTCTTCATCCTACTTGGTCGCCCCACTGACGTAATTCCCCGCTTATCTTAGGCTTGATGAATTTGGTGTCGAGTACATCGAGCTCACCTCCCCCGCCGCCTCTCCCGAATCTCGTGCTCACTGCGAGGCCATCTGCAACCTTGGCTTGAAGAGGACCAAGATCCTGACCCACATTCGATGCCACATGGACGATGCTCGTTTGGCTGTGGAGACTGGTGTTGACGGTGTGGACGTTGTCATTGGCACCTCCTCTTTCCTGAGAGAACACTCTCACGGCAAGGACATGACTTGGATCACCAAGAAGTGAGTCAAGTGACCAGAAATCGGTACACACTCTGACAGGACTCAGGGCCATCGAAGTCATCGAGTTTGTCAAGTCCAAGGGTATCGAGATCCGATTCTCTTCGGAAGACTCTTTCCGATCTGAGCTTGTTGACTTGCTCTCCATCTACCGAACTGTCGACAAGATCGGCGTGAACCGTGTCGGTGTCGCTGACACAGTCGGCTGTGCCGATGCTCGACAAGTATACGACCTCGTTAGAACGCTGAGAGGCGTCGTCAGCTGTGACATTGAAACTCACTTCCACAATGACACTGGATGTGCTATCGCCAACGCCTATGCTGCTCTCGAGGCCGGTGCCACCCACGTCGACACCTCCATTGTGAGCTCTAGCAGATTGTGAAGAACCTGAGCTGATCAGTTGTTAGCTTGGTATCGGTGAGCGAAACGGTATCACTCCTCTCGGCGGTCTCATCGCCCGAATGATGGTCGCCGACCCCGATTACGTCAAGAGCAAGTACAACCTCTCCATGCTCCGAGAGCTTGAGAACACTGTCGCCGAAGCTGTAGAGATTCAAGTTCCTTTGTAAGTAGAATTGTATCCAACGGCTAAGCTGTGCTGACGGATTTACCAGCAACAACTACATCACTGGTTTCTGTGCTTTCACTCACAAGGCCGGTATCCACGCCAAGGCCATTCTCGCCAACCCCTCCACCTATGAAATTTTGAACCCCGCCGACTTTGGTATGACCCGATATGTCTCTATCGGTCATCGATTGACTGGCTGGAACGCCGTCAAGAGCCGAGTTGAGCAGCTCAACCTCCAGCTGAATGACGATCAGGCAAGTCTACGCCTTTCTCTCTGAGACACAACTAACGATATGCTCAGGTCAAGGACGCCACTGCCAAGATTAAGGAGCTTGCCGACGTGCGAACGCAATCCATGGAGGATGTTGACATGATTCTGCGTATCTACCACACTGGTATCCAGAACGGTGACCTCAAGGTCGGCCAGTCCGCTGTTCTCGACCGACTTCTCGAGAAGCACATGCCCACAACAAGAGATAACTCTCCCAGTGGCAAGTCTGTTGACACTGCAGGCAACCCTGCCAAGAGGGCTCGGGTCGGAGAACCCTCTGCTTAGATTGAGCAGGAGGTAGTGCAGCCTTCCAAAGGGTCCCGGGGGTCAGGTGTTTACGAATTTCGCATCAAGTAGAGACGGTATCCAGGCGTATTTTGACGGAGGGGATAACCAATCAAAGAAAATGAGACCTGAGCATTCAGCGCCGCTTCCTTTCAGTCCTCTTGCTGTTCATGTCACGTTATGCATATGTTGCAAAGTCATACGTGTCTCACTATCTATATCTTCCCGCACACGTTGATGGCTGCCTTACACCCAACACCAATGATGGCACTCAACAGACTGTGGCCTGGAGCCTTCTGTGCACCCTCTTCTACGGCTGTATCTAGATGCTCAAGCTCGTCGTCTCGGAACTCTCTAAGGATTGATGTCATCAGAGGAATTGAGGGGTGAGGAGCCTCTCCAGTCGCTGTGGCCTTTTCGAGTAGTGGCGCAAGCTCTCTCAGTTGGCTGCAGGCTGTATTTAGAACGTATGCAGATACTCAAAGGTCACCCACTCATCGTAATGCTCCCCGATAACAGTCTCCACAGCCTCGGTACACGCCATAGCTGCCTCCTTGCTCATGAGCCCCGTGCCGGCACCAAGAGCGAATGCCATAGTCTGCCAGATAGGATAGAGCAGCGTCGGCCTAGCACGATGCTGGGCTACGAGAAGCGACAGAGTCTTGAGGTGATGGCGCTCGTTATCCCACATACCCTTCCACTGTTATCAGCATGCGCTTCAAGATGCCAAGTGGATGATACACACCTCTACCTGGCGCGAAGTCTCTGTATCCCCCTTCACATCCATTGCCCACTTCTGCCCCCTGTAGATCCAGTTTGCCCCGAGCTCACCAGCGTGGTCGACCCGAAGAATGCTCTTCAAAAGATCATCCTGTTCTGGCGTGAGCAACGGGGTGGTGGTGGTTGCTTCGGGGGGATATTGGGACTGGTTGTTCGATGTGGAGGTAGAAGGGGGCGCGCGAGGTGGAGGCGAGTAGGCATCTGATGAGAGGGTTCGGTAGGGAGAAGCTCGAGGTTTCAATATTTTGGGAACGCAAAGAGGGCGGACTATAGACATTCTGAGAGCTTGGGGTGGATCAAAAAGGACGAAGAGATGTTGTCGATCGGAGAAAGAAGAAATCCACAGAAATAATGAACAATCGGACCTTTGCTGCCTCCACTTCATTTGCCCGTTCCGAGTTTCAGGCTTTAGCTACTGGCAATCGCAACATTGCAGAGTATAGAAAAAGGCATCACTAGGGACCATCATCATCTATCCAAGCGATCGGTGCCAAAGAGAATGATACGTTATACATGCATATAATGACCGAACTTATAAACTACACCCCGTCATCTTGAATACATCTTTCGACTTGTGCTCCTAAACTTGAACTGCAATGATGGTTAGACGTCATCTCTTCGATGTCATCCGCTGAGCTCACTAGGCTTGATCTTGAAGTGCATCTGTGTGAGAGCGAAGATGAAACACTGAGTTGTATGTCAACACCTGCTGGACGTGACTACGACTCTAACCCACCTTCAGGTCTTGCACAAGATAGTAAAAGACGCGCAGTCCATCTGCGTCTTCAGAGTGCTCCACATCACTCAAAGAACCAATTTTAGCGGTCTAAAAGACAGAATATCAGCTGAAAATGCAATATAGGATCGTTGATCAGATACTGACTTCAAAAGAGATATGCTCCTTGTCTAACCGTATCTCAAGCTCCTGTTTCCCGCTAACATTCTTCTTTGGCCAAGACTCATCATCCTCCCTACAGCGTTGTAAGCATTGTGCATCGAGGGTTGCTGGGCCTCAAGGGCAAAAAGGCCTACTTTGTGATTTCGCTTTCCCTCACAATTCTCTTCAATTCTTCCACGAGAGCAGGGGATATATACACTGATGCGATGTCAGCAAATCAGGTTTCTGAGCCATCCACTTGCTCCATCATCTAAGCCTCGCAAGTCCCATATATGGAGCTCATCCATACCCCGTCCCGTCTATTGCCCATCCCCATGTCTGTCCGCGCTGATCTCGAGACTTGCAAAACCAGGTGATTATAACGCACTCTCTTTTCGGATAAGGCTGTCATTTCGGTAGTTTGAGTTGTTGGCGTATCTGATCCGGCCTATAGAGAACAGTAGAGCTATCGTGAGCAATCTCCTCTCAAGAGCATGGCTACTCTGGCAAACGTACCATGAGAGTATTCAAATTCGAGAAACTCGTGTCCGTGAGCACCCGAGTGTCCGGTGCTATTGTACAGGTCAGCAATGAAACGACTTGATCGACGTTCCATAACGGTCTTGGAAGATGGCGACCTGGGTTGGAAATCTCACTAGTATCTGTTCATACCCAAGTCAGCAGCAGCTCTCCAAGCATAGCAGGAAGACTCACCGGAGGTAAAACTTATCGTTGAGGAGCACGTCAGTCATCTCGACCAGTGTTTTGTGATTGTATAGAAGATGATGACCAAATAGAGCAGGGCGCGAAGTGACAACAGACCAACAACAGACCAGCAACAGACTCGTTGAAGGCGATACTTGGTCCGAGATTATCTCGAACGGTGGAGGTCGCCGCGGGGTTTACACCAATGCCGTCAGTGTGGCACTTTTGCAATGAGGGGGTCTTTCAACGTGCCATATGTGCATCCTTTGCATATCCATACAAACCAAAAGTGTCCGTATATACAAAATCCTACTCTTCCACATCGTACACTTCAACCCGCTCCAGATACGACTCGGGCACCAAGCCCACCGCGTCGCCCTTTTCAACCTTGCCAAGCTCTACATGCATCCTCCTCGCAATGACCCATCCAGGGTTGCCGTTGCCTCGTCCTGAAAGATACAGCAGATCTCCTTCGTCAACAGACATCTCGCTGGCGCCCATCCCATCAAAGGTGTAGGCGACGCGATGCAGACCAGTCGGTTCAACGGATGGGTCGAGGGGAGGCAGCACGTTGTATGAGTATCCCAGGTCGGCTTCGGACAGAGGCGGTGTCGTATAGTACTCTTCGCCAGGGATTTGCCCGGCCCCGACGTCCACGGTCTCTACCTCGTCTGCCTCTTCCTGCTGATCATCGCCCTCCTGACCACTGCTGAAGCGTCGTCTCCAGCCGAGGAAGCCTCCAAAGCTTCCCCATCCCCCTGCGTGCTGAGTATCTTCATCTTCGTCTTCAGGAGCGGCGCGAGCCTGCCCCCAAGCAGTGTCCTGCTCGTGAGGGCTGCCCCAAACCTCTTCTTCATGTATGCCCCGGTGTCGATCATCGGACACGTTGTACGCATAGTCGCGCACGATGTAAGGAAGGACCGGCGTTTTGGGCGATTGTTGAGCCTTGACGGGCTTCTCGTCATCCGCCTTCTCTCCCAAATGCTCAGAAGAATCTGGGGCGAGATGCGCTCCCGTACCATCAGCCTGCACCTGATCATGCTCCGGTATAGTGGTAGGCACGCCCTCGCTCTCATCCCTGCCAGACAGCCCGTCGTCCGGGAGAGTCACATTGGCCAGCAAACTCTTTCGCTTGATGCTGGACGCCCGCTTGGTTCGGGACGCATTCGAAGCCGAAGATCCACTACGAGTCCTTCCCGCGCCGGCAGGTGAAGAGTTGCGAGAAGGGGGCGCCGATGAAGATCGAGAAAAGACGGCCGATGAAGGGCGGGAGGAGGCTGGGGATCTAGGAGCAGGACGGGTGGATAGAAGATTGGGGTCTGTTGACGGAGACTGGCTCAGAGGATCGTCCGTACCCGACCTGATATCAGAAGGTGCAAGTTTGGCAGGCGAAGAAGGGGCCGACGCCTTGCGCGCTGTGATATGCTGTCATCAGCAAGTGCCGTAACGAGTACAGTATAAACACGCACGCGATGACTGTTGCTCTTGGGCTGGCGTTTGAGACATGATATAGACGAATACCAGGGGATGGTTTCCTTCCGAAGTAGAGTCAAGTAGCTAGGCGGCCAAAGAGAGCCGCAATGCGGTGGAAGACGAGAGAGCGACAGAGACGGACGGCGGTGAAAGAGTGTATGAGCGGAGTTGGGCACAGGAGATGCCGTGGCTGATGTGGAGGGAGGCTGATCTGTAGCACCGCTCGGCGTGCGGACCAAGCACAGGGATTACGGGCTATCGAGTTTATGCCATGTATTGACACTTGACGCCCAGAAACCTCTCATATTGCATTGAACGGCAGGAGAGTAGCCGCGCCGTTACGTAAACACGCTTAAAGTATTATTAAAGTCTCGATTCGGCTTCTGAGGCAAAAAAGTCTTTTGTTGACATTTTACTCTACACTTATCGTTCTCGACCCAAAAGCAGCAAGCCTGCAATTGATTCTACGCCATGTCCACCCCTAACAGCCAGCCCCCGTCTGCCTCCGCTGCCAACACCTCTGACCCCTCCAACCGCGATGCCTCTCCCTCGGCGGGCGGTGGCAGGGCCAGCAAGTCTTCTTTCGGCTACGAGTCGACCATGTCGCTTCTCGTAGACTCTCTCAAGGACCGACTATTGTTTGCCGTACCCAAAAAGGGCCGATTAAACGAGAAATGTTTGGAATTGTTGGCCGGTGCCGACATCAAATACAACAGGGCCCACAGGCTTGATGTCGCTCTTGTGCAAAATATGCCTATCGCTCTGTGAGTCACCGAAGCTTGGACCTCCATCCTGTCGTGATCCTTGGATCTAGATATTCTGTGTCGAGATGACAAATTCCGATATTTGCGCACGTGCTGACGCTGCTGCAGTGTCTTTCTCCCCGCCGCCGATATCCCTCGTTTTGTCGCCCTCGGCTCCGTCGCTCTCGGTATCACCGGGCAGGATGTGATTGCCGAGTCCACCCACTCCCCCGCAATCGAGGAGCTCCTGCCCTTGGGCTTTGGCAAGTGCAAGCTTCAAGTCCAAGTGCCCGTCACCGGTCCCGTACAGACCCTTGAGCAATTGTCCGGCGGTAGGGTCGCTACCAGCTTTGAAGTCATGGCCGGCGAGCTCTTTGGCGGCAAGGATGGTGTTGATGCCAAGGTCGGTAAGGGTCAGACCAAGGTAGAATACGTTGGGGGTAGTGTTGAGGCTGCTTGTGCTTTGGGTATGGCCGACGGTATTGTCGACCTCGTCGGTGCGTTCAGCTCATCATTCATAACTTGACTTGGCTCATCTACGTTAGAATCTGGCGACACTATGCGTGCTGCCGGCCTTCACGCCATCCACACCCTGATGTCTTCCGAGGCCTGCCTTATCACTTCTTCCACCCCCCACGCCAACCTTACCCCCGAGCTCCTCGCCCTCATCCCCTTGATCAAGTCTCGAATCGCCGGTGTTCTCGCTTCCAAACGATACGTCTATGCGTCCTACAATATCAAAAGACAGAACCTTGACAAGGCTTTGACCATCACCCCTGGCAGGAGGGCCCCCACCGTCAGCCCGCTGGACGAGGACGGATGGGTTGCAGTCAGCGCGATGGTGGAGAGGAAGGAGGTGGCCAAGACGATGGACGAGCTGGAGAGGACTGGGGCTGAGGACATCTTGATCATGGCCTTGGACAACTGTCGAGTTGGTATCTAGAGCTGCATCCAACATAATCTTATAGAAATTTGCATTACCATTCTATGACATCTGGAATGCGAGCCAACCTTATCAATGTACATAGGGGCCAAGCCGCCAAAGCGTCTTCAGGCGCAAGAATCGGGAAGTGTCAAACGTAATTGTCAGTAGGGTTGGTGCCAAAATCAACCAGCCGGTTATATGCGCGTTTATGATCATAGACTCAGCGAAGTTGTGACGTGGAGGAGGGGCTTTGTTGAGCCTAATTACATACACACGCATCAAGACTCAAGAGTGGAGGACCACCGGCTACCGGCGAAGACACGCGCCGCTGGCAATCAGGCTGCAATCATCATGGCTTCTCTGGCTTCTGATGTTGTCGGCGTTCTTCATCCCCTCATTGTACCGCACCATACTACCCCATCTTGAAGCGAGACCCCTACAAACCTCAACATGGCCACCATACCGCCCCCGTATTCCTCACGCGACCATGCACAGGGTGAGCCCACCACCATTGGTGTGAGAAGCGTGCTGACGTCCACGACAGTTCAACCAGGCCCTCATTCTATAACCACCTCGCCAACACAAGAGTTCTCCGAAAGCACAGCTGTCACCCTTGAATGGACAATCACCGGAGCTAAAGCCATGTACGAGGCCACCCGAGGTGAACAGAAGTCGTACGTCTTGTCATGATCCCAGGTTCCTTTGCTGATCCTACTCAGCAAATGCGTCAAGTCGGCCGTTTTCGGAGATGTAGACAACTGCTGGGAGCTGTTGTTCTACGCCAACAGTGGCCAGTCGGCTCAGGCAGGCGACCATGTCAGCCTATACCTTTCTTGTGTGCCCACCCCACAAGAGAGAGGCTCCAAGCTGGCGCATCAATGGCATCGCAAGGGACTGTGGTGGTTCAAGTTTGAGATTCGCTCTGGGCACCCCAAGCCTGAACCGATCGTCACCAAAGAAGCCTCGGATCACACCTTCGCCGTCAAGATCGCTAACTGGGGGTGGGTAAGCTATCTTAAGCGCGATGCTCTTTTCCTTCATCCTCAAGTGCTCGCCTCGGATACTTTTCAGATTCTCTGCACAATCCGTGCGCAGCCACAGCCTCCAGCTGGATTCTGGCTCGGTGTCGGGCTTCAACCCAGCTCACCGGTAAAGGCTGACGGTAGGGGTGAAGGGAGCGGCGGGGGGTTGAGTCGGTGGGCTAGTCAGTCTGGTTGTGCTGGGGTTGCGGGAGGCACCACTGCTGGAGGCGGTTCGAGAAGAGTCGTTCCTAAAGAGCTGGTAATGGGGCTGGGAAATATGTTGGATGATCCCTGTAGGTGACTGACCTCCACATCTTCCGTGCGTGGCCGACATCCTTGGTAGTATACTCTGATGTCGAGTTCATCATACCATCACGCGATGGTCCTCCCAAGAAGATTTATGCCATCAAAAAGCTGCTCTGCAGATACGATTATTTTGAAGCGCTACTCAATGGCGGGTTCGGAGAAGACGAGGGACTTGTAGACGAGGAGGTGAGCACCAATGACTTTACCAGGGACTCCCGGCTGATCCAAAAGTAGATCGTCGTTGATGATGATTTGGACATGCTGTCCGACTCGGACATAGGTGACGAACACGACCCGTATGGCGACGAGGAGCCAGAAGATGAGGAAGCGTTGTTTCCCCATCTTAACCCCACGACCGCTAGTCAGAGAAGTACATCGCCACCTCAGCCTGCTCATAATCAATCGACATCTTCTGATGTCATCAATAATTGCCAGGAAAAGGTGGACGATTTGAAAGATACCATGGCCACTATTCCAGGCGGGCTGGGACAGTCGTTGAAAGACCACAAATTGCAAGACGACTTACAGGAAGACGAGCACAGGGAGGAGAATCAAGAGGTCAGAAGTAAACCTCTGCCGAAGGCAGACGTAGCCGGACCGAAGAAAACCATAGTTATCATCAGAGATGCTGCCTGGACTACATGGTGGGCTTTGTTGTATTGGGTGAGTTTGGTTCTCCACAAATTCATGACGCCGGCCTGACGACTCCAAGCTTTACACCGACATTATTTACTTTGCTCCTCTCACATCGACTTTTGAGAATAGCCACAAACCTTGTACTCCAACATCGGCCACTACCACGACCGACGAGCCGACGAATCGGCTCGAGTGGTTACGTCGCTGGATGGCAGACCATCACATCGATCTTCCTCCGTCATCATCGTCTACTTTCGGCGAACCATCCTATGAGGTTCACGCGGGACCTCGACCTGTCAGCTCCAAGTCAATCTACCGTCTTGCTGACAAGATGGATATATTGCCGCTCAAGCTGCGAGCATATCACCACATCTGTTCCCAGTTGACAGCCAACAATGTACCGGCGGAAGTGTTCAGTAGATTCTCAGCGACATTTGAAGACGTCAGAAAGGTGCAAGTGGAGTGCTTTTTGGCCAATTGGGGCGAAATCAAGAAGAGTGATGTGATGATGGACATCTGGAAGAATATCAGACTTGGAAAGCATGCGGGGTTTGAAGAGGGTGAGGTGACTGATACAATAAGGAGCGCTGTGCTGATGGCGTCCATACAGTCTGGCCTCTGATTGTCAAACAACTCGACTTCAAGCCCTCATAGCGGCTCCATGTCACTCCACTGCGCTGATTCTAAGGACATCTCTGTCGCGCAAGAAATCACTTTGTGGCCCGTTCAAATAATGGGAGGTACAGTTATCTTGTACATTGGTATGGGCATATGTGTCATGTAGCTTCTTGTATAAATCCAGTCATCGGAAGCCTATCGTCGCCTGACTATGCACCGCTGTCATATTTTGCATGCAGGCCCCAGAGGGCCAGAGGCGGAGGCCTGCTTGATCTCACATGACCCGCGTGAAATGCAGCGGTTGACGCGTCCGACAGTTTTCCCTGAGATTGTCATGTTTCTGACCAACCGCGAAATCGCATCCCCTCCTCTTTCTTCCTCCTTTTCTCACCCGTATCAGTCCATCCATCCTGACCCCGCCCCCTCTCCGACTCCCACGGAATGATCTTGAACGAACTCATCAAGTCGGGGCCGCTGGCCAAGGTGTGGCTTTCCGCCCATCAGGAACGCAAATTGAGCAAGACTCAGGCGCTGGGCGTCGATGTAGGAGAAAGTGTTGGTGAGTGGTCCCATAACACCTGATGTCTTGAGAAACCGGCAGGGCGTGACTGACATTGCGTGTAGAGGCAATCTTGGAGCAGGATGCAGAGCTCCCTCTGCGTTCCTCAGGGCCGTTGATGTTGGGTGTTGTGCGAATCTATTCGCGCAAAGTAGGCTATCTCTTTGACGATTGCAAGGAAGCGCGAGAGCGTATCAGTCTTGTCAGTACTGGGCTATCATCCCTGGACAAACACTGACATGACAATAGGCCTTCCGACCTGGTGTCGTTGACCTTCCCGAGCACCAAGTCCTTGCCTCCCACAACGCCATCACCATGTCTGGACGTGGGGATTTCGACTTCAACGACTGGTCATGGGATTCTACCGGCGTGATTCTTCCCCCTGAAACCTCACAGGCCGTCCCCGCCATCAGTGCCAGAAATCCAGAATTCGGTGGTTTCGGTTATGGTGCCCCTCGACCATCGTCGGTCTTTGGTGGTTCTGTCACCACGCAGTCTAGACAAGGATCCTACGACGAATCGTCCAGTCAAATGGGGTCAAACGATTTTTCTGGCGTAGACCTCGGGCTGGGCGACTTTGATGGCAACGACACTATAGAATACGGACGTGACAGAATGTCGTCCCTCGGCAGGGAAGGTAGTGCCTTCGGTATGGGCAGGGGTCTGTCCCGGGGCAGGAGTGGCTCGGCGCGATCCGAAATCGATTATACGGGCATAGGAGATGATATGCCTCTGGCTCCAATGGATGATTATGACCCAATGGCCGTTGATGGGGGCTACGAACCTATGGATTTGGAGCTGAATTTCGATCAAGAGCAAGAGCCAGAGAGGGTCGCGAGAGCTTGTAAGTTTTGCTGTATATCAGTTCGATAACCGCTGATGTTTTTTTCTGTAGCTACTGAGGCTTTGACTCCGCCGCCTGCTACCCCTGCCGCGGCCGACAATGATCTCACCCCCCGTACCGCTGCCCAGATTGCCGCTCGCCCCGCTCCTATCGCTAAGCCGGTTAAACGCCCCCGCCTTTTGATGCCTGACGAAGCTCTCGAAATTGATCAAACGCATCAAGACCGCGCTTCTATCCTGCGCCCCGAGAACTACATCCCCGCCAATCCGGAATTTGCGCAAATGAAAGATATATTTGCCGACCCTTCTGCCCACTTCCTGCCTGTTTTCAAGGTCGGCGGCGAGAACTGGACGGCTGTGGCCCCTCTAGGTGCCGTGGATGATATCATTGAGCTCTTTTCATTCCCCAACAATGTCCTGCGCAGGGGGCGGGCCCTTGACGAGCCCGACGACGAGCAGCTCGCCAAGAAAGCACGAATCGAAGCACAAGACGAGGCCGCCCAGAGGGGTGACGAGCCAGCCGATATTGATACGGACGATGTCGAGGTCGTTAGGAGACGCGACTTCCGGGTGGGTGTTGACCCCGGAGATGACCATGCCGCTCCTTTCGTCGCAGACGATTACGATATGAGCTTTGACGTCGATCCTATGGACGGTGACATGCCCGCCATGAGTCCCCTCGGCTATCGTGCCTCTCGAGCACCTTCTCTGGCCCTCTCTCGTGCCGAGAGCATTGCTCACGAGATCCAATATGGAGTCGATTCAGGTGACTTTACGCTGGCCATGTTTGATTCCCGCCACGCGGCCGGAAGTCAGCTGAGCCAAACCACTTCGCCCGGTGGGGTGGGAGATGGATCACTAGGAGCGCCTCAGGGGAGAAACTCGAGCATGGCGATGGGTCTTTTGCGAAAGGAGATCAGCGCGATCGATGAGGGTGAGAAGGAGGTTTCTTTTGAGAAGCTAGCCAACAATGTACGTGGGAGATCACGCCAATAGGGAAATAAGCTGATATATGATACGCAGGCGACCAAACGGGCTGCCTCGGCTTTCTTTTTCGAGATGCTGTCCCTCGGGACGCGAGACTGCGTTAAACTCGAGCAACCAGAGCCTTTCGGAGATATCAAAATTTCTGGTAAGGACAAGCTATGGCCAGCTTCCTCACAGATTCCCTCTGAGGCTTGATCGTTTGTGACTATTGTGCTTTTCTTGACTCTTATCTTGTCCGACTGCGTAGGAGCTGCAGCTGGCCTGTATGTAGTGGTAGTCAGCGTGTCTATCCCGATGTTTATAAGAACGGTTCGGTTATTGTCCCTGTGTCGTGAGAAAAGATGTCAAGACGTTATATGTTATATAGTTGGAGATGAATAATTGAATCATTGCATATGATACATATCGTCGGCATACACATGTGGAGATGTTTATTTCACAGTATGGGATAGTGATGCGTTGGTCTCCCCAATCTTCTCTTCGATCTCCTTCATGAACGTGTTCAAGTCCTGGAAACATTGTATTAGTGCAAGGTCGACAAGATTGCACTTCCAAACCCACCTCTTCTCTGGGTTCATATTGCAGGCCATCCACGACAGCTTGTTTTGCCTCCTCATATCTCTCCATTCCCATTAACGCCCTCGCTTTGCTGCGGCCACGATATTAGCTTTATTCTTGAACCTGCCGGATGCGCGTACCGAACGTGGCCTTTCATCCACGACCTCTTGAGAGCTATACAGGTCTCTGCATCCGCAAGAGCGGCCGGCCTGTGAGGGGTTGTTTATGAGCAATGAAGAGTTGATACCGAGGATGAGGACTGACCAATTGCCCATGTACGCGTGACTTGCTGATCGGTTCCCTAGCATGATGATAGCCTCTTCTCTGCCTAGCGCCGCGGGTTCCCATGGAGGCCTGCTCAGAGCCGAGTCGGTAGCTTTGGAGTAGAACTGAGCAGCGACATCGTACTTTTTCACCTTGAAAGCGGCCTGGTCAACATCGTCAGCGAGTGCCTTTCCAGAATGGGCGGTCTTACATTGCCTTGGTCCTTGAGAGCCATGACCATCTGAGCTCTCTGAGGTTGCGGTTTCACGTTTGGAGGCGGAGGGATGGCTTCCACAGGTGCAAACCGCAAGAACTGATGTATAAAATTGACACCCGTAAAGTCCACCCCGCACGAATCACACTTCATGTGGTCATGCACTTTACAAAGCATGACCGGGAATGTCTTCCCTGCGAGGTCTGGGGGGCCGTTGGGGGGAATGGCATTCATCTTGAGGGTATGGGGGACGTCGGTGTGAGGAATGGAGTCGAGGACCTCGAGATGAGCAGGAGAGAGAGGCGACTGCTGTTGCTGCTGAGGCTGCATGCCTGGGGGAGGCCCCGGGCGGGGCTGTTGTTGGGCCATGACGGGGTGGTCGAGGGTGGATATAAATGAGATAGTATAAGTAGCGCAAGCACAGTGGATCTCTGACTGCACGACTCAATACCCTAATGCCGCAGACTCAAGGACGTGTCAGCCCGGCCCGCGTGAGCTGCGGCTTTCGCCGACGGAGCATACGCCGCAGATACGCCGGCATCACACGAATCAGAGTAGATAGGAGAGAGACGATACATATGCACAATGAAATCTACTTGTAAATCAAAGAGAAATCAAGCCCCCTCTGGGGGACGCAGCAACAGTACACAGTTGAAAACATTGGAAGGGGAGTGAGTATCCGAAAAAGAAATCGAGGACCAATAGAGGGCTTCGTTGACAGCTCATTCACTGATCCTTACCTATTGCTGGTCAGTTCTACCCCGTTGCGGAGCAGGCGACTTACGGATCAAGCTAATAGCTGCTTGCGATATAGGTCCAACCAGCCCGAACTTCCCTGAGTCGTCGGCTCGTCGCCCCTTCCGGTCGCGAGTATACTCCGGTTGCTTGTTCAGGTCCCTCTGTTTCCATCCTTTAGACTTGAGTTGTTCAAACTCGCCAGTCTCGGAATGGCAAGTGGGGACAACCTCGGAGATGCTCTCGACGAGAGCCTCCCGGCAGATGAGCTGCTGAGCTTGATGAAAGAAATTGTTTATGGAAAGCCGAGCTGGGTGCTCAGTGACGCAGACTTGGCAAATTCTCAGCTTGTCATCGAAGTAATGCAGGAGACGAGCTCACGCTCACGCAACCCTTGAACTCGAGGGCCAGATTTTCCCTTTTTGGCATCGTCAGGTACAATTCGTACTTACTGATAATCGGGGGGTTGCGGTGGTTGAACCTGTGGGTCATGGCTCGGACATAAACGATGTAGCAATAGTGAGCGCCCATCACCTCTACGACGATTCGGATGTCGGAGAATCCCATGTTGACCAATGCATCGTAAGTGTCGTACTATATCATCGTATCAGTCAAGATTGAGTTGTTAAGCAAGCCGAAGAGGCTTACAGTGTCCGCTAAAAACAAGTCGCATTGGCGTTGGTCAACCGACCATGCGCGCCTCAAAGCAGCTCGCCAAAGACTCTTCTGATGAGCCCTCTTGTGGACAATCGAGAGACATCTCGCAATGTTTCTTCAATGGGCTTCGCATCGGTTGACTGAAGCGAAGTGTCAGTCGTTGCACGTTGGAGAGCTCACAAAAGATTTATGATCCAAAGGCCTGTTGGTGAGGGGACCATAAGTTGCAACGCCGAGACGCGATGTGCGGGTGCGGTTCATCTCCTCATGACCGGGCGGGGTGATCGATGTCGGTTTATCGGAGGGATTGATGTCCTTAGTGGTTGAGAGAGGCACGTCCGTAGTGGTGGGGGGGGGTACGAGTTGGGTCGGGGTCGATACCTGTGCCGGCTTGACGTCAGAAGCTGGGACAGGTTTCGAGGTTGCCGGGGTCGACTTGGGCTGGCCAGGGTGAAGGCGGTCGATAATCGCATCGTCAACCTGGTCGAGGAACTGCATATACCTCAGGTATCAATCGGTGGCATTGGGATTTTGGGAATCACGTACCAAGGTCCTGCAGTGCCCGTGACGCGAATTGAGCCTTGAAAGGGACAAGGATAGGCGCTGTGGTCTAAGCTTAGGGGTAATTCGAGCGATGTAGGCTCTGGGGATCATCTTGAATTGATAGCTGGTGGGAGGTGTCGTTGGGAGATGCTGAATATTTCGGCTCCTTATGTATGCTGGACAGCCGTGTCACTCGGCAATCGCCCCCCTTCACTCGCTGATCCAGATGCAGCTACATGAGTGAGTGGTGATTGATAGGTGCGACCCTAACTCGGATCGGTGGGTGAAGTCTCTCTGAGCAGGATAGCCGGACGAGCGAGGACAAAAGAGAATTGTCAGACGGTCCCTGAGTGAGGACTGATTGAAGTTGGACTCCATTGCCGGGAGCATCACCAAGAAGAGCAATACGGATTCGATTCAGGTGCACGTTGGCAAGCCGAGGTGCAGCGGACTTTTACAATGCATTTGAGTACATGTCAGTACACCCCACCACCATCATCTCGGCACGTGACGCTCACCTTCTTGTTCGCATCGCTGCGACTCTTCACTGTGATCAATCGTAGCAGTCATGAGCTGGCCCACCTCCACTGAATACGCCGTCGCCCTTCCGCCCACTCATTGCTCCTTACCCCAGCTCGCCTATGCTGTCAGCGCGGCCGCGAAAGATAAGGGGAAAGCCCCTGCCAACAGCCAGCAGCGTATGCCTGTATTCCCCCTACACACATCTCCGTACTCACTTGCTCTCAGCTCTTCCCGCTCCTGATTCCTTCCACGTTCATACAACCACCATTCAAGCCAGTATCTCGCGTCCCGATCAAACGATTGACTATTACAACCGCGCACCAGAGCCCAATCCTGCTTATGGAATATATCAAGACATATGCCGCACTCTCGTGCAGATTAGCGATGCTTCTGAGCCTGTCACCATTGCCGCCCCTTCCAACCTGGTACTTCGCAGACCATGGGTCCCTGAACCCAGAAAATCATATAATGGTCGCGTTGCTGCCGGGCCTGCTCCTGTAGGCGTAAGGGTGCACCTCCCACATACTGCTAAATCGGAGACATTCCTGAAAATTGACAGCCTCCCACACTCTTCTCCTCAAGAGTGGATGCCTTCGGCTACGGGGTGGGACATGAAGCACTGGATTCATGCTGCCATCGCCTTGGACCCTCACAAAGACCACCAACCCTCCAGAAAGGGCGCGTATCGCGGAGAGACGCAAAAGATTCACCTGAGAAGCAGCGCCAAGGTGTGCTGGTTCCCAGGGGAAGATTCTGGGGCAACCCCCGACTTTCAAATCATCATCACAATTCAGGCATATCTCGATATGGCAGTGATAGCTGCCCCTCTTCCCGACACGGCAAAAGACATGATGGGTCTTATCTTGCACTCTTTAATCCCATCGCGTACCTCAACAGCGCCGACTACCGAGCTGGAGGACCGCGCCGCCGGTCTTCGCGATTTCTACGCTTGTCTCGGGCCTGCACCAGAGCTCCCGCATTGGTTAGAGGCAAGCGCCCTCCAACCGAAAGAAATGGTCTCAAAGCTTCTGCCGTTCCAGACGCGGACTGTCAAGATGTTGATGGAGCGCGAAGGGGCTGGTCGCGTGGAGGAAGACGCCGGGATGAGACATGACCCGAAAGGCTTCTGGCAAGAACTCCAATGGGATCATGAGGGACGCCGCTTTGCGTACAGAAGGGCCACAGGCGACATTATACTTGTTTCTGCGAACGGCGACAAGGGCAAAGAAAGAGGACACGGCGACGGTAGGGCCCCATTGAGCCCAGAATTGCCATGTCTTATCGATCTTTCACATGTCAACGGGTCAATGTTATGTGAAGAGATGGGTGAGCCAAACTGGGGTTTTGATATTTGGCCATCACTGATTACCCACAAGGTCTCGGCAAGACTGTAGAAACGATTGCTCTCGTTGCCCTACATCGTCATCCGTTGTCCACGCCCCATCTTGACATCACGCCATCTATTTGGCCTTCCAACCCTCCGGGGTACAACGTGAATACCTCCGCGGCCAATGACCGCGTCTCAACAATCGATCTTTCAAAAGGCGTCCCTGGTTTAGACGATCCTGTCGCAAGAAATTGGGCGGAAGCAGAGAAAGCCGCATTTGCGGGACGCAAAGCTTGGGATGCACAGGCACAGTTGAACGTCTCTGAGGTAGCTGTAAAGTTATGACCATACTATAGGGCAAGGGCATAGCTGATGTGTTCTCATCGCAGGCGACTCTAATCGTTACTCCACCTTCTCTACTTAAACAATGGGTGGCCGAGATCAGACGACACGCTCCCTCTCTTCGAGTCTGTGTTTACGATGGATGGCAATCACTGCAAAGAGGAGTGGAAAAACAGCGCGATGCCCAGAAGAGGATACGAGCAAAAAAAGAGACGGAACGCAAGCGTAAAGCGCAGGAACAGAGCAGGAACAACACTCGGAACAAGTATGCAAAGACCTCAAATGGACAGGCCGTCAAGTCTGAACATCATGAGGAGAAGGCGGAAGTAGATGACCAGGAGGAGGAAGACGGCACGCCAGAGACGATTCTCGATATCACGCAAAGCCAGTTCTTGGAATATGTTCGGAGCCATGACATTGTGATAACGACTTATCAGTAAGCTTATCATCGCACACCGGCGGCTTTGACTGACGCACGAGTTACAGAGACTGTGAGCCGCTTCCAGCCCATCGCGCTTATCTTCTGACCAGGTTGACAAGTGTCATCTGATCTCAAAGTTGCTCTACCGGCACCCGCAAGAAGCAGAAGGTCAAAGGCGAATTACAGGCTCAGTGACCGCCCGCGGAGCCCTTTGGTCATGGTCGAGTGAGCATGGTCGATCTGATTACCTTGCAGATAGCTTACGGCACTATAGATGGTGGAGGGTCATCATGGACGAAGTACAGCTGCAAGGCGATTCCGATTCTGCGTGAGTGATGCGTACTCTTGATGTTATGCGGCGTCCTGATAATCGGACACAAAGCGCTATGGTCTCAGTAATTCCGCGTAAACTTTCACTCGCCGTCTCTGGAACGCCTGCCCGAGGGGACATAAAAGATCTCATGGGTTCTTTGAAATTCCTACGCGTCCCGGTTCTCCCATACGACAACCGCCTCTGGCACCGCATCCTACAGCCCTCCTTCCGTCCCGCATTCGAAGGACTCTTCCAAAGCCTTGCTATAAGGACTACTAAGAAAGAAGTCTCAAGCGAGTTTGACCTCCCTCACCAATCGCGATTCATTGTCCCCATCGAGCTGTCCGAAATCGAGATGCACTACTATACCGATACTCTGGAACGTGCCAGAGAACGTCTGCACCTCCCAGCCGACCCTAGCGAAGCGCGACCTCGGGATTGGGTTCTAGACCGCGCAATGTTTCTGCAAGTTTTCAGAATGCTCAGGCAGATCTGTACGCACATCCAGGTGGGACAGATGCAAGCTGGGGGAGGCCAGGCGTCGCGGGGTGATCAGAGAAGGAAATTGGGAAGGACGTTGATGACAATGACGGAGGCGTTGGAGAAAATGAGAGAAGACCATGAACAGGAGACCCTTGCGGAGGCCCGTCAGCAGGTAATATTCTCGCAGTCTCGTTGAGAAACAGGAGCTCAATCGTTACAGATGCGGGTGATTATTCGCCAGGCGCAACTTATTATACTAGACGAGCAGAACGATTTGCGACATTTACAAGCTCTTGCCGTGAGTTTTGCATTGACAACCGGTTACGACACAGCCGATCTCATCTGGCGTATAGTTATATGACCGAGTGCGCCATTCAATCGACCGATATATGGAGTCGGTCCAACAGGAACTCAAAAAGCTGCTTGGGGGCCGAGGGGAGGGCGAGGTTTCCGACAATGAATATGACGTTGGTGATATGTCAGACAGAATCTCCCAGCAGGAAAAGGCAAAGCGAGCGGCTATCATGTGGAATCAAACTGCGTGAGCTATTCTGTCTCTTATCGAATCAAAAACAGAGTACTCATACTGTCCTCTACAGTCTTCGAGAGTTGGCGATTATCAAACATCAAGCCCTCTTTTTCAGCGGCGATGCTCACCACGTACAGCACGAAGACGAAAAAGAAGGTCAGTGATGACCCATTATGAATAATCATCCAAGGCTGATGCCTGTTCTAGTTTCTGCCTATGCCCAAGCCGATGCAATCCGAAAGGATGTCCTCAAGGTACCTCTGGCTGCTGCAAATATGGCTTTGCAATACTTGAGAAGGACCGTGACCCGCTCACCCGCTCTCAAAACTCTGGACGATCTGCAAATATCCGACGTCAAAAGAAAAGGCGGTATCCAGACCTACGATGTCTTTGCTCAAGCCAACGAGCTTTTAAAGATTATGAACGACAAGTTAGTAGACCACTCTATCGATTGTATATGCTCATGTCTCGCAGTGCGCTATTGGTCTTCAATTGGCGCGACAAGATATATGAGCTGCTGATTTTACCCGTCGAGGGCGAGAAACCTGAGGCTCGTGAAGGCGCCGGAGCTCAAGATATCGAGGATCCGGAAGAGGAGTACTATGCGGAGGCCTTAAAGGCACAAGGAGAGGGCAGGTTTAACATCTCCTGCGCCCGTCTGCTCTGTTTCTGACGTCTGTTTAGTCGAGGCTTATCTGATTGCATATGCGGCGGCTCTAGCAGATCGCAAAGGTACGTACGATGGATGGCTGTAACCAGCTCTGCCTTGGGCTTGACCTGTGAATTATAGAGTTCATGTTTGAAAGTCGAAGCCTTCTCGCAAGTCACGACGCTCGAGTCACGAAGCAGGCGAGTGCTATTCATTCTAAGCTCTTTTGACATAACGGCGGCTGACCTTTCTACAGCGAAGCACGAATGCGGCAATGAATGCTCTAGACAGTGTTGAAATTCCTGCGGTTGTCGGTGACGACATTGAAGCGCAAGCCAGCATCCTCATGGCTGAGAGAGAAGCTTTCCGCAACGCTCGTATGGAGAGAGGCTGCGATCGGCCTCTGAAAGCTCTTTTGATGGAGCTTAACGGTGAGCAAAACGTCGTTCTGCTTCAGCGTGTGATTGATCAATGCGCAGCTGTGATCCACGGCCCTCACAGGCAAGAAGAGATCGACATTGCCAAGGCCATGGTGGCTGTGCTCAAACACTACTTGACTCGTCAAGGGGACAATCTTGAAAAGTTGGATAAAGAACTGGATCTGTTCAGGCAGGCTTTCAATCGACGTGTAAAGTACTTTGCATCTTTGCAGGAACTGTCAGATTCTGTATGCCGGTTTGGATTCGTTACCATCTGTCTGTCCGCTGACAAATTGTTGTAGGTTGCGGTCCCTGATTTCAAGGATCTCGGGCGGGACATTGAAGCTGCCGCCCAAGAGGTCAATGAACTTGAAGTCAAATTGGCAAAGATGGCTGTCAAAGGCAGATATTTACAGTACCTCGGTACCAAAGAACATGACGAAAATGATTTAAAAGAGGACTGCATCATTTGTTTCGGTAGCTCTGACTGTCAAGAGGCGGTATTGTTGACGTGTGGTCATTACTTTTGCCAGGTGAGCTTGAAAAGCGGCTTCCAAGAGAGTTGACTGACAATTGCAGTCTTGTTTCAAGGAATACAGAGCCACGCCTGGCGGGAGAAAGTGTCCATCGTGCCGAGTCGCTAGTAGGTCCCATATTGAAAGACTTGAGTTACAGAGTGCTGATGAGAGTTGGATTCGCCAGTCAACGACAAGGAAACCCAACGTATCAAGCTAAATCATGGGCGCCCCGAGCCAGCTGAAGGCTCGAGGGAGACTCCGGCCCTGACGTCGACAGAGTCACAACCACAAAAGGGTCCTGAGAATCCAGATATATCCCCGGAGGAGGCCGAGAGACTTAGTAGGATCGCTGATCTAGAAAAGCTGAGAATGTTAGAAGACGATCGTAGAAGGGCCATCATGTTGATGGACATGATGGGAGAGTACGGCAGCAAAGTGCGTGCTTGCCTTGTCTTTTGGCTGTGGATATCGCTGACAGTTGTAAAGATCAACTTCCTAGTCAAACACCTACTCTATTACAAGTCCAAAGAACCTCGATGTCAGTCAGAGAATATAGGCAGAACTAGGTTGACACTTGAACAGCTCGCCACGTCATCTTCTCCAATTGGTCTGACTCCCTGAACAGTGAGCAGACTGGCTGAATTCACAAAAGCTTGGCTGATCGTATTGTCAGTCGTGATGGCCGCTCTGAAGATGAACGGCATTTCCTTTTTAGGATTTGACCAAGGCAAAAAGCAAAAGGACATTGTCGAAAGGTTCCTCAATGACGAATCCATCACTGTTTTCTTACTTCATGCTGAGAGGGAAAGGTGGATAACCAATCATCCAGCCCATTGGGAAAGGCTGACAAACCATTGCAGCTCGGGCCTGACTCTTACTAGCTGCCGAGTGGTTCATCTGCTCGAACCCGTTCTGAGGCATTCATACGAGTTGCAAGGTCAGCACCACCCGCCCAAGCCCCAAATACACCACTGACTCTTCGATAGCTATTGGAAGAGTCGACAGGCTGGGACAAGACAAGGAGACTTCCGTGTTCTGGTATGTCGCCTCCTTCGTGTGTTCAAATGTTTGTTGACCCGTCAACAGTTATGCCACGATGGATACTGTAGAATCCAGAATCCTTTCTCAGGGTGTTCGCAATGGCACGTCTATCTACTTGGCAAGCGAAGATGCCGATGACGTTGTAGCAGAGATGCCCAATGTAGCAAGCGCTGCGCATAAAGGCGGAGATGTGACGGCAGGAGGCAGTGAAGAGGAAATGTTGGGTCTGATTTTGTAGGCGTACTTCTGTAATGCGATAGCGCTTTGATAGTGCAATATGTTCATAGTAAAAATGCTGGTTTCAGGTCAAAGGATGCATGTCCTGGGTAAATATCTACTCCTGGTCGACGACCTCACACAAAGTGCCGCCACTCCTGACCTTACCCCAACCGATCAATCTCCAGTGCTTGTCGATTCTCCTACTCAAAGCAATCTTCTCACCCTTCTCACAACAGGCTGGCGTTGTCAAAGCAATGGAGACGTCACCACCCTTGACAGCAGTGATTCGTCCACCAGTTTGGCTGGCACCGATGTTGACAAACAGCGTTTCGCCCACGATGAGTTTCCCGACCTTGGCCTTTTTACTGTCGTCGGTCTTGACACCGAGCAATCGACGGAGCAAGAAGACTTCAGCGCGGATTTCAACGTAGATTGAGGGACCCTTGCCCACAGAAGACATGACCATACCAAGCAACCTGTCGGCACGGCAAAGCGCGGGGTCAACCAGAGTTCCGACACCGATCAAACCACCAGGGACGGCAAACTGCAAGTGGTTTTGCTCAGCGTGGAGGGAGACTACACGAGATCGCAGTGGGCGGCAGGTGCAAACACCATTTGCGTCTCGCGTGATGAGACCGGGTCGGATTTCGACCTCCTGTCCGACCTTGAAGACACCCTGCAAGATGGAACCACCGGCAACACCACCTTTCAACTCGTCGACACCGGCACCAGGCTTGTTGACATCGAATGAACGGATGACAACCATGCGAGGGTCGGCACTGAAGTCGTAGTTGGGGGGCGCAATGTTGCAGATGGCGGCCACAACGGCGTCGATGTTGAATTTCAGTTGGGCGGAGACGGGGATGATGGGGGCAAGTCGGGCAGTGGTGCCTAGAGACAAGTCAGTATGGTGCAACAACCCATGGATCCGACACACCTTCGACAAACTTCTTGATGCTCTCGCAGTGCTCCATAGCCTCGCTCTCCCGAACCAAATCCATCTTGTTCTGTAGAATCACAATGTTCTTGGGGTCCACACCAATGATTTCCAACGCAGCAAGGTGTTCACCGGTTTGCGGTTGAGGACAAGACTCGTTACCAGCGATAAGAAGCAGAGCACCGTTCATGACGGCGGCACCTGTCAGCATAGTAGCCATCAAAATGTCGTGTCCCGGGCAGTCGACAAATGAAACATGTCTGTAGAGATGTCAGCGACCGATTACGTGTCACAGAAGGATATCATCATACCTCTGCAGCTCCATTCGTCCCTCACACCCAGCTCTTTCACATTTAGGGTGCGCTTCTTTGCTCGAGGGATAGGATCGGAAACAGCTGGGAGGGGGGCATTGCGGGTTCTGGCACCTGTAGATCTAGACCACTGTCAGCCTGGCTTCCATGTCCATGACTGATAAACCTGCTTTGGCGTTGGCGTAACCAAGCTTGATGGTAATGTTTCGTTCGAGCTCGTTCTTGAATCGGACGGTCTGGACACCAGAGATGGCGCGAACGGTTGAAGATTTACCGTGAGCTACATGACCGATGGTACCGATGTTGATCTGCGGAACTTCATCAGCACATTTGCCCTTCAGCTGAGGGTGCCACAAAGAGACACACGGTGGCCTGTTTCGAGATGACTTCGGGAGATAGAGCCGTAAGCTTGGTCACGTCGACCTGGACTTCCTGGACGGGCTCTGAGGGTCCCGAGGCGGCGGCAGCGGCAGGGTCGTTGATGGCGGACATGGTGGGGCGAGCTTGTCCTGGCAGGGGTGGCGGAGACAGGGGTCGAGGGGCGGAATGAGTATTTTTCGGCGAGGAATGGAAAGTGCAAGGACAATGGACTTGAGTCGTCAACTAAGCTCCGCCACGCCCGGCATTATCCCCGGCATTATATCTTTCCTCATAAACACGCCTGGGCCATGCTTCTCTTGCCTCATCCTTCCAATTCATAAAAACATGATGATCCCCCTCGGTTGCAGAGACCTGAACCTCGCGCCCCGTCCATCCGGGCGGGTAGACATGCGTAGGATCGTGACTTCTGCCGTCCGGCAGCCAAATCCTTGTTAACATAGGGACGGCTCCATTATTACGGTCTGACTCTTTGGATTTGGATAGGAGTATCTCGACTTGATATCAATGTGTATGTACCCCTTGAGCCTCTGCCCTTTCACCTCGGACGGCCCGACGGAAACATTGGTCTGGGTGGCAGCGGTGGTGGAGAGCGGGCGGATCGAGGAGAGCGGGCGGATCGAGGAGAGCGGGCGGATCGAGGAGAGCGGGCGGATCGAGTGCCGCAGAAGACGACCTGCGCGGAGGAGCGCCATGGCGGATAGAGAGCAAGCAGCGGGCGGGGGCATCTCGACGACGACAGCAGCTGCTCGGCACACATAAAAAATCAAGCCCGGGGGGCAAGTCCGGCTGCCGGCGTTTCAAACCCCTATGTATCATTGTGCGGCAAGTCGTTGCTTTGCGAGTGCATGGGAGGTTGTTGAGGATGGGAGGTCTCAGCCTCGAGCAACGCCTTGTTAAAGACGCTGCAAGCTAGATGATTCATGGCGAGGCTAGGACGTTGTCTAATCACCTCACACTCTAACCAGTCTTAGTCCCGTCGTGGTGGTAGACTATAGTGTACATGCGCCGCTCTCATCCTCGCGCCGCCTGGCTCGAAAGCTCATGTAGCGACCCTCCAGCGTGGCCCTCCTTGTCCGTCCGCTGCAGAGAAGGAGAGGTAGCAAAGAGAGAGGCATTAATGGGCCATCTTGCTCCGCTACGTCTTCAATTTCGAGTTCTCGACTTGCCAGCAAGCTATTTTACATCTCATACAGCACAAATGTTATATACACCCAACCTGCAGACACTATAACCGAAATATTGTAAAAGAGAGTGGAGAAAACACAAAGAGTGACGTGAAAAGTTGAATACGTAAAGACTGGAACCCAGATACCCGATAGAGATTGTGTGTGGAATTATACGTTTGCGATTGTGAGCCCTCGCTCATCCCCGGGCTTGGCAGCGACACTTCCCTCGCTTCCCGCACGTCTGCGCCCCGCTACTGGCTGCTCCCAGTTGTCTTGACCATGCCCCTGTCCTTGTCCGGCTGGGTCCTCGTATCCGCCATAGACCCCATCATCCGCATAGGCATAAGCCTGGCTCGGGTCAAAGTAGTAGTAGTTGCCCGCCGTCGGCGGCGGAGGGGCAGGGACAGAAAAGTCTGGCTGAGGATGGTGGGGGTCGGACATGTACTCTTGCGCGCTGGGATCGTGCACGTAAGGGTCCTCAGGTGAGTAGTCCACCTGAGCGCTAGTAGCGCCAAATCCTGCCATACCCGCATCCGTAGCAGTAGAGGCTCTATCACCACCCTGAGGCGCCATATTAACGAGATTGACAGCGTACGGGTCGTACCCATCATACCCGCCAGTGGGGTCTTCGTAGTCTTGGTACTGGCCATTGCTGGGCTGGGGCTGAGAGTAGATGTCGGTACCGCTCGGTGTGGTGGCAGCATAGTGGCCACCGTACTGGGCCATGGCGGGCTGATCGCCATATGATGCGATAGCAGGCGCCTCTTCGTCATCATCATAGCCCGATCGGTCGTGGTGGTGATTGGCGGCAGAAGCAGCTGCGGCAACATCTCTATCGAGACGCTGTCGTCTCCTTCGACGGAGCATGAATATGACAAACGACATGATCCCCAACATTGCCACAAGACCCACAGCCACAAATGTCCCGGCCACGGCTCCTGTATTGCTAAAGAAGCCTTCATCTCCTGCGGCCGCGTTGGAGGTACCGGTGGAGGAGGGGTTGTGTACGATTTGGGTGACAGTGTAGATTTTTCCGGCTGAATCGGTTGAAGTCAGAGCCTGTGTGAGGACGGAGGGCGCGGTGGTGACCGTCTTGCCAGATGCATCTGTGGTGGTCACCGAGAGGGCGCTCGTGGCTGTCGTCTCGCCCGACGCAGAGCTCGCGGTCGAGGTATCGGTCGAAGTCAGGACGACTGGGGCCACGGACGATGACGAAGAAGACGGGGCAGCGGAGCTCTGCACTTGCGAACTAGTGGGGGCAGAGGACCTGGAGACACATTAGCTCTTTTCGGGTCCACGCGCGCCAGGACTTACGTTAGTGGTGCGCTGGATGAAGTATCGCTGGGAGCGACAAAATCAGACGACGACAATGAGCTCGGGGCCACGCTCGAAGAGGTGCCAGGCGACGAAGACTCTGTCGATGAAGCGGCAGTAGAGCTTTGCTGTGTCGAACTAGGTTGTTGGCTCGTGCTTGGCGCAGCACTGCTTTCTTCTGCACTGGTACTCGGTGACGGGCTGGCCGAGGCTGATGTCGACGGCTGTTCGCTGGGGGAAGCGGACGGAGAGGAGGAAGGGGAGACGGACGAGGAGGCGGCCTCGGAAGGAGACGCCGAGGATTGTGCGGCCGAGGTAGAGGCGGGGGGAGAGGAAGAGGGCTGGGTAGACTCGAGGGCCGAGGAGGTGGCTACGTCTGCGGAGGATTCGCCTTGTTCTGTGGGTGGGGTAGTGATGGGTAGCGGTGAGATAGAAGGCATGGTCGGGGAAAGCGAAGAGAAGTGTCAGCGGTCATTCTTGGAGAAAGGGCAGAGTCAGAGCCGAACAAAGGGAGCGGCGGCGCTGGCCGCCCCAGGGTGGTCATCCTTTTAGATTGAGCTGGAGCTGGGAGGTATATGGCTTTGAAGGATGGCGGGGAAGGAGGGGGACGCGTGATGGCGGGGAGGGGGACGCGTCGTGGAGCAGGGGAGGGGAGGGGAGGGGAGGGGAGAAGAGATAGGGAACTGACCAGCCATGTTGGGGGGAGCCTTGCCAGAAGGGAGAGGGAGGGAGGGGGGAGGGAGAGGAGAGGGAGAAGGAGAGGGAGAGGCGACATGAAAACCGCGCATGGGCCACTCGCCCATTGTTTGGCCAGGCCCACCCCTGCTTATGTAACAGCGGCGAGCCCCGCCCTGCCCCGGTGACGAGTGACGCATCTGCATCTCGCTCGTTCTCCTGTCCGCCATGGCTGCCTCCACCCCCGCCCAGTCCCTCGAGCACCGCGCACAGAACGCAGAGCAGGTCGGCGAGCACAAGCTCCACGGCCTCGTCCAGGAGGACGGTCAGTCCCGCCCACCCTCTAGTCCATCGCTCACCAGTACACAGCCGACTCCACCGAATCCGGCCTGCGATATGGCAAGTCCTCTCGACATCACACAGCCCAGGTGCTGACTCCAATACAGCTGCCTATCTTCGTCGTGTCAGGGACATCGTGCGAGCCGGGAGCCGATACACTGCATACAGCAAGTCCAGCCCAACCTCTCCTGCCCTCCTACTGACCTCCCTACAGCCAGCGACGTCGGAGAAGCTTTCCGCCCTGTCGTCCCCCCATGGGTCGTGACTGCAGCCTACGGTGTATCGTGGGCCTATCTCATCGGAGATGTCTCCTTTACCACCTACAAATCCTCCCAGCTCGGTCCTTCGCCGTTAGAAGCCGCCAACGTGTCAGAGCCCACCCGTCTCTCCATGGTGGCTGTGAAAAGGACAGTTTTCCAGGGTTTGGCGTCCATGGCGTTGCCGGCGTTTACCATCCACACTGCCGTCAGGTACGCGGGCAGGGCGTTTGCAAAGAGCGGGAACGTAGCGGCGAGGAGATGGGGGCCTACCGTTGTTGGAATCGGAATCGTGCCTGCCCTGCCATATCTCTTTGATCACCCGGTAAGCACTACTTCGTTGCGAAAAGATCAAACACTGATGAATGACAGGTCGAGCAAGCTACCGATGCCGTCTTTGACAAGCTTGAAGAGAGCTTTTTCCGAGGCGGTCCCGTTCCCGAGCCCAAGCGCGAATTATAGGATACATGAATTCTCAAGTTCTTGAACAGTCCCTCTCTATACTGACAATCCGCCAATCCCTGTTTCGCTTCCTATAAACCACCACCAATCCCGCCCGAACATCGCTCTCGTCGAAAATCTTGGCCTCGTCGCCCATGTATATGGTGCACATTGGCTCCGATCGCCGGGAGCTAGACCGCGAGGAGAAGAGCAGCGAGTGCAAGTATACTTTGCCAGAGGGGCCGGACGCAGAGACTTGGACACGTATGTCTTCCAAGGCCTCTGAAACAGGACGAAACAGCTTGAGCGAGATGCTGGTAGGTATCTCGGGCCACAAGACGGCTTCCATGGGCGAATTCAGATGAGATGGAACTTCAAAAGGAGACTGACACATATCAGTATGACCCCAGACTATATCCGTCAGCTTACAGCGAAAATACAAGTCTCCCTGCCTCTTGTGATTGCATAGACCTCGCCAGCCTCTCCCCTCAAACCCCCATCGGGCAGCACCAGCCTCTTCAACGGGCCCCACTCGCCCATCCCGTCACCATCGTGCCCTCTCGACTTGATCCCCAGGACGACTGCATCGCTGACGCCAATCAGGCACGCCTTCTGCCCAAAGGACACGTATAGCCCGAGGTTGAGGTTGTCCTTCACCGACGGGGCACGAGAGCCCGAGCGGGAAAGCGATTGACGCGAGCGCATAGAAGCGTATGACCATGATGTTCTCGACAGTGAGGAAGGTGGCCGGTCGTACTCAAAAACATAGCTGGCATCATCTGCCAGATCTATACTCTCTGCCCTGCTCGGCATGGACCCATTTTCCGGCAGCTTCATGAACCCCATCCAGACTGGCGCTGCGGGAAGCGCAAGGCTTTTCTTGCGAATAAACATCGTCATACCATCTTGGTCGACTGTACCCTCGTGGACGACGGCTTGGGATGCCATGCCGGATGCGACATAGACCCGACCTTCGTCTCGCCACACGACGGTGCAGAGAATGTCTTGGGACCTGACTGCTACGTTCCCGAAAGAGCCCGAACGACGCCTATTGCCGATCTTTTCAGAGGCAGTGCTCCGCTGAAGAACCGTATAATCGCCTGACCAGGCCTTTGGCAAGTCTGTCTGCCCACCAGCTGAAGCGCTCGGAGCTTGTCTATCGGTCAGAGGATGGATGGAAACCTGGTCCACCATGGTCCACTCCTTTGCTCGCGATCCCTTTTGGGCCATATCGCGCCCTTGATACCCTGGTTGTTGTAGAGCAGACCATTGAGCGAGGGAAATCAAGCTGGCCAAAGAGTATACCCGAATTTCAGTGCCGGAGCCCTTTTTGGGATGACCCAGCTTGGCCGAGTCTTCGTTCCCGCCGCAGAAGAGCAGGATGGAGCCTTTGGGCGTACTGGGGCTGGGGGACTGGCGCGAAGAGATGATTTCAATTTGCCACACTGGCAGACCAGACCAGATCATCTTTGCAGGCGCCTCTTCCTCGTCCGAATCGAGCACCATGAGTCCCTCGGCCGTGCCATACAACAGCAGCCTCCCACCCAAGACAGGCAGGGAGCAAGTGATGGAAGCTGCAGAATGCCGAATGAATGGAGAGCCGAAAGAGACAGAGGTGAAGGGGGTGTTTTCGATGGGGGATGAATTGGAGGCTGGAGGGTATTGTACAGGCGAGGGATAGGGAAAGGTGGCGTCGTAGGAGGGAGGAAGTGGGACGGGGCTGGCAGAGGTTTCTGCTTCTTGCCGGGCACTCTCTTCGCGGGCCTACCGACAATCAGTCAGTGTCGTGTGGCCGCAGTATACACACTCACGGCTCGCCGGGCAGCTCTTCGTTCATCTCTATCCACCCCATCGTACCGTTCAACTGCCCGCTTCTCGACTGCTGATAGTCAGTATCGTGCGCGTTCCTGCAGATGCCGGACTCACCCCACCCTCGCCATCTGCCAAATCTTGCCAACCCGCCCTGCTCATCCCCGTCCCTGCTACTGCTCGGGCCAGCTTGAACTGACTGTTCATACGTCGGCAGACCGTCCTGCCTGCTTTGGCGAAGTGTAGATCGAGAAGGCTGGCGCGTCACTGGCAGCTGCGCAACAGTATCTCTTCTCGTTGCCGGTCCGCCGAATGTCATCGAGCTCCATCTTTGAGCATCACCTGGCGTTCTCACTGGTACGGGGCTTTCGATCTCTGCTCGTCCCATGTCTGGCAGCGATGGCGGTGAGTGTGAGAGCGGGAGACGGCGTGAAAAGAGAGCGGCGACATGTCCTTATGAGGCGGCCGAGTGGACATGGTGCTGCTAGGGGCTGAGCTGCGGCATTCTATTTGAGGGGGCGTCGGCGGGATACGGCGTGTCGCAGCAACGCTCGGCGTCGTCAAGAGGGCCCACAGAGATGTCAACACTGTCGGCCGCCGGGGAGATAAGCTTGCCTCCTTCAAGTTTCAACACACAGCCATCTGCGGACGGTGCCTGGCCATCTGTACCTTGACCCCGTGAGCGGCTTATGCACAAAGGAAAACAGTTCGATCACCCAGCTCTGCAAAATATATAAATGCCCTCGATCTCGCAGCAACCCTCACTTCCATCTCTCTCATCCTTCGCGCCATAGCAAGCGCCTTCTATATTGTGTCTTGCCTTTCTTGCTGAGCTCTTTCGCCCCAACCTTTTACCAGCACAGGTCGCTACCTCGACCTACTCATACCTTGCCTGTGGTACCTGCCAGCACGATGCCCCTTGGAAGGTCTCTAGCCCTTTTGGCCGCACTTGCGACCCAAGCTCAAGCTTATGATGATCTTCTCTTCACCGAGTATGTGTTGATGCTCGCAGTGGTCTCACCGCTGACCTCTTGTAGGGACTTTTTCCCGCTCATCAACGCCCGACTAGACCCCATTATCTTTCCCGGCCAAGTATCTGCACATGTTCATCACGTCATCGGATCTTCCGCATTCATTGCTTCCGAGTTTTTCGAAGACAGCCAAACTGCTAATGTGAGCCTTGATGATGGGCTAGCCGGATAGATCCTGACGAAATTGCAGTGTACGACTGCCAACTTGATTGATGATTTGTCCAAGTTAGGGCTATCCTTTCCAGATATTGATTGCACTTTACTGACATGAGCGCAGCTACTGGTCTCCTATGCTTTACTAGTATGATCTAACGTTTCCAGTCCCCTACAAGCTGACCTGGTTGATAGCAAATGGAAGAACGGGTCTTACTCTGCCATCACTGGCGACGGTGGCAGCGCCTAGCAAGTCATCGTCTGCCTCAACCCGACTCGCCTCCACTGACGAATCACAGCTGGAAGATGCCCATGACCAATCTCCCCACCGAGGGATTCTCGGTCGTCCCCGACGACTTTAGGATGCTCGCGGGTGATATCACAAGGACCACCTACAATGCGTCGAACGCGTTGGATCAGGCTGTCAGTTTCCAGTGCATTGATGCCGGTGGAAGTTACGGTAGGTTTCCTTGTACCCAATACGTTCTAAGCCTCATATCTGTATAGACAAGACACCCTTTATCCCTTCCGACCGCGAATGTCTCACAATCCGACCCCAAGTCAACTTTCCAGAGTGCTGGAACGGCAAGGACGCTTACATCGATGACAATTCGCATGTCTCTTATCCTGTTGACGGCAACCCTGAAGGCGGCAAGTGCCCCGACAGTCATCCTTCCAAGATTCCTCATCTCTTCTTTGAAGCCACTTACCGTATGTCTGTCTGTAACTTCCCAGTGAAGGAAGTGCTGACGTATAGAACAGATCCCAGCGAAGACACCATTGGCGAAGGCTATGAATGGTACCCCGGGTGTTTTGTCCTCGCAGACGGCGACAACTACGGGTATTCATTCCATGCCGACTGGCTGAACGGTTTCCCCTCTGGATTTATTGTCGACACCTTCAACGAGTGCTACGATGCTGCCTCGGACACCATCTCGAAAACCTGTGCACCCATCGACCAAGGGAGAGCCAAAGCGGCACCGAGGGACTGTGTGTCTCAGGGCCAGGTCGTCAACGAGGTATGTCTCGCCGTTCTCTGGGCCTCAATGAAGACTGATCTGGTCATAGTCTGTCGGTCAGATGATGGCCATCCCTGCTCTCCCCGGAAACAATCCCGAGTACAACTCGTCCGAGACTTCCAAGCCCTCATCCGACAGCTACACCGAGTCTGCCAGCCTTGTCACAGTATCAGACGATACACAGGGTGTCTGCATACAGGGAACTTGTTATGATTATGCTGGATCGGATATCGTCGACCCATCCGCTGGGACTGGGGCGACTTCTACGGTGTCTTCGTCTGCTGTATCTGCCACCTCCTCATCGTCCTCGACCGGCAGTTCCACGCTCTCATCAACTGTATCAGCTTCTAGTTCCTCTTCTACCGCCTCTTCTATTCCCAACCCGGTACTGGTCACCGTCCCCGACGAGTCTGACGACGACGAAGAGCTCGTCTGCGAAAAGCGCAAGAAGAAGAGAAGGGTTGCTGATTGGTAGATGCCATGATTCTTTTGCTTTCTGAATCTGTCCTGGTGGCAGGACCTGCCCTTTAGAATACTGTATAGCACCTCAAGTTCATAGACCGCTGGACATGCATTATATGGACTATATTTCCACCTGGATGCCTTTCGCTCATCAGTCATCATCGTTCAACATGTGCCTCGGCGCCCGCCGCCCCGGTCACACGCGATTCCGTCCTGCGCATCTTGCAGCAGCTCTCTTTCGTCCAGCCGGCCTGTCCTCTATTCACAGCTGTATCCAAACATGGCACCCCTTCCCTTCCACCTCTCCCTCCTCCTCCGCCCACTGTCCCCACCCGTCGCCACGACCCGGCTGAAAGCCAACATCTTTGCCCTCTTTCTCTTTGCTATACGCAACCTCTTCCCCCCGTACCAAGCTACCAAGAGCTTACTCGTCAGTCTGAGCGAAAAGCTGGAAGGAACCACAGGAAGGCAACAGAGCTGGGGGGAGGCTGGAGTCAATATAGGAGGTGTGACTTTTGCTTTTTGAACCGTGTAACCAAGCTGATAGCATTCAGAGGGACTGCTGGCGATAGTGCTCGTGTGGAATACGGTAGAAGCCTTTGTTGCTTTGCAATACCCTTCGACCTATGTGCCTCCCCATCCAAAGACTATGAACATTACCCCTGCTAGCGTGTCGTCCCCTCTGGTATGTCTTATTTCCCCTGCGCCGACGGCCATGCTGAACACCGTTCTAGACACGACCATACTCGCCCCAAAAGTCTTGCACTCCAACACAACAACCACAAGTATCCTCTCGCGCCCTCCCATCTTCTGCGTCGTTCCAAACCCCCTCCTCTACGCCCCTCCGCCAAGCTCCCACGCAGGCGCATCAGCTATCCCAGTCTACCTCCCACCCGCTCTCCTCCTCTACCTCGTCGAATCTGTCTTCGTCTACTGCCAGAATTCTCAACCTGCCCGTGCCAGAATCGCCTTCCAATGGGCTATTCTACGAGCGCAAGTCGCCTGTCAAGGCTGGGGCTGCTGCGGGTGCTGTTGGAGGGGTAGGCGGAGACTTTGTCCTGGTGGATAGAGACGAGAAGGAGTGGGTGGATAATGTTTGGAAGGGCGTTAGAGGAAAGGGTGGCAAGCTGGCCTTGTAGTCGGCGTCCCGGGGGTCATGTGTATTGTCAAAGGCCTGATGTGACATGCATGATTATACAACAAAGTGGCTGGTGTTTTACAGGAATGGTAGACTACGAGTTAGTTTTCCAAATTTTGATAGACCTCTCGTACTCGAGAGATCCGCTGGCGATTGTGCGGCCATCTGGTGACACCTATGGGTCGTTAGAGTTGAACGAGATGTGGAAGAGAGCGACGTACAGCCAAGGCGAGGACGGAGGACTGATGGGACGTGTACCCTTCTATGACTTGAACGATGGCTTTGGTTTGGACATTCCAGATGATGATCTTGCCATTCTCGGAGCCCGTCATGATCCAAGCATTGGATTCCCTTTCTTTCCGAGACTGCCCAGCCTTTTGTGGCTTTTCGTCCACCTCCATCTTGTCCGCCTCGGACTCTTTTAAAGGTTTCGGTCCCTCAAAGATGAGTGTGGGACATGGAAACTTTTCGCTGACAAAGGCGGCTGGCGCGCGGAATGACTTGATGACTTTGCCAGTGTGAATGTTGTATATCCGGAGGGTGGAAGAGAGGGTGGCGGCGTAGAGATAGGAGGCGGATGGGGCAAAGGCGGCGTGGGAGCTGTTCGCTTTTAGTATGGTACTCGAAGCGTATACGCGAGTACGTACACGGGAGAGTTGGTGTCGTTGTCGAGGGTCTTGAGGCATTGGCCTGTGCTAGCGTCCCACAGACGGCTGCAAAGCGTCAGCAAGGGATGGCAGGGGATGAGGTGATACCCACATGAGGCCATCAGCACTGCCAGTGAGGACCATGCCGCCTTCGGGATCCCAAGCAACACACCAGACGGCATCTGCATGCGCGGGCAGTTGCCTGAGCGCCAGACCTCGACTGACATCCCAGATGATGACCGACTCGTCGAAACTGCCTGTGGCCAGCAAGTTTGACTTTGGTGAAAAGGCCACCGAGAGGATGGGCGCAGAGTGGGCGGCGAGGTGGCGGATAGCACGGGGTTTGGTGTGCGAGACATACTCGGGAACAGGCTTCGGTCTCGGCGCGTCGTCGTCTTCCTCGGGTGTCTCTACAGGTTCCATAGCGGGCGGGGTGAATTTGACGCCCGAGGTTGGGTGGAGGAGGTGAATGTCGGAGGTGTGGTCATCCGAGGCGGTTGCCAGGTAGAGCGAGTCGGGGGAGATGGAGATGTCATTGATGCCCGACCTGTGGGCCTTGAAGCCGCGTACATGCTGGCTGGTATGTGGGTTCCTGCGGCGTGTCAGAGGGGGCGGGGCGGGGCTGGGCTGGGCGGGACTTGCCAGAAGTGCAGCCAGCCGTCTGCACCTGCGCTGAGGAGGAGGGATGCGTCTGGGGCGAAGCGGAGGGCGGTGATTGCGCGTTCGTGGGCACGGATGGTGGCGGCGCAGGAGTAGGGCCCGGGGCTGGGGGGCGTCCGGTCGAGCACCATCGTCGTGGAGAGTAATAGAGACAACAGCAATACGTAAGCGCAGGGGGATTTATCCGGGACAAGAAGGGAATCCAGGGTTCTCTTTCTCTTTCTCTTTCTCTTTCTCTTTCTTCCCCAGTGCCCAGAAGTGCCCAATGTCTCTCCAGCAGCATCTCCTCGACCACAGCGTGCACGGCCCCTCCTTCCCCTCCCCGCCCCCCTCAGACAGGTCCACCCCCGAGCTCGACCCGTTCACCCACAGCGCAGCCCTCGACCCCGTAGACTCCCCCATCACCGACCTCGTCTCCCCCACGTCCTCCGTCCCAGACATATCCCACACTCACACACACCCCGCCACCGACGACGACGACACGGCCCAGGCCCTGTCCAATCACCACCTCCAGCGCTACCTCCACTACAAGGCCCTTGCCGCCCGCGCCGAAGCCGATCCTGCTCTTGCTGCTTGCCAACACTCAGACAGCGCCCCCACCGACGACCGCATAGAAGACCTGCTCTCGTCTTACATGCCCGACTCGGCCCATTCGTCCCTCTTTAGCAAAGACAGCATCGTCTCTGGTAACAACATGCTTGCCTGCCAGCAGCAGCGACAGCAGCAGCAGATGCCCCAGTCTGCCTACTACCAGGTCGGCCAGTCCATCAATACTTGGCAGCACCCGAACACCGTCTTCCGCTTCGAGCCGCAGCCCTCCCAGGCGGTGATGCACAACGCCCAGGCCCAGGCCCATCTCCAGGCGGCGGAGGCCGCTCGCTTCCAGGCGGACGAACAGCGCCGCGTCAACATGTCTACCTACTACATGGCCCCTCAGCCGGCCGCCCGGTTCGAGCAGTCTTCCCAGGGCGCCATGTTCCCCCAGCAAGGTATCACCACGGGCGCTTCTGCCTCGTACGCCAACACCCCCTCGTACCCTGGCGGCGCCAACATCCTCATGCACAAGACGCCTTCCATGTCTGGTTTCACCGTCGCCTCTAGCAGCGAGGAGGGCGAGGACGAGCTGCTCTACTCTTCTGGCGCCGAGGACCCCAAGCCCATGGTGCCCACGATCCCTGTGGCCAACGCCCATGGGGGCGGCCGTGGCTATGTGCCCGGTCAGACTCCTGACGACCCCAAGAAGAAGCACAAGTGCCAGATCTGTGGCCGTGGTTTTGCTCGAGCTTTCAACTTGAAGGTACGTTTCTCTTGTCGTTCTTTTCATCAACATTGCTGACGCTTGGTTTAGTCTCACATCCAAACCCACAACCCGCTGCGACCAAAGCCCTATGCCTGCCCCCACAATACGTGCAAGCGCGGCTTCTCTCGTCTCCACGATCTCGAGCGTCATCGTCAGGGTATCCACTCTGACGGCCCTCTCGTCGAGGCCAAGCGTCACAACGTGTCGCCCGCCATCGCCCGTGCTCAGACGAGGATGCAGGAGCGTGCCGACTCTGGCAGCCTCATCTAAGTCCCTCACGGGCACCAAACAACTGAATAGAAGCTGCTTTTCGCGCTTCAAACCTTTTTTTTTCCCTCCGACTCTACCCCATCTGCGGCATTACCGAGCCTTTTCTCGTGTCGTCTCGTCACTCTCCCGACTCTCTCTCTCTCTCTCAGCCATTCTTTCCTCCGCCAAACAAATCAAAAATGCAGCGCCGCCGCCTTGTGCGGCATCAAACTCCAGCCGGAGCCTGCTTTTGTTTGCGCCAGAATCTTGTGTGCCGAGCAATGAGATGAGTCTATGAATTCAGAGACGGCACCTGAAGCTTGCTCTGCGAGCGAGTTCAGGCCATGGGTAATTGCTTGCTTGATAGTCGGCACCCCTGCTCTTTACCATTGTCACATCTTTGGCTTTCTGCGTCATTTTTTTTTTCATCACCCTCCCTCCCCCATTTATCGTGTATCGTCCCCAACTACCTACCTCGCACCACACGGTTTGGCCGCCTCATCCATCCCGCAAGTCCCCCTCTTTCTCGACCGCCAAAAGTCATCAGCACCACCGCTTTATTTGAAAATATCTTGATCTTTTTGTATTATTATACTCCTATTTAGATTTCATAGCGGTGCTTCCTTTTTCGTTGCTTGATGACTTGGCGAGTAGAGGCTAGGATTTGCCTAGTGATAGGATCTTGGACCGTCAACGTGTTTTGTGCTTTCTATTCTTCACTCTTCATCTCTGTGTAGCCTTGTTGTGTATCATTCTATCATAAAAGGGGGTCAATAAAAAACTTGAGAAGCCTGCGCTTGTGAATGTATATGTGATCGGCGAGACCTTTGCACCTTGTCTGTCTTTTGCCTCCCGCGGGATGTTTACCTACGCAGGACGAGGGGCTTGTGTCGAGCCAGGTCTTTTGCCATCATCAGAGCCTGAAATGCAGGCGCGCTACATTGACTGAGCCAGCGAGTCTACCGCCTTGACCGAGAAGTCTGGGTAATCTTGTGAAACTCAGTCGTGCTGGGGATAGCGACTGCATCAGTACTATACCAAGTATAAAAACTAATACTAATTATAAAGTAGTACGCGTATATCCATGAGTACGTCTAAGGGAAGCTACTGCATCAGCTCTGTGTGGCTCCTTTCCAATGCAGCAATCCATCTCCACCCCACCTCGCTCTCGACAGCAATCCATCACCGCCTCTTTGCTCATTACTCCTCTGCTCTCCCCGCAGGGTCCTTTCCCTTTCCATCCCAACCTCATCATCATCATCTTGATGTAGCCCCAAGGCGCTCATCCCCGCATTGATCATTGAGCCTCCTCCATCTCCAGACCCAGACCCGAGACCCAAATTTTCCTTGATAGCCCCCAATTTCACCAGGCTAGCATAGGTGAGCCGGCCTCTGGCATCTTCTGTCGGCTCTGGCTCATTTTGGCCAGATACAACCCTGGGCCGGACGGCTTGATAACCCCCAGCAGAAGGTAACGTCTCGCGGGCGAACCCTCGCGTGACACTGGGGCTCTGCTTGGGCAAAGTCTTTACCGCATACAGCGGTGTGGAGATGCCTTTATGGGCGAGGCAGGAACAAGAACATGCGGGACATGTCATGGGTGTCGTGATGGGCGATAAAAAGTAGTGCTGAAAGCATTTAGCGTGGAATTTGTGGGCACAGATTGTGCACCCCATCGAAATACCTAAGCCGGATATCAGTTCGAGTAGCCCATGCTTCAGGATGCACTTGCCTTTGATAGGGACTCGACAGAAAGAGCAAACGGCCTTTTTTGGTGCCCCATTGCAGATTGCGCATGTACGTTTTGGGTCACTAGAGCAAGGTACACATACTACTCATAAGGTTAGCACTTGCCTACGTCTCATACTGAGCAAACCTACCTCTAGAAGAGAGAGAACTTTCGATCCTCGCTTCTTCATCAGGGGCGCTGACTATGCCGCCAACTTCTCCGCTAGCGGCTTGGACGGCCGAGTGCTGATTATGCGGTATGAACTGATACCTCAGCAAAGTCGTCCTGATACCCAAAAGATTGTGTCGAAGAAGAAAGTCGGCGTAAGCCAACTTCCAGGCTTCGCAAACGGCCATCATCGCGGGATATATTAAAGTCTGCGAGGGACTGCGTATTGTCAATTTCATTCATAGTCATGGACCAGAGTACCCACCTGTCATCTTTTGGGAATGCCACCTTCACACCACACCCCTTCACCTCCTTATTCTGCACCTCATCTGATCGGGTCGGCGTACTAGGTCCAATGATGCCTGTATTCCCAGGATCACCAACATGATACCCCGCTGAAGAGTGCGCCCGCGCTCCGCGGCCTATGGGACTTGCTGAGCCAAAGGAGACCTTTTGTGATCTTGGCTCGCCGCTGGTGGCTAAAGCTTTATCTGAACCTGACGCGTGCAGTGGGGCCACAGATGGGGGCGAGGGAGAGATGGCAGCTGTGAGCTTGGGCTTGTCATTTCTAGCAACCCGGGGGCTCTCCATGACTCTCATGCCTGGAATAGCAAGACCAGTAGGCGAATTCTGATCCTCATAGCTTGTCCCCAGAGTGGCCTTGGCGAAAGGCAGATCGCTGAATGATGCCCTATCTTTGGGAGTCAAAGTGCCTCGTAACGATATACCAGATGGGTTCAATATCTGTGACCAGCCCGAAGTGCGGAACGAAGACGAATTGGATGGGCTGAGGGGGACGATGGAGCTGGAAGCTCTTTGGATAGCAGGCGTCGCAGCAACAGGACTGGAGTGCGAAGGAAATCGTAGTGTAAAGTAGTCTAGCACTGGAGAGTGGCTGACATATGCTTCGACTGGCGGCGGGATGTACATGGTCTTGCTGTACTCGTGGATGATACAAGACACGAGAGCGAGAAGTTGGATATCTCGGCGCTGAATGAGAATACTCAACCTGGAAACAAGTCAGTGGAGATGATCGCGCCAGCCATTCAACTTACAGTGTATCTAGAACCTTCCTTTTGCGTTCCATGCCCTGCTCCCAATTCATCCGCTCCCTCCTCGGATCATCCTTCTTCCCTACCACTTGTGGTAGGATTGTATACGCGGGAGGTGGATCTGCCAAGATACCCCGTATGGTTGCCCATATTTCCGCATGATCCAGCCTCTTTGCGTCCAAGGCGTACCCCATGTTTGCATCCACTGACATTCCATACACTGTCGCTAGCTTTGCACTCGGATGACCGAGGTGGCCGACATCATAGATGGTCATTGTCGACCCTGAAGGTGGCGGCATGGACTCGACGACTTCGAGCCGGCGATGGCGAGGCTTGTATCGGACCAGCGCTCGGTGATGAGGATTCTGCAGTCGCGACAGCGCCGACATGGCTCTCAGCATCGGCGGTGGGTTGTCACGCGTAATCGACGGTGACCTCGAGAAATTGCGAGTGCGAGGCAACATGACCTGCTTCGGAAAGAAACACACCAGCTGGCCATTTGGCCCAAATGTAGCACCACAGGTCTTCCGGAGCATCATCTCTGGTACAACATCGTCACTCTGCTTGGTCGGCTCTCCTCGCTCGCTCTCAGAGTCACTCTCGTCTATACCGCGCCGTCTGCCTTGGCGTTCGTGGAGACCCAAGAGATAACCGGTCGTTTCGATGAGGCACTGCTTGTTGTGAGCACGCATTTCTTTGATCGTCATCACCAGGGTTTGGCGGGTCAATGGTGACATTGTGGGATTTCGCTCAAGTTCGAATGTCGGGATTTCAGGGCCATATGGATAGTTCTCAGGGAACGACCAGTGTATACGGATGAATGCTTGACGATCGCCATTCGCCCATGGTCCCTGAAGTGATATCGTCAACTTGAGATGGGCCAGGTCGATCTGTGAAACGTTAGTAGGCTCCCAGCATGACATGGAGACTTGCCTTTTCGAAATTAATCTTGGGCCTTGGGTACACCTTGCTGACTGATACTAGCTCGTCCTTCAAGCTCTTCCACTCTTTCCTACCACCCACGCTCGCCGACCGGCTTCTCACCCGACTTCCTGGGCGGCTCCCCGGCGGCGGTCTTGACCTACTCGGCATCCTACTCGACACAAGACTCTGCTCGGGACTGGGAGCGTTCTTGACAACTTTGGTCAGCCACTCCAGCTGGTCCATTCCGCGGACCTTGTTGCCACCCCTGGTCATACCAGGCTGTATTTCGGGCTTCGCGAGTTTCTGACGTGTGAGATTCGAGGGCTGATTCTGCGTGGGGTGAGGGTTGACGATAGGAGGCGGGAGCTTGGGTGCGTCTGTATCACTGTTGGAAGGCTCTTTGGTGTAGGTGACGTCGGGAGCGCCTCGTCTTGACACGAGTACTGTGATGGGTGCTCCATGCTGCCATCCAACCCGCTCTTCCAGCTCTTGCGTGATGGGCCATATTCTAAGTGTTCGATCTTTCGACCAAGTGACGAGCTGGAATTCTCGGTCATCAAATCCCTCACTGTCTCCACCGCGGACACGCCAGACGAAATCTTTGACGACATTCTCGTGCCCGGCGAAACGTTCGACAGGGGCGTCATCACCAACACCAAACATTTCAAGAGCCTTTTCACCCCGTTGGGGGAGGGAGAGAACACCACGCCCGAACGGCAAGTGTCGGGCTCGCCAGACGGGGTAATGCGTTTGAATGGTGTGCGATGGTTCGCTGGGTGCCGGGAGCGTTGAGTGGTAATCCAAATCTGGGTCTGAAGAGCCGCCCAACTCGGGTACCGTCCAGAATTTGACCGTTTTGTCTATCAGGATATTAGGTTGGGAGAAATCAGATGTCGAAAGAGAGACTTGCCTAAAGAGCAAGTGACCAGCTTGTGTCGATTCTCGCGGTCCCAATCAATGCCATAGATCTTGGCGTCGTGCGCCTGTATGGTAGTGACTGGTACCGACCCTTTCTGCCGGCTCGTCAGGATAGCTCCCAGATACGCCAGATACAACATACCCTGTCATCCCAGATGTGCACAATCTTGCCGTGCGCCGTAGCCACCAAATGATCATGCCGTCTGTTCCATTTGACTTGCGTTCCGGCCGCTCCCCAATCGCACAGCCGCATCACCGGTTTGTCGAAACACCTCAAGTCCCACCCTCGGATACCGGCATCCATAGATACTGTAGCCATTCGATTGGGGTTGAGGGCGTGCCAGTTGATATCTGTGATGGCTCTCTCATGAGCGTCCAATGACTTGAGCAGCGGGCGGGCCGCGGCTAGATCCCAGACGAGGAGTTTCTGAGAGGACGTGGAGAGGATAAGGTGTGCAGTGGCTGGATGGGGTGACCATTGTACGCTGCATGCACTCAGTGGGTGGGCTTTCGCAGGCCGATGGACTCACTCTGCTATCTGCCATGTCCCGCCCTGGGGCACGAACCGTGGAGCATTGTGGAGATTTGCCAAGTCGAGGATATACAGGCCCTTTCTCGACGCCAGACAGACATCCCTGCTGCTGGGGCTGATGGAGATTGACCCGACAGGCTGGTTGACGCTGATCCTTGCGCCCTCCTTGAACGAGTCGTCTTCTTCGGGCTTGATGGTGGCGGGGGTAGTGAATCTGTCGAGCCGTGGACGGTACGGGGTGTGGGGCGAGGCAAGGGGCGAGGAGGTGTAGGGGGCGGAGGAGGTGGACGAACGGCGGGAGGCAGCTGGGGAGCCTGGGAGGGGGACATGGGCGGGGGAGAGCATGGCCCATGGATGCAAGAGGAGAGTGAAGCAACAACAACAACAAGTTCCGCGGCGTCGCTCTTCCATCTCATCACCATGCTGCCCACCCACAACCCCACCCGCAAACCCCGCCCCTACTTCGCCGCCCCCCCCAGCACCCTCCTCAGCCTCCTCCGCCAGCGCACACGCCTCACCAACCTCGCAGCCGCCCTCCTCCTGGCAGCCCTCTCCTGCTCCCTCCTGCTCAACCTCAACTACATTCTCTTTCCTTCCACATCTTCCTCCCCCAGGTCATTCTCATACAAGGAGAGCTCGGGGTGGGATGATTCCGCCACACCAGATCAGCTCGAATCACCCCTGCCGCTCAGCCTCGAAACAACCATCGAACGGGACCCTCGCTATGCCGAGATAGACCGCCTCATCATGGTCCCCGGCCATGCTATCTGGCTCGGAGAAGATGCGAGTACATCAGGGGAGGACAATGACTGGATACTGGAGCCCATGCAGAAGGGCGGGAGTGTCAAGACGTACATCAAGCATATCGAAAAGGGTGTAGAGGAGCTGGAGAACGACCCCAATTCATTGCTCGTCTTCTCTGGGTACGTTTCTCGAGTCTCGTACCTTCAGGTATCTGATATGATGGACTACAAAGCGGTGCTACTCGCCACCCTCCTTCACCCCCGACCCCAGAAGCCCTTTCTTACCACCGTCTCGCATCCGCGCTGTCACTCCTTCCCTCCACACCCATCGCCGACGCCCACCGCTCCTCTCCCCTTCCAACCAACCTTCGCACAGCTACTGAAGAGTATGCCTTGGACAGCTACCAGAACCTTTTGTTCTCAATTGCAAGATTCCGAGAGGTGACGGGAAATTGGCCAAAGAAAATCACTGTCGTCGGGTACGTGATATTCCTAGATTTGAGATAGGAGTCGAGTCTGTGTCCATGTACTGATACTTTACAAACCAAAGATACGGCATGAAGCGTAGACGGTGAGTGCTCCCTTGTGACTGTTGCACTATGCTGATTTATGCCGGGGGCAGCTTCCAAAACCTGCATCGAGCAGCCATTCAATTTCCTGCCTCCGCCTTTGAATACATTGGCATTGATGACACTGGTGACACCTCACCTCATTACGCTGGCGAGCTCAAATTCGGATACCTTCCCTTCCTCTCCTCGCCTTCCGGCTGTCACCCGCCTCTATCAATCAAGAGACTGGTGCGCAACCCATTTTTCAGGTGGCACCCTTATTTCACGAGCTGTCCAGAGCTTTCTGGCCTACTAGAGTGGTGCCCGCCAGTGCAGGAAGTGCATGGTACAGAAACTTGGGAGGGGAGAGAGAATGAGGTTGGGGTGGGATACCCGGGAGCAGTGCCGTGGAAGAACGAGACTGCTAGCGGGGTCACATGGGGTAGAGAGAAAGATTAGATAGATCAAGGACATTACATACTCGCCAGCCTGTATGTTGATATAATGTGCCGGCCACCCTACAGTCTCCATTCATGGCCTGCTCACGTCAGGCCGTCCAGTCTCGTACTCTCGTTCAACATCAAGCCCGTTAAAGGGGGTAAGCGAATAAAGTCGCGTCGCGCGTTGATCAACGAAGCTGTTGTTCTTGCGTCTTTCGGTGCATTCACTGCTCCACCGCCGCAACCCTCGAAGCTGCTCTCTGTGCAGCCCAGGTCTCTCTGTCGGAAAGGCCATGGCCACCCCACAGCACCTTCCATTCAGCAGCAGCACCATGCCTTCTCCCATCACAGTTGAGGATGACGAAGACGAGTTTGCCGGTATCGAGAGCATGACTGCAAGCCAGTGGGTGCGCGATCCCCTCATCCGGCGCAGAGTCGCTTCTAGGAGCCAGAGTTTGTCAAGAGAAAGGAGCAGTACGTACTGTACGGAATGGTAACGAAATCATCTGACACCATGTTAGTGTCTCTCGAGTCCCCAAAGCACCGCGACTGTACTCTAGCCGACCTTTTTCCATCCTCTCCCGTTTCCATCGTGCCATCTACCATACCCATGGGCTGGACGTCTTCACCCGTGGTCCCCAGTAAGCGTGGGCACGCCACCGATATCCTAGACCCTGGATATGACTATTTCAAGGCCGCCCCCAAAGCGAGCAAGTCGAAGCAAGGGAAGTGCACAGCAGTCGGACGTACGAGCTCTATGGGTAAGACATTGTCCAGTCGAGCGAGCACAGGCAAGGAGAAGGTTGAAGGCGAGGCGCATATGGAGGTTGAACCCAACGCAGACGAGGATTGGTGTGGTGCTCTAGAAGGTGACGATATCGAGCCTCTCGACCACCCTCCAGCTCGGCCGCCCCTCCGTGTGCCACCGGTCCTTCGCGCGATAGAGGGTCACATCCCCCCGTCCAAACCTCCTCCAACAGCCTCGAAGCTGGATCACCCCATAGCTCTCATCTCAGACTTGGACGCCAAGGCACAAGATTTCTACCGGCACCATTACAGACGGGGCGCCGACAGGGCTAAGGATACAGACAACGGTGAAGGGGCGGGGAGAGTACCGGTAAAGACAAAATCGGCACCCAAGAGATTCAAAAAGGGTAGCAGGAAAACGTTCAGAACAGGTTATACTGGAGGGAGATATAAGAGAAAGTAGATGTAATCCCTGTTGTATGTATGTCACGTTATGCGGTCCAGACACGTATGGTAATTGGTGCCGTATTCTAGTCTATCATAGCATGACGTTATGTACAAGTCTATACTGATGCAAAAGGACTAGGAATGTCTACCACTGCGTATTGTACATCATTTGGGGCAGATCGTAAGGCAGTTGATATATGACAGCGAACTACTTCTTCCCCTTCTTGGACTTTCCATCCGTCTTCTTGTCTTCCAAGAAGCCTCCGATCTCCAAGGCATCACGGGCAACCCGATTTATGTGCTTGAATCTGTCAGCTCCCAGCCTGTGGCCTCCCCACCACCTTGTGACTATGACCAATACGTTTTCAAGCTCCAAAATCTCCAAAAGATGCTGCAGCCTTCCTCCAGCTTGGGACTCTCCATCGTCATCATAATCTGGCCCCACAAGTCAGCGGCCTTGAACAGTTCACAGCCAAAGAGGAACGAACCCGACATGTAGACCTTTTGCGCGGTCCCTCCTACATCTTTGACGACGCGATAGGCGTAGATAGCAGGGTGCGCCGCCCTCGCAGCCCTTTTATCTTCCAAAACTCCGTGCACAATCAATGGCACTTCTCGCTCGTCCGTCACTTTGATAGCACGACCAACAAACACCGATTTTCGGTCAACCACTTCATCGGAAACCCAGACTTTCAGTCCGTGATCTTTTCCAGCTTCTACTCTCAACATCGTCTGGGTTGGAGCAGCTTCATCGGGACCGCGAGTGTACGAAAATGTCGGCCGAGGGGAAGGGCGGGGTAGATAGGCGACGTCTTCGTCTTCGGACTCTTCAGGGGAATGTGTTTGAGAGATTGTGAGGTGAAAATTCCTTTCGGCCTCACGGGCGGCACCTGAAGACAGATGAATAGCATACCAGTCTCGTGCCAAGGACTGAACGTGGGTGAGGCCTTCGAAAACGCATACATCTCCGGGGTTAAACCCAGCGCCACCTGCTGACAGGTAGGTACGCGTGATATCCCCGACTACAGAGGGTTAGCCAAGCCTAGAAAAACCCGTCATGACTCACAGAGACCTGCATCGATGGCAAAGCTGCCCAAGTACTTGCCCAGGAGCTGAAGCTGGGGGGCGCTCGAGTTGGGGTACGTGGGCGCTAGACTGACCAACACCCGCATTGTCGGTGAGATCTCGGGAGTGGCGCTTGGATCTAGCCCTTCCAAAGTCTCTCCTTCTTCCCATAAAGACAGACTGATCTCATATCGTATCCTCTCCCCGGGCGCAAAGCCTATTTCCGCGTCCCACACGGCATCAGACCACTGCTGACTGCCGCTTTTTTTTATTGCCTGAGATGAAACCTCTGTCGCCACTGCAGTGCTGGGCGGAGTAAGGGCGAGTTTGATCGAATGATCGCCGTAGATAGACAAGAGGGCTTCTAGCTCGTATCCTATCGCGGTCAAGTTGGAATCGGCGTCAAAGTGTTCTTCGGACAGCAAGTGCTCGATGAACTGCTTGGGCGGGCGCCCTATTTACTTAGCTGGTTCTTCCGGTGACTGTAAAAAGTCTCTAACCTTGAGTAGAGTGCCATGGGGATCGGGGTTTGTGATAGGCGGAGTGCGGACGTCTGGCTCGGTACGAGCGTCTGCGTCGATACTGAGCTGGGCGAGAGCTGAGGAAAGCGGGCGTGCGGAGGTGCTGGAGACGGCTGACATGACTGGGCGGGGTGGTGGGGGGGCGAGACGAGAGGTGGACACGAGAAATGCTGTTGCTCTTCTGAGCATTCCTGTGCGCAAAAGACCAATCTGCTCACGATTCTTCCTCTCGAGATCGGCAGCCCGTGGCCTGTTAATAACACATAGTTACTCGGGGTAATCACCTCCTGGCTCTTCCACTCCTTGTCCACTCCTGTACTCATGAGTCCCGGCTGGTCTTGTTGCTTTCTGCTGCTTTCCGACTTGTGCAATCTGTAACTACCATCACGCACTCCCCGCTCGCCCCCTTCGCCATGTCGAAGGATCCTTACGTAGACGTCAAACGGTCAGACTTCCCAAGCGGCATCATTGTCCACCCGCTGACACCGCGCTCCAGAGAAGTAGAGATCTCACTCGGAAGCATCCAGTCTCTCGCGAGAGATCACCGTGATCTGTATAACCCTTCAACATTATCTTCTGCTGTACTGGAAGCTCAAGAAGAACTTCGGAATACACTCAGCATACTGGAATCAGATGCGGAAGATCTGGAAGAGAGCGTCCGGGTGGTAGAGGACATGGGGGAACGATGGGGGCTCAACGCTGACGAGGTTTCCCGCCGACGGCAATTCGTACAGAAAGTCAAGCTTGAAGTTGATGTATGTTTGGATCATCATGGGTCTCTACAGCTTCTAACAATTGCCATAGGATATCCGCAACAGAGTTCACCGCCTAGCAGCTCAGAGCAAGGGCAAGGGCAAGCAATTACACGTCCCCTATAGAGATTCATCTGCAGATTTAGAGAGAGGCTACGACGAGGACAATGATGAGATGAGAAGATGGGAGGCCCAAGAACAAGAGGTCAGTCATGGTAGGCCCTCACGTCTATATTCACCTCGTACTGATCGCCACGTTGGTCAGATGCTGGTCAAGAAGCAAGACGATACCTTGGGCCTGATACAGGGTACCCTTCATACCCTTGCAAGTCAAGCTGGCTTGATGGGAAGCGAGGTAGAAGAGCAGATGGGGTGGGTGCTCGTTTTGTCGATCGCCCCAAGACTACCAGCTGACTGTCTGACGAAGAATGATAGATGGACTGAACGATCATGTGGAGCAGACAGACTCCAGGTTACAAAAAGTGAGACGGACAATGGAAGACTTTATTAGGCGAAACGAAGGTGCGCATATTGTATTTCATGACCATACTCTGCCATGACTGACGAGCACTCGCTAGAGACGAAGAGCGGCTGGTGTATTGTCATACTGATCATCATCCTCGGGATACTGCTCATACTCGTCATATTGACATGATCATGACATGACGTTGTGACAATTGGGGTTAATCTGGGCAACAACGGTAGCTGCATGTATGTACAAATACGAGGTTCGTCTTCCTTCCAAGAACCCATAAGCTTGACGCGGTCACCTTTCCCTCTGCACTGCCGATTCTCTCCTCAAAAGTTCTACCAATCACCCGCCAGTCAGTGGTGTTCCTGTGTCTCGAGCGGACCGAACTCACCTCTTTACCAAAGAAGAATCTACACCCCATTGGCGAAGTATACTTATTACTCATCTGATGCAGCGCTCTGGAGAGCACTGAAGGACCGCAGAAAAAGACACCACAATCGGTATCAGGGTGCTTGTTGGCAATGGATTCAAAGACTCGGTCCCACTGGCTGGAGTCAGCTGGTTGATGATGGATGGAGGTGGGTCATTGAAAGATGAACGTACGTTAGGTCGACCAAAATGAGTCGGAGCTCGCAGGTTGGTGATGGTATCTTCCTCGGCGCCGACATCCTGGATGATCAAGTTGTTCATCTTGTCCTCGCTACCAACAGCGTCAGCTGCGATACTGTATCGAGAAATGCGACTCGCTCAATCTTGGCCGTCAAGTAAATGTGGATCTCGATGCGTCCCTCGACATCCTCAGCTTCGACGGCCTGAAGCAGAGAGTGAAACCCTGTCAAAATATTCAGTAATATTATTACTCTGTATGTCTGAAGTGAACTTTACGAACATTCGGCAGATTCAAAGTCCCTAATGACCCAAACAAAGTACACCTTTGACAATCGTGTCTTGCCTTCTTTGCCAAAGTTGTTCATTCTGTACCTGATGACATGTAAGAGACATTACTCTTGACTGAAAAAAGAACGCCAGCTCACCAGATGGATTTCAGAATGGAAGCGAAAGGTGTAACACCAATACCGGCTGAGACAATTGGGTCAGCCTTCTATACAATGAGCTCAGCATACAGATACTCGCCGCCAACAAGAAGAACTGTCTCGAACTTTGTGAAGTCTTCACTGGCGGAACCGAAAGGTCTACGAGATACACATCAGCGCGGACCATCACAGCTGGCGCCTTGAAAGCAATCATGCGTACCCATCGACCATGACACGGGGAAGTACCTTGTTGATGGGCCGGCTGACGACCTTGCCACTTGCCTCATCACTTTTACTCGGCTTGGCGTCAAAGTTGGCACCGAGGGATTTGGCGAAAGCCGTAGTCCAGTCACCAACACATCGGATGTGCACGGAGATATAGTCCTCCTCGGGGGCCGAGGTGAGGGTGAAGGGATGGTATTGCCAATAAGAGACTTCGGGGCAGTTGAGCTACAGTTGGGGATCAGCCATGATCGGAGAGTCTGACAGCGGGATAGCGACAGGGGACTAACAAATATGTATTGACCAGCCCGTCGGGTGGTGTGTTCCTTTTTTATTTGGACCTCGAGGACTTTGGAGGGATGCTGTATGACTTTCGAAATGTACGTGACGTGTCGGGCTCAGAGTTTATCAGCGTGAAAAGACAAGATAGTGCGAACACTGATCCAGACTCACCTCGAACTTCCCGTAGGATACGTTCCGAGATCCACACCAAACCACCTGGAAGCCAGTATTTCTGGACAAAAACGTCAGCACTGTTTCCTCTTCAATGATTGGTGAAGACCTACCCAGAAGACACCGATCTGACCAGCAGAACAGAATGGAGGTCGGTCAGGTTGAATCAGGCCTGTACATATTTGTCAGTACCTCGGCATTGATCCGAAATCGAAGAAGGTGAAGAAGATTTACAGAACATCCCGTGCAGCTGCCAGCCCAAGAAGAAGAAGATGAAAAGCTGTCCAGCCCCTGTTAGCCGTCTCCATGGTGCTCATCTTCAGAGAAATGCTTACATGATGTGAGTACCAGAACCTCTCAAAGTGTGCTCTCCTCCTCTTCTCCATAGCGAACCAGACCATGACGATTAAGGCGATGGTCATAACCCATCCTGTAAGACCGGGACCAGTAACGAAGTTGAACTCAAGGAAGCCGACGATACCGCTATTGACAGGTCAGAGGAGCAGTATGGGTACAAGAAAGGGGCGCGTACACGTTGGTGTTTATGGTGAGAACAATCTTGATGACACGACCTTCCGCGTCAGCGATAAACTTTGCGCCTCGTCGTCAAAATCCTTACAAAATTTCTGATGTGGGCGGCCACATGAATGAAGGTGAACAGAACAATCATCCATGCCACCTGTTCTGAGAAGGCAGGATCAGACACTGACGACGGAGAAAGCTCCAATTTACTGTGGAAAGTTAAATTCTTGTCGAAAGGTATAATGTCGTTGAGAGGGGTTCTTCGAAGCATAGATATGAAGTTTCTGCATACGGGGAAGAGTATGAAAATAATGTCGACTGTACAGAAATCTAGTCAGCCGCCGTCGCATCTTGCCTCCGACTCACTATGAAGGACTTGAGCAGCACCACGAGCGGCAGCTGAAAGACCTGTCAGCTCGATATCACTCTGTGAAGATGGTCGAATATTACGGTATGTCCACTGGAAGGTTACACGGGCCCCGGAGAAGCTGTCTTTGAGAGAGTAGTTGACGACGGCAAAGGCAAATGCGAGAGCGTGAACAAACAACCAGATGAAGAAGAAAATCCTTCTTCCGCCTGCCTGATATCAGCTGGCGCTATGATTACAGTCTTCACACTTACCTTCATTGACCATCCAAATTTTCAACCTTTCTCCCATGCCTACCGCCCTGGCAATCTTACCCTCCGGATTTGGCTCCAGATGATTCATGGTGGATACCAGTCCTTGTAGCCGCGTACGCTCGGTCTTATTGCGCTGGAGGAACGTCGGGCCATCGGCGACGGGGACATCAGGGTTATACTGAGGGGGCGGACCAGAGTCAAATGAGAGGTTGGAAGCGCGAGCCATGCGTACTTTGGGCGGCATTGTTGTTGAAGACTGGAAGAGTGATGATTGCGAGGGGTGAAGAGACCAGAGAAGAAGAAGGTAGATAAGGTACGAGACACCGACCGGCGGTTGTCAATAGAAGCTCTAGCAAAGTCTGAAGTGGTGAGATCGTAAAATGGGAAGGGACAAAGCAGAAGGGTGGTACTTATCAAGGTCTCAAGTTCTCCCGCCGAGATGCCTTGAGAGCTCGTGCTGCTTGTCATATCGTGTTTCCAACGACGGTCGTGAAAGTGTTGTGGTGCCCAGAGCGTCCAGGACGCGTCACCAGGACATGAGGTCTCGGTAGTCGTTGGTGGTCGTCAAGGGGTGCCGTCTGCTGTTACAAGTGAGGAAACGCGCAGCGGACCTTGGCCTATGTAGAAGGAGACGGGCCCTTGGCAGTTGTTGACGGGCGGAAACATGCACTTAGCAGTGCAGATTGGGACGCAAAGAGTCGAACAAGGACGATGACCATCTCTGACCATGACAACAGTTTATACGTAAGAACCCGTGCTTGCGTGCCGTTCGCCGATGTCAGCAGTTGTCAGCTCTGGGTGCCTGCTGGCCATTTGAGCATACACCATTTGAGCATACATACTGTACTCGAGTACATTATGCATATTGCCCTTCATAGTACTTCTAACGAGCTTCATCCTATGGATGTCAGCTGCGGCATTAATGCACAGCCAATGTGCTTTCATCATGCTACAATATTTCTGCTCATCACCGTCACTTGGGCAAGTTGTGAAGAGAAGTGCCAACAGCCACAAGCTTAGTGATGGTGTACTCGTCGGTACCCTGTCTGCCTCCTTCCTTACCGTAACCAGACTCTTTGATGCCACCGAAAGGCCTAGACGCTCATCAGTGATAAGACTCAGGCATCAGAAGTGCTTGAACTTACACGACAGCCTGAGAGATCATGCCAGTGTTGGCACCCACCATACCAGTCTCGAGTGCCTCAGCCACCCTCCAGATCCGGTCAGAGTCTCGAGAAAAGAAGTAGCCAGCGAGGCCGACTTCGGAGGCGTTGGCGCGAGCGATGACTTCGTCCTCAGAGGAGAATTTGAAGAGGGCGGCGACGGGACCGAACGTCTCCTCAGTGGCGATGAGCTACATCGAAAGTCAGCTCGGTGTATCAGCAGAGCGACATGGGGCGTACGCATTCGTCGGTCAAACCGGTGAGGACGGTGGGGATGTACTCGGTACGATTACCTCGCTTCCCACCAACGAGAATCTTGGCACCCTTTGAAACAGCATCTTGCACGTGCTACAACAGCATCAGCTGTATTGAGAGTATCTACATCAAAAAACATACCTCATCAACCTTGTCAGCCTGTCTAGAGTGGATCAGAGGGCCGTGCGTGACACCCTCATCAAACCCAGGGCCAACCTTGAATTCGCCCACCTTCTCAGCCAACTTGGCTGCAAAGTCATCGTAGATATCCTCGTGCACGTAGATTCTGTTCGCACAGACACAGGTCTGGCCTGAGCCTCGGAACTTGGAGGCAATAGTACCGGCGACAGCAGTGGGGATATCAGCATCCTCAAAGACAATGAGGGGGGCGTTACCCCCGAGCTCCAAAGACATTTTCTTAAGAGTGGAAGAGCATTGGGAGGCGATAAGCTTGCCGATTCGGGTAGAGCCAGTGAAAGAGACCTTATGGACGATGGGGTTGGTACAAAGCTCTTTGCCAACGTCCTGGAGGTTGGCTTCGGTGGTGATGACGTTGATGACACCGTTGGGAATACCAGCTCGCTTGGCAAGCTACATGGCTACCATCAGCATTGTCCCAGGGCGATGAGGGTGTATAATCTCACCTCAACAATGGCAAGAGTGGTGAAAGGGGTCTCGGAAGGAGTCTTGACGACCGAGGTACACCCGACAGCCAAAGCAGGACCCAACTTTCTGGCGATCATGGCCGCAGGGAAATTCCAAGGACAAAGCAGGGCCACGACACCGATAGGCTGCTTTATGGCAAAGTTCCGAGTGCCAGGGACCGAGCAGGGAATAGTTTCACCTGTAGTTCTGAGCGCCTCACCGGCGTACCAAGATATGTAAGTCCCAGCATAGGTGGCCTCGGCCACGGCGTCAGTCCAGGACTTGCCGTTCTCCCAAACGATGAGGCGGGCAATGTCCTTGAGAGCAGCTTGGTAGAGCTTGGAAAACTCGGAGAGCCAAGCCGATCGCTGGGCGGGGGAGGTGGTACGGAAGGTCTTGAAGGCCTCCTCGGCGGTCTCGATGGCACGGCGAGTGTCTTGGACGTTCATCTCGGGACAGGTGCCGATGACCTTGCCAGTAGCGGGGTCTGTTTTCCTGTTGTCAGCTCTTGACAGGAATCGCTTACACACAACTCACTGAATACCTCAAACGTCTTCCCGGAGGAGGTCTCGGCAAATTGACCTCCAATGATTCCCTTCTGGATGAAGAGAGAGGCGTCGTCGAGACCAAGCTGGACGGCAGCGTCAGTACAAACGAGCTGCGAGGACCAAGAAGGGTGCTGACAGGGTTCTCAGCGGTGACTTTGGGCCAGTTGGACATGTTGCGATATGTGTTGGTTGTAATTTGCGGGCGGATTGTGCGAGTGGAGGTGGGCAAGTGGGGCCTCAGGGCGGGTGCTTGGATCCGGATCGAAGTAGTGGCGGAGAGGGAGCGGGCGGCTGCGGGTTTTGTGGACGACTTGCGGGAGATGGAGAGGAGGAAGGAGGATCTGGTGGGCATTGCTTCTGCCTCTGGAGGAATATTCCCCAGGGCTCTTATAGCGTTTGAAATTGAAATTGACCGAGAGATCAGCCACAGCCGTCGCTTGCTGGTAAGCGAGGACCGGCGATCTCCGTCACCGGCCGGTACGTAATAGTTGCATCTTGCATGCACTCCCTCCTCCTCCTCCAGCCCGCCATGCCCCCCACAGAGTCCAGCCCCCTCCTCTCCCCCTCTACCCTCGAAGCAGGCGTGCCCCACACCACTCCCTCATGGCATTTCTGGAACCGCCCTCCCTTCAGACAGGTCCGCTTCGTGTCTCCGTCGGCGGCAATGCATGGTGCAGATGATGAGCTGGACCAACCAGATAGACCCAAGCAGCCGTTCTATCGCTCAGAAGAAGCCATGGGTCGGTGGCTGATATATTGCCTATTGGTTCTCGTCGGTATGATCCTCGGTGCCTCGTTTTCAAAGCATTGGACGCGGGGTGAAGGAAAACTAGGAAACGGGCCCATGGTTCCTCCTGTCTGGACACTTCCTCCGGTGAGCACAATCTCATGGCTCAGCATCAGTCACCCTGCTCGACGCCCATCGGCCGTCTGTGCTCGTTGTCACCCACGGCTATCTCGTGCTTCTACTCAGCCTGCGTGACTCGGTGCTGATTGTCTCCGCGAATTAGCCTACCGGTCTGCCCAGGAATGACCCCTACCTGATCAACGCCACCTCTGCGGCTGTCGCATCCGAAGACGTCACCTGTTCGAACCTCGGTCTCGATATCTTGCGCAACAAGAACGGGTCTGCCGTCGATAGCGCCATCAGCACCACTCTTTGCATAGGCCTCTTGAATGCTTTCAGCTCAGGGATTGGAGGAGGAGGGTTCATGGTGGTTCGTGTGCCGGAAGAGCATTACGTGCCGCACGAGCTGCTGAAGGAGATTGGGTACGAGGGACAACTCCAGGAGGGTCGGGTAGTGGCATTCGATTTTAGAGAGACCAGTCCGGAGAAGAGCGAGGTGGACATGTATGGGACATCTAGAGCTGGGAGGGCGGCTGCCCAGGTTGGAGGTCTGGCTGTCGCTGTCCCGGGGGAGCTTAGAGGTCTGGAAGCAGGTCAGTGATCTTCCGGAATCTCAGCGCTAGTAAGCTGACGCGCAGAATACAGCCCATAAGCTGTATGGCACCCTGCCCTGGGAAGACGTGGTCATGCCTGTGGCAGATTTGGCGAAAGGATGGAAGGTCTCGCGTGAGCTCGCTAAGCGTCTACGGGTGTGTTCATCCTGCAATCGCTGTAAAGTCTCTGACATGAACTCCTATAGTTTTTTGGTCAGTTTATGTTGTCATCTCCGGCTTGGAAAGCTATCTATGCTCCTCGGGGTGAACTTCTTGTTGAAGGCGAATTCATTCAAAGAACCAACTACGGCAAGACACTCGAGAAGATTGCCCGAGAGGGTGCCGAGGCATTCTATCACGGTGAGATCGCTGAGAGCACTGTGGAAACCATCAAAAATGCAGGGGGTATCATGACCCTCAATGATGCAAGTTATAAACTCAGCAAAGCTGTCACCCATCGCTGATGAACATGCCCAGCTTAAACACTACAAAGCACTTGCTTACCCAGCTATCCACGGCACCTTCATGTCCAAAGAGGTCTACACCACCTCCGCCCCTTCCTCCGGCGGTGTTCTCTTAGGCTTGCTCAGCGTCCTCGAGCCATTGAATATCACCAGCACAGGCGGTTTGAGGGATGTCCTGAATGCTCACAGGTTTATTGAGGCCCTCAAGTTCGCCTTTGGTGCGAGATCAGCTATCACCGACCCTGCGTTCGCCGCCAACAGGAGCGCGCTAGAGGATGTACACTCGAAGCAGTGGGCTGATGATGTACGGGCTAAAATCACTGATGTGAGATCCGGCACTATATGCCTGCAGATGGTACTTGGCTGATCGGCGATAGGACGCAACACATTCCGCAGACTATTATGGCCTGCAATATGACACACCTATAGATCACGGAACAACCCACATCAGTGTGGCTGATCAGTGGGGAGGTGCTGCTAGTGTCACGTCGACCGTACGTCTTACAATATCTGTCTCCACACCGTCACTCAGTTACTACAGATCAACCTCATTTGGGGCAGCCATGTGATGGATTCCAAGACCGGCATCATCTTCAACGACGAGCAAGACGATTTTGCCATTCCAGGCGCTGCTGATGCGTTCGGACTTTGGCCTAGTCCATGGAATTATCCCATGCCGGGAAAAAAGTCAGACCATATTCCTGTCTCCATCGAGGTCGCGCTGAAACGCTAGTTAGGCCCCTCTCTTCGACAGCAGCCTCCATTATCCTCAACCCCCCAACCAGATCGCACCCATCAACCCTTTACGCCGTCCTAGGCGGTTCCGGGGGCTCCCGGATCTTCCCCTCCATCGCACAAGTCGTACTCAACCTCTTTTCGGGCAAAGACATCTCGCAGTCAATCGAGGATTACCGGCTACACAATCAGATTGTCCCGGATCTGACTACGATGGAAGTTGGCCCGGAGGGAGAGAACCGAGAGCTGGTGGAGGGACTGAAAGCCAAGGGGCACAGGATTGGAGAATTCGACGTCAATATTGGAATATCGGAAGGTAAGTTTGTGGAAGGACATCAGCGATGCTGCAGCTGAACTTAGATAGTGCAAGCAATTGTCCTTCAAGATGGTTGTTTGTACGCCTCAAGCGACTCTAGAAAAAATGGTATCGCAGCGGGTCATTAAGTGCCAGATTGGGAGGGCGTTCGAGGTGAGAGGAGGCCAGGCGCGCGGGCAGCAGAAGTTTGGAGTTATCGCGTGTGGACTCTGGCATGTATCGAAAACAGAAGGCGCGCGGTATCATACAGGATCAAAAGCGGTGCCCGTGACATTGGATAGCACAAGCTCTATGAGATGAAGCGACCGTCGTACACTTCTTCCTGTCTAATAGGCTTGATTGCTCTGGAATCATTATGTGCATTGTGAGACTGTACGGCTGCATCGAGTGCTGCTACAAGGATTCTTCGTCATAAATGTACTAGTAAATCTTCAATTGGCGGAAACAACAAAAGGAAAAGCTGAGCTCCAGAGTGCGCACGAGGCATATACCAAACTGCCGCAAAGCTTTGGCAAAAACTTCAGTCAAGCTGTCTACATGAAACTGTTACAGCAATCAAGCGGCACTTCGGATTCTGTGGGCCAAAATCAGAGCAGCCAAGAAGCCCGCGCCAAGGGCTCGGCCCTGGAGGTTACCAGACATCTCCAAAGCATCGACCAAAGCGGTAGGGGCAGCGTTCGTGAGGGGGAGGAGAAGGATGGCGAGTCGGGACAGAACAAAGACCAAATAGTCGGGGGTCGCTCTGGGCTGGTGGGCGTCTGCTGGGATGTCAGCTCAATCGTTGCATCTTTAGGTAAACTAACCAGAGTAACGAGTGTGTGGGCTCCCGTGGCGGTGAATGCCTTTCTGAGGGACAAATGACACCACAGTGGACAAAATGAAGGACGGCAAAATGGTCGAACACGCCCACCAAGCCACAGCTCCCCAGACATAGCTGCTGAGAAGGCCACCCCCCTCCGGCAGCCTGAGAGTCCAGGTGACAGAAGGGGACCAGAAGAACAGCGCCTGAAGAAGGCTCGATATGGCCCCCTTTTCACCAGATGGAGGAGGAAAGATGTAAGTGTAGTCATAGAACTGAAGCACGTGTGTGATGAGGAACAGAAACTCGATCCCAACACCTGCACCGGCGAGAACCTCGGGCACGGACAGGAGCTGCATAATATCAGACAAAAGCTTATGCCACATCGCAAGTGACTCACTTCCTGGGCGTGTCGGACGGCAACGTTGACCTCGTTCTTGCCCTTGGTACCTAGTTGTGCGACGTACTTGACGAGAGATGCCACTTGAGTCTTGATATCGCTTGTGGCTCCGGCAGGGACCAGAGCATGAGAGATAGACTCGTTCGCAGAGTGAGCAGCTCCAGCCACCTTTGACCTACGTAAACGGTCAGCCACTAGCTACATCCCGCGCCATGAAAGTCAGCTTGCAAAGATAACGGGCTTTCCGGAAGGGGTACGTTTGCAGCATCTACAAGCTCTTGCACACGGTCCAGAGCCTTGTTGATGGAGGCACCAGCTTTCCTGGCACTCCCTGTCACCGAGCGCTTTATCTCTGTGTGAGGGGTAGCCATAGAAGGGCTATGGGACCTCTCAGGAGTACCTATCCCTATACCATTCCCATTTCCGTGGCCCCTACAAGTCATAGATGAGCGGCTGCCCGTTGCATCCTTGCATCTTCTCACGAGCGTTTCTTGAAGTAAAGGCCCTTGAAGATCGGGTCTTGAGCCAGCGTGGACTCTCGAGTGTCCAGCTGAGACTGGATGTTTTTGACCAGGTCGGAGACCCGCACGTCATCTGTAGGGATACCCAAGGCAGCGGCAATGTCGACGAGCTCTGGTTTTCTCTTCGACAGCAAAGATCCCGAGTAGGAACTGTCTCGTTTATTGGGAAGACCGCGGAGAAGATTGAAGGTATCGGGACAGGTGGATGGAATGCGGATGTCGGCATATATAAGAATGACGTGTGAAAAGAATATGGCGGATGACATGCATCAGTGCTGTTGCCAAGCTCCTGGTGCAGGCCCACTCACGCCATGTTGTATTGTCTGTGTGGTTTGTGGCGACAGGGGGGACAATGGGGTGGATGGAGATGGTTGGAAGAACGGAAAGGCACTGGAAGAGCACGCCGAGTTGTTTGACCTCTCGCGTCAAACTCAAGCCTAGTAGTCGGCGAACCCAACATTAATTAACATGTGTAATTTCCTGATTTGGCCAACAATTTTCTTCCTTCTCTTCTTATCTTCTCCATATTCTTCTTCCCTCTTCTTGCTCGTCCCCTCGCCCCCCTTTTTCCTACACCCTTTTCTTTTTCTTTTGTGCGCCTCTGGCTCTCAGTATCGCTTTTTTTCCTCTTTTTCCTTGCTTTTCCCCATGACACGATTTCTGTGCGCCTCTGGCTCTCCGTATCGCTCTTTTCTCCTCTTCTATCATAGTTCTCTTGTTCGGGCTCCTTTTTAGTCGCCCGCGAGTATATCTCTACGGCCTTGTGGAGCGGACGTCGAAAATGCATGATGTCTCTAGCGCTGGGCGGGTCTTGGGTGGGCACTGTTGCACAGAAGACGGAGATAACTCCTCTCATGGTCAGCTCACTGTAATTTGGCTTATTTAGGGTCCCGCGCCGTCAGCTTACTGTAATTTGATCTCAGGCACCGCGCCGCGGCTGGAGAGGTGTAATTTGCAGGTTTGTCACTTTTTCATATCGATATTGCTGTCCTTACAGACTGGTAGAAGCATGCATGAAACGAATTGGGCTAGCTATGACCTGTGGCTATTTCTCACGCAAACAATGGTGCTGATCGCATCAGCGGTTGTTGAGATGTACGCTTCTTAAGCACTCAAGAAACGGGTGATAGTTTGCAGGCTCTCGATTTTTTTGGCACCTAACTGTAGCGCGGAGTGTTAGGCGCGGGTGGAGGGCTTGTGTCGAGCCAGCTCCGGTCCAACTCCGGTCATCTACTACTAATCTACTAATCGTACAGCGACTCTTCTTCACTCCGTCATTGCCAGCTGGGGTTCCGATCATCACCTTTGACCCTGGAATGACTCGGCATAAGTGAATAGTAGAAATATTGCACAAACTTGTCCTTTTGGGCCTCCTGGGATTTTCGCTGTCCGCCGGCCCTCATCAAAGATATATCATTTTGTTTGCCTGCAAAAAGTTGGTGCGCTTCTGGGCCCACATAAAGATATTGAACATGTCTCACACTGTTTCAGCGTCGGTATATCAATATTCAAAGTGGCCGAACGCCATCCGCAATGGCCTCGTCGACTTCATTATTGTCTACCTCACCCTCATCCTCCGACGAACCACAGTTCATCGGCCGCTCGAGTTCTTCGTCTAAAGCGACAGCGGCACCCCGTCCCATCCCCCACCAGACATGTTGCCCCACGCAGGTGGTCCAAGAAGCACACAATGGCGTAATTCAACCCTCGAGAATCTCCAGCATGAAGAGCCTCGCACATAAATACAACTTCAATGATTCCGGGCCTTCCTCGGGCACGGTCAACGGACGAAGTCAGGTGCGCCATACTACCCCAGGCAGCGAGTCAGAAGATCCTCCTCTACGGGCAAGGACGCATCCACGTCAGAAAAAGGCCTCTCAGGCGATAGCAAGAACGAGACCAGCCACACAAAACACAACGTTGTTGTTACCGGGTCTGCTGCCGGACTTGATATCGTCCCCAGCGCCTGTACCCGACTGGCTTGGCCGGACTGCGGTCCTGTTGAAACTCAAAGATTGTCCCGTGTGCAGAACTAGGTGGAAAGGTAAAGAGAGCGGAATGTTCCGATGGGTAAGTCTTGCTTGTGCAATTGATATGTCGGAGCTGAGCCTTATCTACAGAGACACATCTCCACTTGTCGTCCACCGCTCTATAGATCACCCAATGCCCCTCCCAATTTGCAACAGATGATTCATGATGCGCTATCTGTCCGCTCAGCACCCAACACCCTTCTCGAGCTTCATGCCGGCTCGATAGCTCAAGCCGAGGGTGCACTCGCCGCCCAAGGCTCGTCGAATGGGCTCGCAAGCGTCACCAGTGTAAAGCGCAGTGATTTGCGGGGAGAGGCTTGGGATGATGAGGTAATCGATCGCATTCGGGGCTGGATTGGGCATTCGAGCCCCCCGCCCTTATTCAACCAAGCCACCTCCGCGTATAACATAGACCCTCCCCCACCCTCGAACTCGCATCGTCGCACGTCCCAAAATGACGCAGACAGGGTCCCATACCTCGCGACACAACCGATGGGAAGGTCAGATCTCGCTCAAGACTACCTGAAACAGGAACCATCTCCCCCGGTCATAGGCTCAACTAGTTCTGAGGAAGGGGATTCGGTCCCACTGTCGGATGATTCCGAGATACTCGTCCCTGCTTCTGATTCTGATTCTGACGAGGAGTTGCCACTGGAGGTCAAGAAGCCCTTTCAGTCGGGGGGAGGCCTGCGTGACGCTGGAGGTCTCTCCCAAGCTCAGCGGAAATCAGCTCTTGGCTGGGACAGCGACATCAATATTCGAAGCCAATAGGGAAGCTGCTTTTGCAGGTCTTGGCAAGGACGTCGAACATGATGTCCAAGAGCCGCCCGATGTTGCTATTGTCGATGTGGAAAGGAAAATCAAAAGGACTTTAGATAGCCCAATAGGCGGCCTACATGCGAAATTATCTCGTCTGTCCATCACGCCAGAGGCACACTTATGGACCCAACACGAAGTATCCCCCTCATCGACTCTCAAATGCGCGCCAGTGTCTCCCGTGCTCGAGCGCTCGACGACGCCCACGGCGCCATACACTCGCTCCTTTGTGGACGTTGACGGTTGGGGCGCGTTTGCGTTCGAGAATGATGATCCGGTTGCCATCTTGTCGTGGGAACCCAAGGCATCTGAACCAGACTCCGCATCTGATCTTGACATCCTCGGCTATCAAGCGGAGAATAGTGGCACGCAGAGTCACCGTGCCAGTGGGGTCATGATCACTGACTCGGATGGTCATTTACCTGTGGGAGATGGCGGAGAAGACGCGGAGCTCTTGGCCAACAACAATGAAGCAATGTCGCTTATCTCAATTGACGACCATATGCCCGCCTATGAGTTGTGGGATGTGAAGGACTTGCAAGCAAGTTAGATTCTGCGTTTGTAAAGTGTCACTAACCAGACGATTCAGCGCCTGACTACAGGATACGGCTATCGGCCTGTCAAGAACCATACAGTGCTCGTCAGATTGGCCATAGAATGCTGGAAGGCTTTGGCTGCTGATCCCGAGTCGCCCTCGAGCCCGCCCGGTCCTCTATTAGACAGTGCAACTTGGTCTGTGGCTGTCCAGTCTTTGCCTGGCGGTCAAATGGGCGACATCGCTGAGACGGAGGATCCGCAAGCTACCGAGATGAGTTGTCAGAAGGTCAAGAAGCCTGAAGTTGAAGAGGATCTTGATCAAGTCTTTTACGGTGTTATCAAAGAGGATTTTGATCTTTATCTACGAGTGCTTCGATACGAGGTGAGCCTATTCATCTAGCGCGACATCTATGGCTGATTTGGTAAAGCCCCTGAGCTTGGATGAGCTCATCAGTAAAAGTCTAAGAGCTGGCATCACCAAAAAAGGCTGGAAGGCCCATCTGAAACGGTATCTGGATTTGCAAGTGAGTTTACCCGAATGAATAACACTTGCCAGCTGGTTGACGCAAACTCCCAGAGCATAACTTATTTCACCGAAGACCCTACCAAGCAACGCCAGAGACACTGATTAGGGAGACAGTCGCATGCCGACTTTGCAGCTTCTGGCGCGCAGCTCCTGGTCTCCATGAACATAACAATGTCTCCGCTCATGACGACATGTGAACGGCTACCGGCAGCTGACACGCTCGATGCGATCTCAGCACAAATATGAAAATGAACAAATCGCATACCGCTATGATGACAAGCACGTTATATATAGCCTGGGAATCGCGCGCAACTCCTGGACCTCGAGATCCAACACGATATCTGGGAAGAAATACTTCGCTCAACGTCTCAACCTAGCCTTGGGCTCTCCGTAGACCTGTGGCCGCATACTGGGTTGCCAGAGAGTTGGAGTGGCTGGTATAAAGTGCACCTCCCAACCGCCTCTCACTTCCGTGCCCTTGACCTCCGACAGCCTGAAAGTTCGCCTCCTCTCCCGTCTCCTGAGTCTCAACCTTTCATTCTTACGAACCTCCCTTTCCCTTTTTGGCAGATGCATGTCTGCTTTTCTAGCCTCTGTCTCCTCTTCAAACTCGCTCCCATACCCAAAGTCGTCCTCGGACGACAAGTCATCATCGCTCCATTCTGACGGCAAAGTATAGCCCCTCTGACCTGGTGGGTCGATAGGCGGAGGAACAACTTTGGTACCGTTTTTGGCTGCGTAGACGCGAATGCCGCGGGGAGCAAAGAAGGCCACAGCCCAGGAGGCGAGGAGGGAGTGAACGCTTTCGGATAAGAGGGGGTCTGGGCCTGTGTGTTCGCCCCGGGCTTGGCGCATGAGGGAGTGTCTAGCACCGCTAAGGGCTTCGCGGGCCAAGTCTTCAATAAACTTCATCCTGCCACAATCGTCAGTCATATTATGAGGTGGTAAGGGAGCCTCACCAATCCTGTTCATTCACATCGCGGCTAACAATATCGGGTGGCAGGTGCAGCTGGTGCGGGTGATTGAGGAGATGGGCGGAGAAGGAAAAGGCTTCGAAGGGCTCATAGCGATAGTAAGAATCTTCTTTGGCGGGAGGTCTATTGAAGCAGGCAGGTCTACATATGATATGAGCATGTCTTCAAGCGATAGATCTGGTTCGTGTCGAGAGAACATCTTCGGCCTTCCTCAGCCTCCCCTTAAGTCTCTCCGGTGGCTCTTCGAACATCTTCACTCTTTCCTTTTCGCCGCCTCCTCGGGTGTCACCAGAAAACCTCTCGGATCATCTTTTTCACCCTTGAGAGATATCAAATAGTAGTTTCGCCACCCAACGTACTGATCTGGTCTTCCTGATCCTGCATCGGACTGCATGGCGGAACTTGTGCCGGATCTTCCATGACTCGCAGCCACCCTCGGACCGCCCATAGGCGGCTGTTGCTGTGGCATGCCAGGGGCACCCATAGGTGGCCCTTGCTGGAGCGGCATTTGTTGCTGTTGCTGAGGAAGGGGCTGAGAGGGAGCATTGGCGCCTGCAGCTACGATTGGTCGTCCCCAACCGTCCCAGCCTGTGAAGGCCTGAATCAGTACATGGTTCTTCAGTGAGCAGAGAAGCCAAACTCACCCTCAGGCAGCTCCGGAGGCACTGACCACGAGCCAAGGGCAAATCAGCATGGCTTTTCTGCAAGAATTTCGGGGTGTATATGGACTTACGCATGCGACCGAACTGGTCGTACCCCTCCTGGCCTGGACGTGCGGGTACAGGCAAACCAAAGGGCATGGGCGGAAGAGCACTGGGGTCAGGGGGTCTGTAGGGAGCACTGTCATACAGTCAGTCAGCTGGGAAGTAAGGGATACACCATAGCGCAGCTGACCTCGAGCCAACACCGCCTGGACCAGCAAAATCTCTTCCCAGCTGATCTCTTCCAAAGTACCCCCTGGGCAGGTTGCCAACCCCTGGCATTCCGGGGAGGACGCCAGGAGTACCCATCATCATACCGGGGAGGACCCCAGCGCCCATCAGCATTGGCATGCCCCCCATACCCATCCCACCCATCATCATAGGGTTGAACATGATCTCGAACGCAGCTGTGGCAGATGATAGGGGCGACCTCTGCTGCCTGCTGGTATATAAGGGGCGGAGAAGAAAGGAGAAGCGAGGCATCACAACGCCTCAAAGGATCTGTGGTGTGTGTGGCCGGATGCGGCCGTGTCGCTCAACTGTGGCACCTGTCAGGGCTGCACGTCGACTCGAGTGGCTACGCCATGCACGGGCACAGTGCTGCCCGCATGGCACAGGTATATACGCAGAACCCAAACGCCAAATTCTTATCGGGATGCATCTACACACGACTGTATGAACAGTGCCCAATCTCAGGCTTAGCAACCATGCAGACTATATATCACAGCTAGGCGCGCAAAAAAATTCTCTTGTCCCATCCAATAATGGTGCGCCAGATGCAGACCTGCTCTTTTCACATCCCAGGTCCAAATTGACCTCCTCTGAACATACCCCTGTTCATACCCATCCCCATGGCCCCAGGACCGTAGCCCATCGGAGGCTGAAACATCGGCGGGCGCATCCCCATGTTGGACAGGGGCGGTCTAGGATACATTGACTGTGCCGCTGGGAAGGGCAGCGGCCCTCTGAGATATCTCCCGGTTAGCGAACCCAAGAAAATATAAAAAGCTGGGGCTTACCCCATCGGCCCCATACCCATGCTACCCAAAACAGGCGGTGCTCTGTCCTTGTTGAACCAATCGTCAAACCGCTTCTTGCGCTGCTCTCCAATCACGGTCACTGGCGCTGGATACGCATAGCTGGACTTCCTGTCAGCGGTGGGACTTTTGTCTGTACGGATGGATAAACTTTACCGTTCGCTCTTTGGAGGAGGAAAGTTGGCCACGGGTTTGTACGGTGTACTCATTCCGCCCTGTCCCATACTGGGCATGGTACTCGGGGGCATCATACTCTCAACCCTTGAAGCTCTCTCGGCTCTTTCCAACTCCTTCACCTTTGCCCGAGCTTCCTTCTTCTCTCTCCTCTTCCTGTCTTTTGGCGTCTCCTCTGGCTCCATCGCCTTGCCAAGATCAACGTCCAAGTGATTGGTGGCTTGGTGATCATGCCACTTCGCATGAAGATGCTGGTTCCCTTCAGTGTCGTTGTCGAGATGCGCAGAGAGGGTGACGATGGTCTTGGGAGCCTCTGTTGCTGGGCGGTTAGACGTCGCAGCAGGCGAAGCTGTAGGTGCGACAGACATTTGAGAGCGAGGGCGTGAGCGTGTCTGAGAGTGCATACCAGGGTGCGAGTGACCCGAGCGTAATGCCGAGTCTGACGGTGATTTAGACGAGGGATTGCTCTCTGGCAGCAATACTGTGGCAGGGTGCACACTCGTCCCCCCACCCGGCAAGGGCACACTCCTCGACCTCACGCTTGCCCCACCTGGAAGCGGCACCACCATGGTAGCCGTTGTGCCCGGTACTGACGTTGGCGCAGGGACAGAAAGGTGCATCGTTGGAGAATGGCCTACGGTGACGTTTACCGTGGTCTGGGGGGGTGTCGGATGGGGCTGAGGTGAGACCCGGTGAGGTGGAGAAGGGAGAGAGACGGGGTGAGACTTGCAAGAGGCCATTGTCTTGGATTTTGAGGACGTCTTCTGATCGCTTGACTTGCGAGCAGGAGTAGAGTGTCTACCACTCGAGGGCGCTTTGACAGGGAACGAAATGGAGGGTTGGAGCATGGCCATGTAATCAACTGGGACAAAGCGTGAGCAGTGGTCTCGAGGTATCTCTTACGCAAGACTCACTGATGGGAATGGGGCGCAAACCACCTTTCGTGCCCGATAATCGCTCGCTGGTAGAGCCGAGTTGAGCCGAGCTGGGCATACCTAGGGTAGGCCCTCCGAACGTGGTCGCACCTGTGTCCACGTCCACATCATCCGCCGCACTTTGTCCTTTCAGCGTCCCTCCCCCCGATGGGTCGTGTCGCCCGAAAGGCCACCTCATCATACTCTCTTGAGGCGTCTGATATGTGGGTTGCCCGGAGATTGGTTTCAAAGAAGCAGGCGGGGGAGGCGGAGCTTGAGGTTCGTCTTCAGGGATATTTTCGACCCAATTCGTGCCCGTCTGATAGACCTCTGGGGTTCTCGGCGCCTGGCTGGTCTGATAAACCACTGGTGCGTCTGTGGGAACCGGCGGCGAAGGCGTCGGGCCAAGTCTTCTTCGGACAGTCTTCCTGGTGGTTGTAGCAGTGGTCACCTCTGTCTCTTCAACGTCACCTTCTTGCAACTCTTCCTTGGTGGCTGGTGTAAGTCCAGAGTGGACGGGGGCTATCGAAGGAGTCGGCGGTGACGGCGCGACGCTCGGGGCTCTGGAAGACGGAGCTCTGGCGGAGGCCGGTGGAAGGGTCGCGGGGACGACTAGAGGAGTCTCTGGAGTGTCTTCTGCGGGCTCTTCTGTCTCTGCAGTGACGACGGTCGCTGGGGGGGCCACTCGAAGGGCTGGCCTGGGGGTGGACAGCGGGGGGTGGTTGAAGTTGATGACGACCTCTGGGCGGGCGAGCTCTACAGCCATGGCTCCTTTGTGGGGGAATGGGACGCAACATCCTCCTGCATGCTCTCCTCTCCTCTCCTCTCCTCTCCTGTCCCAACACCAAACCGCCCACACAAGAGGCCCGTTCAACAAGGACGGCCCTTATGTAATCGCCGAATGCGGCAGTCGCCACGCGCCGCACGACGAGCGATGACGCGCCGGCGGTGACATCACCACTCGCCCGTATAAGTATAAGTAGAGTATCATAACCCCTCCCTCTCTCTCCCGCTCCCATCTCCCCATCTCGCCATGGACCCCACCACCCACGCCCCCGTCACCGCCCCCGTGCCCACCCCGGCCGACCTCCAGCACGCGCCCCCGCAGCCCACCGGCCTCCGCCAGCGCGCCAGCAAACTCGATGCCGCTGCAGCCCACCCCGCCCTCCAGAACGCCCGCCGCACCGCCTTCTCCTACACCCAGTCAATCCGCGACCGTCTCGCCAGAAGCCCCACCGTCCTCAGGCTCGAGAAACGAACAGGCGTCGACCGAGTCGCCCTCTTGGGTGGCGGCGCACTCTTGTCAGTCCTCACACCCTTTTCACCCGCATCGCTGACCAGTCCCAGATACTTCCTCTTGATACCCCTCAACATCTTCCGCCTCGGTCTCCCAACAACCCAGCTTCTCACGTTCCTTCCCGCATCCTATGTTGCGGCACAAATTCTCGATGCTCGTGACTCGCAGGCCAACAATGAAAAGGTCAAGGACCTCTTGTCCTTTTTCGTCGTTCTCGGATTCATACAAACGGCCGAGAGTCTCATGATCGGTGTCTTGGAGAAGCGTATCCGTGAGCGACACTCTTTGGAAGAAATGGCAAGGCTGACACCTCATAGCGCAATACTATACTGTGAAACTCTTGTTCTTGGCCTATCTCCTTCACCCCAAGACTTTGGTGTGTCTCACTGCCGTATCAACCTCCGGACTGTCGCTGACTCTCACATGTAGGGTGCTCGAAAGATTCACGAATCCGTTTTCCGCCCCGTTATCAGTAATCGTGACAGCCCCCTCGCCCCTGCCAACGTCGACCCTTCTATCGCGGCCAAATACAGTGTCGTTCCTGTTTCAGACTCCACGACATCTTCATCCGGTAGCATTGCGCCCACCGCTGGTCAAGACAATGTATCTGGTTTGGGGGCTTCTACCGGCCGAGACACTACTCTCCCTGACTTGAGCGCTGCTTCCACCTCCGTCGGTGCCCACTCCAATAATCCTTTTGCGCCCTCTCACTCCACTGCCGGCAACGGCACTGCCGACAGTTTCGGCACCTCGTCTAGTCCTGCCACCACCGGTTTGGCCACTTCCTCGCAGACTTCCGCTGTACCCACTGCGTCCGGCTTGAACTTTAGCTCTCCGGAGTCTGCCTTTTCCAACCCCAGCCGCACCAACGCTGCCGCCGAGGGCGAGGATTTGCATGATTCCATTAGCTCCCAGATCAAGGCTGCTGCCGAGGGCCGCACTTCCTTCCCACCTCCCTCTTCTTTTTCCCAGGACTCAGCCTCCTTCCCGCCCCCTCAGGTGCAGGCGCAGCAGGCATTGGCCCAGGCAGTGCAGCAGACTGGTGTTGATGAGGTGGGCGTTCCAGGTGGGGTAATCAGGCAATAGTGTCGTTACCGAATGCAGGATAATCCGAATCGAAGATGCCAAGAAGAAAGATAGGAATTTACAAAGTGACGCCGATCGTACATTGTATACGGGAGAGAGCATACGGGCGATAACATGAACAAAGAAAACACACATTCTCTCGAACTCGAAGGAAGCCCAAGATTCATATGTCACACGTACTACTGTACTCATAGAGTACTCGAGTACAGTACTCGTACACCATGCTACCATAAAACTTGAGATCTGTTTGCCGCCTCTGTTCTAAACTCCTCAAAATTCTCATACGCTGCGCTCCATCTGCTTCCTGAAGGACAAGTATCTGATTGATTATATGTTAAGACCGGTAGTGCTTATTACTGCAAATGGTGACTCTTCGTCGTTGCGTGGCGGATCACTGTAGATAGTGCGCTTAACATTGCTATTTGGTTGTCGATGGTCATTGGTATCTCCACAGCATGTGGCAATACGATCGCGTCCGCGTTCGTCCGCCCCGTTACTGGTCCTAAGGACGGTATCAGCCGCGTCGTCGACAGCGGGTCGCACAACTTTTCGAGGCTGGTCATGAGTGATGTCTAGGCTTTTCGCGTATATCTCGTCGCGAGTCCTCTTCACGCCTTGGGACATAACGGGTCCGGTGGGCACATTCTGTGAACTTCCGGGTAACACCGAGGGGATGAATTCAATGCACTCGAGAGTGATGACTTCACAGCCCACTTGGTCAAGGACAATGATCACTGGCGCTTCGGCAAAGGTACTGATGGTAGACCTATAGTCCACAAAGCGATGAGTCCCAAGATCAGCTACTTTGTGTGTCAGCGCATCGGGTCGAGAACTTAGAACGACAACATACAGGTCAATTGCACTCGGAGATCGACACCTTTTTGGTAATACTTTGCCTCCTTCACGGAGCAACACGGGCAACGCCAAAGAGAGTTTTGCAGATCATCACCAGCCCATACGCATCGGCGATGATAGCCCTGCCCACACTTGGAGCAGGCTATGGTGCGTTTGTCTACTTCTAAGTTCGATTTGCCGCAGACACAAGACAATTCGTGAGGTCGCGATTCAGCAAGAACGAGACGGGGCTTTCGTCGGGGCCTGGCGCGAGCTACAGCAGATACAGCCATGTCAGAGCTATCTGCGGCCCCAGCGTCATGGACGACCTTGCCCCGAACAGCGTCTTGCATTCTCCTGAAGAGCCAATTGACGAATACACACCGTTCGTTCCTGTCAGCCAGGAAGGCATCAAAAACCAAAGGCGCCGTATAAATTTTTCGTATAGCGTGGCGGAGCCTGTCAATATCCATGGTTGGTTGGGCAAAATCGAGGGGATTCATGATTTCGATCAACTCCGGGATGTAGCGCAAAGCAGCTGCACATATTTGTTGAGCCGTCTCAAATTCACTCGGGAGCAAGACGAAATTCCAGCGCTGTGGGGAGACAAGTTCAACAAAGGCATTCAAAGACGGTCCATCATCGTTCGGCAGTCGCTGGCACATGGCGCATTTGAAGCCATCCGAGACATTGCGAGCCAGGGCATCGACACATTGCGGATGATAGTCGTGGCAACAAATCTGGCACTGGACCATGACGGGGCCCGGTAAAGAGCGACAGAAGCACACTTTGCCCGAAGTTCGGGGCCAATCGTCGTCCGGAGCGAGATTGTTGTGAATCTCAGACCTGATGTATTCAATAGTGGAAGCAACCCTCCCAACAGGTACGCCGAGTACCTTGCTTGCTTCTTGAGTCCACTTGGCATGGTGACTCAGCTCAGATTGAAGCTGAGTCAATTCAGGTATGTAAACCTGTTTCAAAGGCGCCTGGGCGCTCGCGGCGTTCTTGCAAAGTCTGCTAGCAGCAGAAAGTGAGATTTCGCCAGCCAAGGCGTTCCTAGCCGACGTTTGCCAGCTTATGACAGACTTGCGCAGACTTTCCAAACTAAGCAAAACATCGATTGAGATTGGCACATGTTGCCTTTTGTCAATCAGTTCAGTCAGATTCCTGATACCGATCTGCGGAGACGTGAGGAGTTCAGCCGCTGAATCCAACCAAAGTTTGCCGTCGAGCTTCCTGTTTTTCAACTGGACAACCATTGGATGGTCTGGAGGTATAGCACACTCGACAGATTGCTCAATCAAGGCCACGACGTCCTTGTACTCATGTCTTCCATCGTCGGCGTCACCCTCCAGGCTATCGAACCAATCGCCTTTCCTTACAATTCTTTCCAGAGCGGGAAGCTCCGGGAAGTCAAGTCCCAGCGACTGCCCGAGTATGAGGGTGTTCTTAGCCACTTGGCGGTCTGCCCAAATATTGGGATCGGATAACACAGCCGCAGCATTCTCGCGGAAGCTCTGTATAGTGAGCATCAATTGGCGAAGCTTGGGTAATTCTGGAGCATCGAAGGCAAGAGAATTGACTTGCTCCAACAGCTCAGCCAGAAGCTTCGGATCTCTGTTGACCATATCCTCCTCCGGGTTCTCGACCTCGTCTCGTGGTCGTTTGTCCCTTCGCCTTCGCACGGTATTCTTACGCCCGACGATGGTTGCTATTTGATCCATGATTCCACCAGCCGCCTCGACAAATCCCCTCAGGGCGGGGAGAAGAGGCAGATCATGATTGATTTTCTCTCCATCGGCAGCTAGCCCTCGCAAAGCTTTCAGCTGCGGTCGGGGGTTGGACATCAATCCCATGAATTTGGCATGCCACTGTTGGGGTAGGGCAGCTCTCCCCACGACCACATCTCTGATTTCCTCTAGCTGCACGTCTGTGTATCTCATGCGGAGAACTTTGCGCCCGGTGGGGCAGCTGCAAAGCTGGTCGGCATGAACGAGACAAGACACAGACTTGGTACAAGGGCAAGTCATCTGAGCGAGGTAACAGAAACATTTGCAGAAAGCACACTGATATTGCTCTTCTGGACCATCCTCTTCGACAAGGACCTCCGGAAGTTCCGAGATTTGCAAACGAAGTTTTTGGCGACGGGAAAATTCTTCTTCGACCATCTCCTTTAGAGCGTCTTTTAACCTAGGAAGAGTCAGCAGTCATCGTCGGTCATCACTCAAAACATACCAGGTAGCCGTCTTGATAGTATCTGAGTATAAGGTGATTGTGATCAAAAGCTCGTTGTGAGAGAACACTGGAGCTTTACTGTGTTCCCTGTAGCGCCTCACGCTGTCTTTGCCAGCTGATAGCCAATCTGGAAGAGCGAAGTTGACAGCCTCGTTCATGTTGACCTACATGTTGTCAGGTTTTGGAATGCGCGGGTCCGCAATAGAACTTACACCATGATTGAACCCGCAGTGATACGCTTTCGGAAATGTCACGATAAACTCGTTTGGCCTTTGATCGCACGCGACAACCTTGACGCCCGCTTGATCTAATCTGCCGGGGTTCATCATGGTGATGAGTTGAAACAGAAGCCCCGGCTGCTGTTCGAACAAATCAGGCGCCTCAGCTTTCATTGCATCCTCAAACTTGTCAGCATCCCCTCCAGGAACGCCATACCAGGTCTTCGTTTCGCCCCAGTACACTAAACTATATTTCAGTGCGTGTTTGAAGTCAGAATCCGAGACGCTCACTATAATTCACACTGTATGTGTAATGGTCCTCGTTGTGCCAGCAGAACGCAGAAAACATCATGCCTATATAAATCCAAGGGACTGTCATACCCGATATGTCGGATTTGATGTACCGCAGTAGACTGTACACATCATGATGAATGAGCAACGATGTCGCAGCAAGGTGATAGTCTACACTAACGAATCTTTCAAGATAGGCATGTTATTGAGGTTCCAGGGATCTTTGGCATAGGGATCTTGCGGGAAAGTTTCAAGTGTCGGCCCAGCGCTAGAGAATTCATTAGCAGAGTGTTATAATTATTCACAAGTAGTAACTCACCTTCCGTGGGTAGACGAGTGGATATCAGCTCCATATTCTACGTCGACCGTATCCAAAGAGCTTTCAATTAACCTCCAAAATTCTCGCTCAACGTCATCCTCGGATACCAAAACCTTCCCGAATCGCCTGGGCTTCACTGTCTCGTCATTGGTGTCCTTTTCGGTTGTGATGGGATGGATTTGGTGACCTTTGCGGCGATTCCACCAGTAATGGGCGAATGATTGATCGCGAGCCTGGAAGCTGGCGATGGAATGCTCGTCCCCTTCTTCAAAACCAAAATCTTCGCCTTGCGAAAGCAGGCAAGCATTGCAGAACCATTCTTCGTTGGTCGGTACAGCTACCAAAGGCGGGTCAAGGCAATAGATATGGAAGCCTAAAAGGGCGCGTGAGTCATACTGCACACCTCCATAGAAGTTTCACATACCTCTGTCGCATCCGTCGCAAAGAAGGATCTTCTCAGCGGCGTGCCCACTTTGACATATTTCGCAAACCTGCTCCAAATGGATTCAGCAAATCATGAATGATATCTATACGAAAGGACGACTGACCTCGCCCTTTTGATACGCTTCCTGAAAGCTTTCATTGTCAATTCTGGGAGAGGACATTGCAGCGTCTTCATCACTGAGTTCGCTCTCACTCCCATCCTCCTTCGAGAACCCTGGCACATTGAATTGCGAAGCAAACGGAGCAGGTCCTGCATTGGTCGGCTTTGGAACTCTGCTGCTCATGGAAGCCGTCCCAAAATTCATCTTGCTTTTCTTAGTGGGTGAAGGCATGGGCGGTGGAAGCGCCGCGTCCACAAAACCATGGTCGACTGATTTTAAAGGTATACAAGGAGCGATGGGACTTGAATAATTGTTTGGACGTGATTTGATGGGGGACCCCTTCGGTGAAGAAGAGGGCGTTCGGCCTGCTCCGAAGTTGGGTGGCTTGGATGGAGACACATCGACGCCTATGGGGCGCTTGACAAGTGGCGAAAGCGAAGTCTTGGCTCGCACAGCCCAATTATCGAAGGGCAGTACAATGCTCATGTATGCGGCTCGGATATGAGGTGTCCATGAAGGATTCAAACCCAGGGTATCCGCAAGAGCCGACCAGCCCTTGGCCCTATCGAGCTCCAGATGCCCGCCTGACTTATTGACTTCTCGCCTCAGTTTCCATAAATCTAAGGGTTGGCGGTCAATGAGAGGGATGTGCACTTTGGCGTCGCCTTGCTGCATGTGAAACATGGACAGCTGTTCCAAAAAATTTATTTTGGCCCGAGATACAGCTTCCAGTTGATTGAGCCTCTGTAGGCGCGACTTGAACTTGAAGGTATCAGTCTCTAGGCGAAACGGCATTCGCCAGCCTTCCGGCGGAATGATTTTACAGATACCGTATCTTTTACCCTCTTCCGCGATTGAATCGATATAAGCGGTTGTATCTTTGAACTCTTCGTGGGTGGGGTAGAAAGTTGGACACTCTTCTAGCCCGAAGAGACGTGACTCGGAGCGAGATTCCGGCTGCCGTGGAGCCTTTGTGCGCACATCGTCGGTAGAGAACAGGGGATTGGCTGATTTCGAGCGAAACAGCGGATTTCTCAGATGAGAGGGTGCGACCGGCGGCGTGGCGTCGTTCTGTGTATCGGAAGGCATGAAAGACGTCCCGCTGAGCCCGCTGTCCGGTAGATCCGACGGGGTCGCTGACCTGTCGATTTTGTTGAGAGCCTGAATCTTGGAGGTGCGCTGGTTTCGCCCCTGGACCTTCTCGTATAGAGGAAGCCCGGTCGAACCCGCCAACCCAGGTTGATGTGACTTGGGAAAGTGCATCGATGTTGTGAAGGTCTTCTGCCCTCGTCGGACAGTCTCGGACGTGGGAGAATTGTTCTGCGAGTTCGTAGGTCGTGTACGAGTGGCGCGGGCTACCGGGGTCGGCGACGCCAGCGGAGAACATGGGGAAGGATTGGTGACCGACTGCGCTGCGGCTATATGGGATTGGAGTGCGGCCCTCATTTGGGGCAAGTGTCGGTATTGCGGGTTCTGGTTCTGCCAAAGATATAGAAGTCAGGCGGGAGGGCGGTATAGTTGGCGCGATGATAGCAGATCAATAGCAGATACGTACGTGATTACTATTGCATCAGGCCTCAGGGTAATCACAGGTAATAATCACAGGTAAATAGTGACTTTGATCCCGCTATATGCAGCATCCGTCCCGACTGCACGCAGCTGCCAGCGAGGCTGCGCTACATATCATGCAGCGCTCTTTGCACTCTCAAGGCGCTATCAGACACAGAAAGGTGGCCCATATATCAAGAGATCCCAACACGATAATCTCTACAACAATTCGACAGCCCCTTCGCACTTCGCCTTTTTCTTCGTCTTTTCGATACACGGTCCTCGCGCGAGCCATCACGAAAAGATATCGAGACAACCTCCCAAACGAAGGCCACATTCGGGTTGATCATCGCTGTCATGTACAACGTCAACCACTCCAGCTACGACAGCCAGCATCACCCCACCGACGTTCCGGGCACGCATCTTCCCAAACCGCTCTCATCCTACTACCCGCCTCGCTCAAGGTCAATCACTCCCTCGTACTCCCCGTCTCCGGATGGCGAGCAATGGCCTATGCCTTACGTGAACTCTGGCTCTGACGCACAGTTAGCCGATTTGCGATACTCTGTGCCTATGCCCGAACCCAGGTTCTCTCACACGTCAAACTCGGGCTCGTCTAACGCAGAATCAACGTCGAACGACTATGATTCGCACGCAAGAAATCCTCTAGTGGATCTCATGGAGAGTGAGAAAGTCTACGTGGACCGCCTCGGTTTGACCATACGCGTGAGCTACAACAAGAAGCACATGTGCTCTTGTGGAATGTTTGTCAACTGACATTGGCACTAACACAGCGTGCGGCTGGAGCATGGTCAAAGAAGAATTTCCCGCCCCCTAAGCTTGACGCCATGTTCAGGTGTATTGAGGCTTGTTATAGAGCAAACAAAGGTTTTGGACAGGTAGGTTTTGGTAAAACACGTCATGTCTCAGGCTGACTCAAGCGCAGAAGCTGAAAGACATCGGACACAATCCTTCGAACCCCAAGGCTCTTGGCGATGTTCTTATGCGTTGGGTAAGGATGGTGCGCAACGTGCAATAGACCGAGCTAATGATACTACAGATTGACGACCTGGAACCTGCCTATCTCATGTACACTTCCAATTTTCTTACTGGATTCGACACCTACCCACCCGTTAGCGCGAACGCCGCTCTGCCTGGCATCCTGGAGGAAATGTCTGCTTCATCTAAACCCGTTCCACCTCTTGATAGGTGGACTTTAGACGCGCTGTTCGTTCTTCCTTATACCCGGTTACGCTACTATCGCAAGCTCTACACTCGTCTCTTGCGGAGTACCAAAGAAGGCCGAAAGGATCATGGGTTGTTGATGGCCGCGAACGACAGGCTGGACAAGCTGGCTGAGACTGTGGAGCTGCGACTCGAGATGGACGTAAGCGACAAAGACGGGGATGCCATGTCCCCACAGGACCAGCAACAGAGGGAACTGGGCAGCGTTATCAGCTCTGCCCGGAACGACGTCTTCGAGTCGCGTATCAAGTAAGTCATTGATTACAAATTCTTCTATGATGTATGGTTCTGACCGGCATATCAGTGCGTTATCTCTCAATGAAGAGATGAAGGACGACCAAGTCCGAAAATCTGATGAACAGGTTGCCGTCCAGTCTCTTCATCGGCCCGCAGCTGTCCGAACCACCAGTGTCGAGTATACAGCCGAGATGCTTGCAACAGCTTTGTCGGATCTGGAGCTGAGGATTGATACTGAAAGAACTATTGATCTGTTCTCGATGCAGATAAAGGTGGGCACCTTCCGTACTTTCCGAAATGCCCGTCGCCTAACATTCCTAAGCGTTGCCGTTTACAAATGCAACCCCCGACCTTGCCTTTTGAGCGCAGCCTTCGCTCTTCACACGACGTTTCGATACATTTCACTCCCACGGCAACAGGCCGGCAGATTGAACATAAACGGGCACATATATTCATCCTCAGCGACTTGCTTCTCGTGGCGGAATGGATGGATGCGACCGTCAAGGCTGCCAAGATGCAGCAAATTGCGAAGGAGCAGCCCGAAAGAGTGGGCAAAGGGGGACCCATGCCGGAGATGTGGCTGAATTACCCCCCATTGGCTGGGAAGCACTTGATGGTGGCCGAAGGCAATCAAGGTGAGCATATTCTGTGACTTGTAACCAGAACCCCTTTACAGTAGCTGATCGATGACAGCCAATGTGTTGACTGTAATGGTTATGCGCAAAGAGACTTTTGTCATACACACGGAGTCGGAAATTGCCAAGGATAGAATCATGAAGGATCTGATTGATTGTACAGATTATGCTTTGATTCATTCTAGTAAGCCCTCCCAGAACTTACAATCTGTCATCATGTTGACATTTTGGTAGCGCCAGGCATCAGTCGCGAGCGAGCGATGGCCAGCGCTGCATTAACGTCCATCCCAAACGCTGTCGGCCATACTTCATTTCCCTCCCCTTTTCAGAGCGTTGCGTCTTCGTCGACCAGTCCCTGTCCCGATAGGGTACCCCTGGATGTGTCTATCTTTGCAAACCAACTGCCCAGTGTTAGCCTTCGCTCCGAAAAGGAAGTTGAATGGCCCAGAGAACACCTATACCATCCCCATTCCCATTCAACAGGGCAGGGCCTCACTACAATGGTGGCTCTACCTCCGCGTGGCACCAGCCTGCCTGTCCCAGATCAAGGGCTCCCAGAACCACTTCGACAGAATTATGATCAGGTCAGAAGACCTTTGGTGCCATCGAGACCCCATATACAAACGACCGCATCGCCACAACAGCCTGGCCCCATACCTCTATCGGGCAACCGCGATTCTGTCCGCTCTCCTTCGAGCCGTGCGGCTACTCCTCAACTTTCAGATCAAAGGGCACCTGCATCCCATTCAGTCATTTCAGGTCTAGTCGCTACGGGCGCTCATCTCGATCAGAGTAACGCGCTATTGCCCCAACAGCATGCTGTACGGCACCCTTCTGGGCCGAAGCGCCTTGTGGAACCCCCATCTGCAGTGTTCCAAAACAACTTTCCTGGCCGCGATTCCTCTACCTGGGTTGAGTCTTCCGCAGATGATGATACCCCACCCCCTTCGCCGGAGGAAGAAGAACCAAGCACGTTGGCGGGACCTGCTACCGTGTCAGCTCAGATGAAGTGCAAGGTGTTCATCAAGCAGTCGCACCAGCAATGGAAGTCTCTTGGCCCGGGTAAACTCAGGCTGTATTCCCAGGCGAAAGGCAATGTCAAGCAGCTGGTTGTGGAATCTGATTCCGCATCGAAGCAGATGCTCGTCTCCACCATAGTATTGACAGACGGGGTAGAAAGGGTGGCCAAGACAGGTGTGGCAGTGGAAATCTCAAACAGAGGGAAAAGGACTGGGGTGGTCTACATGATACAGCTTAGGAACGAGGCTTCTGCGGTTGGTTTGTTTGAGAGTCTACTGGTAGGCAGTGATCGTGCGGTCGTACGTTGATCACCTTCGCGCGATTACATACTTGATTGTGACTCGGTCAACCCCGGCCGTCGGGGCACGAGTTGGCTTCTGCATATCAGCATCTGTTGGTGATTTGACCGTTGTGCATGTAATATATGTTGGCCATTACTGCGCTCAGTCTATGGCAAAATGAATAAGTTTACAAGCCCGTCAAGCATTGATAAAAGTCGCGGACGTCTGCAAGAAGGTAGACTGGTGCACTATTATAAATTTGCATAGCAAATAACTACTGAAACCCGTTCTTCTGACTAGCCCGTCATACGTCGCCATATCGAGAATCGGAAGCCATACCAGCTACATATAGAAGTGTGGCTTCAGTATATGGCGATCAAGTCTGTGGCCGAAAAGAAAAGACCCACTAGGAATT